CTACGACTCCCAAACGCACAGGTATCCTGCCCATACCACAGTGCCCCTGCTCTTCCCAACCACTTGCTTGCATGCATCACCACCTTGTATGGGCTGCAGTATGTACACCCGTGCGTGCAGCCTTCCCCGCTTTGCCTGACATACAGCTGGGCCCATGTATCGGTATGTAGACATCCCTGCTGTGCTGGTGTTCTTGCGCCCGTGTGCGCACGCATCACCGCCCTGCTCACTGGATCCTGTACACACCGCATGCGCACCCTTCCTAGACGCCAGCGGGGACGGTGTCCCCACACTGGCCAACTGCGAATGCGCTTGCATGCAGGCAGTCCCACCCTGCCCGAGCTCAGGCGTCACGAGGGTAAGCGGCACGTCTGCAACAATACCGGTAGCCCATTGTTCCTGCACTCCCCTTGCAAATGATGCCACCATTCACATCAAATGCAATCTGTGCCACCCATACATGCAGACATCACCGCTTTGCCTCATTGCTGGCTCTCACACATGCAGGCATTCCCACACCCATGCACCCCAGCCGGGATCGGGGGGAGGAGGAGGGGGTGTCGCCCAGGCGGGGCGGTGTGTGATACAGCTGAAGCGGGGTGCAATTTAACTTCCCCAGCCGGGGCGCTTCGCAGCCATGCACCAAGGCTTTTTTAGGCGGAGCCCCCGTCGTGGTGCCCCGGTCGCGGTGCCCCGTCGCGAACAGGCTTGGGGGGACGATGCCCACGTCCATGTGCCCGTAAGTCCGTCCGAGTGTCAGGAACGGCAAAATACACAAACCGAACAATTTAATCCATCTTCCTTGCCTGCACATAATCGAGCTGAGCGCCCTGGAACATTTGTTTGACTCATCCATTTACCTTTCACTGTCCTGCTTTCGCAAAAACACAAAATTATGCCATGCGTGCCCAGCAGATTTCGCCTTCTCACCCGACCGAAGGGAGGCTTGATGTATGGACAGCAACACAAGTTTTCAGTCCACGCCCCGGAACCATTTTCCTAGCTGTTTAAACTATTTTCCGGTAACGTTAATGTTAATCAAGCCTCCCTTCGGTCGGGTGAGAAGGCGAAATCTGCTGGCACGCTTAGCATAATGAAGTGTTTGGGAACCAGGGCAGCGAAAGGCATAGGGGTGAGTCGAAGAGAAGGTCATGGTGCTAAGCCCGTCTATGTGCATGAAAGGAAGCCGAATCTTACAAAAGAAATGCGCATACGCCTATGCTTCCAAGCGCGGGCCGGGCCGGGGTGGGACGGTGCATGAATGCAAAGCGCCCCGGCTGGGCTAGTTACGTTAAGCTTTCGCTGTATGACACACAGTCCTGCCTGGGCAGCTGGGCTAGATACATTGCACCCCTCCCCGTGATGTTCATGTGTTGCCTGAGCTCAATTGAGCAGGGCAGGAATACCTACATGCATATGCAAGCCCTTTGGGAAGGGCGCGGACGCTGCGTGGACGGGGGCTATGGCAGGACAGGGCTGGGCATGCTGCGTGTATGAGTGACGGTGATTCGCCCGGTGATGCCTGCGCGCCCGGGTGCTTGGAAGTTGGGCAGGACACGGATGCCTGTATGGATGGGCAATAACACCTGCACGTAGTGGCGCTGTGATGTGGACAGGGGGAGGTCTGCACCTTAAGGCACGCATGGGCGCAAGTAGTCTTGGGTGATGATGCCTGCACGCGTGAGCACTGGCCCTTTCGCAATATAAGCACGGGCGGGGATGAACGCGGCAGGGATGCCTGCATGCCCGCGCTAGGGCCCGTGAGCTGGGCGGGTGTGTTAAAATAACTGGCCGTGTGTGTGCATAAGGGCGGTCATACCGGGAGAGGGTGAGGATGCATACCGTATTGCCCAAAATTTAATTGACAAAAATAAAATGTTTTGGGTTTTGTCAAATGGGGCAAAAATAATGTTTTTTTGCCATGTCAAATGGGGCTGGAAATTCGCTGGCAAGGTGTCAAATGGGGGCAAAATATTCCGCCTGGGGTGACTGCAGGGTAACTAAGATGGGAACGGAGAGGTAGGGGGCAACTGACTTGCCAGTGCGCTGGATCCTCACCGCGCCATGCCCAGTCGGGGTTTCCAAATGGTGTTCCACTTGTCCTCCTAGGGCTGCACAGCGGCATACAGCTGAACAGCTCCTTTCCTTACCATGTTACATCCAACACGTACGGCGGCTTTGGCGCATGTCAAATGGGGCTAGAAATTCGCCATCAGGAAGTCAAATGGGGCATAATTTATTCCCGCTTTGTCAAATGGGGCTGGAAAATAGGCCCCCAAACGCATGTCAATTAAATTTTGGGCAATACGGTATCCGCAGCTGGGCGAGATGAATTGTGCCTTGCTCCAGCACACACCGTCCCGGCTGGGCGAGATGCACTGCACCCCTTCCCGGCGCCGGCAGGGTAGGTGCACTGATAGCCTGTTTGCATGGGGGTATGTATGGGCGCCAGCTGTCAGGCACAGCGGGAAAGGCTGCATGCACGGGTGGACGTACTCAACCCTTACCTCAGCAGGGTGAAGATGCATGGACGCCCTGCATCCCGCAGTTGGCCAGTGTGGGGACACCGTCCCCGCTGGCGTCTAGGAAGGGTGCGCATGCTGCGTGTACAGGGGCTAGTGAGCAGGGCGGTAATGCGTGCGCCCACGGGCGCTGATACCTTGGGTTGGGGCCGCATGAACACCAGCACTTGGCAGGGCAGGGATGCATGCTTGCATGGGTGCCAGAACAACGCTGGCAGGACGGGGCACAACGCATACTTGTTTGCCTGCGTGCATGGGGGTGCAGGGATGTCTACATACCGGTACGTGGGCCCAGCTGTCAGGCAAAGCGGGGAAGGCTGCACGCACGGGTGTACATACTTTAGCCCATACTTCAGCAGGATGGAGATGCATGCAAGCCAGTGGTCGGGAAGAGCAGGGAGCCAGCACGCGTGGGCGCTTTGGTATGGGCAGGATACCTGTGCGTTTGAGAGCCGTAGTGGGAGAGCGTGAGGGGTCCGTCTTGCTAGAGCACCTGTTGACATTCATGGGATGCCTTCGGCATGCCACATCTGTGCTGCTTGCGCGCTGCGTTCACTCGATGCTGTCGTTTTGCATGTTCTTGCTGCACTCAACCTGTGTTTGCGGCAATCGTCGTATTGGCAAACCTTGAACTGTGCGAGCATGCCTGCACGCACGGGTGCTTTGTACCGGTAGTTGCCTACACGAATGTATGGGTTTCGGCCGTTAAGGGTTGGGTAGCCTGCACGAACAGCAGGGCACGGCGGGGATGCCTGCCTGCACACGTGCTTGGTACTTGGGCAAAGTGGAGATTGCCCTGCACGCATGAGCGCTGTGATTTCGGGAGGAGGGACGCTTGCACGCTTGGGCGCTGTGCTTGGGCAAGGCGTAGATGCCACACATGGACACCCGTCTTTATAAAGTATAGAGGTTCTTCCACGAATGAAAGCTTGCCCCTTGGCAGCTTGAGCACGCACGAGGATGCATGCGCACAGCATTTGGGCAGGGGGGATGTCAGCATGCACCTTCTGGCACGCATGGGCTCGAGTCTTCGGAAACCACTGTGATGCCTGCATGCATGAGTGCTTTCACAGTTTGGGCACAGGCGGGGATGCACTCAGCAGGGATGCCTGGATGCAGGGTGAATGCGTTGCATGCACGGGGGCCAGTGAACAGGGTGGTGTTGTGTGCCCAAACAGGCGCTGCCGTAGCACGCACCATCCCGAGATGCACTGCAACCCTTCCCGACACCGGCAGGGTAGGTGCACTGATTGCCTGCGTGCATGGGGGTATGTATGGGCGCCAGCTGTCAGGCTAAGCGGGGAACGCTGCATGCATGGGCGTACGTACTCCAGCAGGGTGGAGATGCATGCACGCCAGTGGTTGGGTAGAGAGGGGGAGGCAGCACGCATGGGCGCTTTGGTGTGGGCAGAATGCTTGCGCGTTTGGAAGCTGTACTGGGAGAGAGAGTCAGGGCCCCCAGGCCACCTGCTGACCTGCCCGTTCATGGAGCTGCCTGTGGCATGTGGCACCTGTGCTCCTTGCTCGCGTATGTCACCTCAAGCCACCACATGCGGTTGGCTTGTAAAGCAATGATGGCGGGATGCAGCAGGTCAAAGGGGGGGCGATGATGCCAGCCTGCACTTGGCAGCTCAAGCACGCATGGGGACGCACGCGCACAGCATGGATGCCTGCATGCCTGTTATTATGGGCTTTGGGCAGAGCGGGAATGCTGTGTGTATGGGTTGGGCAGGCTGGCGCATGCCCACATGGGCGTCAGTACTTGGCAGGCCAGGGAAGACATGGATGTTTGCTGGGCAGGGTGGAGACGCTGGGATCGAGCGTGACACTACTTGCACTGCCGCTCGCGGGTTTGGTCGGGGCACGTGCTGACCTTCATGTTCGTGAAGCTGCTTGGCGCATGTGCAGCCCGCACGTGCACACTTTGGCTCACCGTTCTGCTTCTCTATCATTCTAGTAACGCGTTAGCAAGCATTGCAGGCGGCGAGTATGAGTTTGGCGTGGGAATGCAGAACGCATGCACTACTCAAGTGACAGGCCATCGCCGTCCTCTTCAAGGAAACATATTTAAAATGTTCTAGCTTAATGCATCTAAGCGCTTCACGCGCTCACAGAACGTCTCTGAGAGCGCAACTAGAATTCGTCGCCCCTTTGCGCTTTCGGCGGACGCTTTTCGCCTACACCGCTTTTGTCCATAACCAGTAACTATAAGCTAGTGCAATGCAGCCTTAGCTTTGACAATTTCACGTCCGAAGCTCAGCCCAGAAGTCTGAACGTCGCCCGACGCGAAGGAGCCTTTATTTACATAGCTTTTTTCATACGTTTTTACACCTAACGTCAGAGCGTACATCACGGTTGTTCCTGCGTCCTTCGCTGCAACCCTTCTATAGCGGTTCTGGAGCCCCAGGTTTTGTTGTCGTACACCAGTCCCCTGCGGGCGAAACGTTAAAGGCGTGCCTTCGAAATCTGCAGATTTCGCATATACTCTTCCTGACATATCAGCCATGCTGTTATCCACTGTATCTCCAAGCTATATGCTGCCTGGAAACGGTTGATTACAAACCCGCTTGCATATCATAGCTCCCATGCCTGGCCATGTTCTTACATTATCAGCAAAATCTTGGTTGGATTTCCCGTTCCTTAGCAAAGTGCGTAGCTGGCGGGAGTTGGTGATACGACCACGGCCCCAAGCTTCTCTTTCAGGGCGATGGCAGCACCAATCCCGGAATCACAACGCAAGAGCGCAACAAGCAGCTGTTGGTGGAGTGCTTACGTTGCTAGTCTTGGCGCTTTTGTACTTTGACAGCGCATCGCCACGGACTAGCAACTACCAGCGAATTAAGCCGCGTGACCCTGAAGAGAAGATAGACTATCCATCGAAAGAGGATAGCACAGCTAAAGCACCGTACGACTCAGCAAAATGCGACGCGCTATCGCGAACCCAGGTAAAGCGCATGTGGATGCACATTTGCACCTGTCGCCTTACTAGGGCGTGTTTGCAACGGCTACCGCGTGCATTGCGCGGTCGTCACGGCATACCTCGTTTAATCCTGCACTTGCCCTGGTCTTCCGCTACAAACGCCACCTACCCATGTTCCCGCACTTTCTCCTCACCTTTGCGGGCAATTCTTCGCCCATCATAAGGCCATTCCATCAACCCATGTCTGATGCCATGCAATACCCTGGCAACCCGCACACGGCCTCACAGGTATGCAGTCACCGTGCCACGTTGGGCCCTGGAGACGCAGACACGAAGACGCCCTTTCTGGATCGTCTTACACAGCTAGCTGCCAACGGTATCAACTGTTACGATATCGATGTCGTTTCTACAGCGGACGGCAAACTGGTGGTTGGCTATCCAGCGCAGATTGCAGCTGAGCTGCATTCCGCCGGCAAGGCCGTACCCAACGGTCAACTAGATGCCGTACCTTGGAGTGATTACGTAGCAGCAGGCCTCGAGCAACGCCATCCGCTGTTACAGGACGTCTTAACGGCCTTTGCCCGCATCGCCCTCCCGATGCTCGGCAAGCAGGATCAGCAGCAGCAACAGCAGCAGGCTGCTAGCAATCAAGATGCAGTGGGTGGCAGTGCTGATGGTGTTGCCGGCAGCTCTGATGACGCCTCCGCATCAGCTGCCTCCAGCTCCGGATCTTCAGCACTAGGTACGGAGATCTCTGCTCAGCATCAAGGGCAACAAGCCCAGACCCAACAACAGCAACACCAACAGCAGCGGCAGCAATCGCAGGGCGAAGACCAATCTCAAGCCGCAGGCAGGCTGCGCTTCCGCAGCGTCCGGCAGCAATCCCAACAACCACAACAGCAGCAATCCGACACACCACCTCACCGCGCGTCCTTCCCCCCGTTGCTGCTCATCGAGCTGAAGGACCGCGCGCTCACGGCAGCAGCCGCCCTGGAGCTGAGCAACGCCTCCCGGGCCCTCGGAGTGGAGCAGGCGGTGGGACTGTGGCTGCCCAGGAGCCCGGGGGCGCCTGCGGCGGCGGCTGAGGTGGGGGAGGTGCTGCGGAGGGCGGGGGCCAATCTGCTGAAGGTGCTGGCTCTGCCTGATCAGAGGTGAGAGCGGTGCTTGTGGTGGTGGTGATGGTGATGGTGAGGAGGAGGAGGAGGGCAGAGTGGAGGGTGGGTGAGGCATGGAGGGACGGGCTGTGCATGGGCATGGCCGCATGAAGGGTTCTTTGGTCCTTTTTCTGTCTTCGGCCGTTCACCATTCCTGGGGGTGCGTTTCACGACGCTAAACCCCAGCGCATCCCTAATAAGCAGCACCCCGCCCCTTCTCCTCCTGCCCTCCTCCCCAGCCGTCTCCCCAATGGCACGGTGGTACATGTCCCCCTGGCTCTTCAGCCCGAGGACTCTTCCATGTACGACATGTTCGGACCGAGCACCAAGCACTCAGACGAGGCGATTTCGCAGGTAGCAGCAGCAGTAGCAGCCGCAGCAAGTGCCGGGACGGCGGCAAGGACAGGGGAGCGCCGCATTGTTGCATGGGTGGTGGAGGGGGTAGCAGAGGCAGCGCGGGCGGCTCAGCTGGGAGCCGGCATTGTGGTGAGTAACGACCCGGTTGGGCTGGAGCTTGGGTTGGCGGCGGTGGTGAAGGAGCGGTGTGTGTCAGGGGGGTCGCTGGGAGCGCAAGAGGCGTCAGGGGTGGGACCGTAAGGAGCAGTCGGGGCTGAAGGAGGGAGGTAAGGGAGGAGGATGGAAAGGATGTTGGAGGGGGTTAGCAGCCGCTTTGGGGAGGGTTGCGCTGATCTGTCGTTGGGTAACCCGTCTGGTAGCGGGGTATCGGGGCGATGCGTTCCTGGGTTGCAGTTTGGGTGGAAGGTTGGGTTGGGATGTAGGTTGGGTGTCCACTCTGGGAAGCATTGCTAAGAGCATTCGGTGCTGCCGAGGAGGATGGAAGCATGCAGCAGAAGCTACGTGCATAGGGTGATGGTGGTGTCATGCAGGGAGGCGTGTGTGCAGCGCTGCAGGGGTGGGCGGAGGCGCGTGCTGGCTTCTAGGACGGTCAGTAGCAGCCTTCTTTACCGTAACATTTATCCACCGGGAGTTGGAAAGCTGCACGCCATGCAGTTGCTGAGAGGGCCTTATGTTAACGGGTCACTGAGAGTCCCTGGTGTTTCATTCAATCGTTCGGGTTTGTGGCATCAGACGCAGACCTGGCGTCTTTGAGTTTGCGGGAAGACCCGTACCTTCAGTCGGGCTCGGCCGTCGTAGGCTGCTCTCTTGTCACAGCTTAGTTCCGATAAACGGAGCGTATACCCTTGGGTGTTACTTTCACCCTAATCAACGTCGGCTTGTCGCAGGTGTGATAGCCGCTATCGTTTCCGTCATTTTGGGACAACTTGTCGAACCCGTGTCCCTATGCAAATTGCACAAACCGGTGGCTCTGCGATGTGTCACGTTGAGCGCTAGGTGGACAGCCGCGGGCGGGTGGGGGAAGAGGGCTGCTTGATGAGAGTGTCAGTGCATGTGCCGAGTAAGTAGCATAACCACATCGGTTGGAAGTGCGGCGTAACTATTGTGTTCAACAACACTCGGCACGACGTGTAGCACGGTTACAGGACGATACCGGTAGACTCACGAGAGAGACATGTACCTCGTGCAGGCACTGGAATGTGTACCCAGTTGTACATGCCGCATGACCATCCTTTTATTGTGTGCAGAATTTGCCTTTCTTCGAGTACCGGTAGGCAGCAACGCTAGTGTCGGACTATCTGACGAAACGCAGCAACAGACACGTAGCCAAAGCAAAATGACACAACCGAACAAAACAACCCAGTCAGGGTTCAGGAACAAAGACAACCATGATTCAACGAAGTAAGCAACTCACCACACCACATCCGGCAGGTGTGCATTGTAGGAGGGCCACTGCTCGTACACGTTGGCAGCGACTCCTTTCCCCCAACTGTCAGCGTTACTGGCTACGGTTTAGAATATACAGAAAAGCATACCGTGATTGCCCATGCCGCCCCCGGACCAACCTTTTAACAGCAGGTGTCTTGACAACACCTCATACCTCTTAAGCAGCCACCACCACCACCGCAACTACGGGCAACATGCGCCACGTAAGCCCATCATCATGTTGCCACACTTGCAAAGCAAACTAATGCATGGGGCCAAGGCCAGGCACGTCATACACACGACCATGCCGTGAGGCCATGCCCACTTACGCTTTTATACCTTATGCCAACACCATCACCCGCCGCTCGCAAGCCTCACCTCTGGAGGGAGCATGCGCACCTAGCCCGAAAGCTAGGGCCTTGGGACCCGCAGGAACCCCCAAAAGCGCACGCATGCACGTATTGGTTCGCGGGCGCTCGAATACACCTCTCTGACGTCACCCTCGGGTGCCACGCTGGCTTCACATGCCAGCCTGAAACCCCGCAAGCACACGCTAAACACGCACCTTTACCGAAGGGATGCGGTCCGCCTATGAACCCACACCTCATCCTTTTGCTTTGGCCTCTACGGCCCCATTATTACGTATTCCACACCACACCGCACGCCGCCCCCAGGACCAGTCCTCTGCCAAGCAGGACCCGAGGCTAAACGGTGCCACCGCCGTACGGCAGCCAGAAGGCCTGACAGCGCTAAGGAAGGAAAACACATATCGGACATAAGACAATCGCATCTAGCGTCACATGCTATCACAGCATTCCGACTCACGAAATTTCAGCGTCACAGACAGAAGAGGAGACACAAAGCGCAAGGCGCAGCCTCACGCGGGCGCTAGGATGCAGAGACTAGGAAGGCGCCTCGGGCGCTGTGCTAGGGAGGGCTACTATGGTACGCCCCCGACGTCGCGTCGGGCACGTAAGACATGGGGAGCCGCAACATCGCGCGGAGGGGCCCTCTTCGGGACCATACATGCAGAACAGAGAACCGTACCATAAGGTACCATACAAAAAACACTGGAACGCTGAAACGACACGTCAAACGTCACTCACGTGATCCATTTCGGGCGCACGCAAGGAAGAGATATAGGGTAACAAGACTAGGAACACGAGGAATGTGGAAGGGAAGAGAAGGGAAGGCGAGGGCGCCTGTCAGCTGCTGCATATTGCGTTCCTCCCGTCCAAATTAAGACAGTCGTCTTCAACGTTTTGACACCGCTAGATGTATATATATCAGGAACCCAAGCACACGTGGCCAGGCGCTTTCACCCTTGCATTTCTGCTGTGGAGTCTAGTACGATATAACCCTAGACAGGCAGGCACGCACCAAGAACCACACGGCACACGTCGGCATGCAAGACGTACACTATACACGGCTTCATCACGTATGTCTCAAATATTTAACAACGAGATTTAACACAACCAGGAACCTAAACAACAAAAAAGAGTTGGTGCTTGTACGGGTGAGGTACATACGTGGCCAGGTACACCCATAAGCTTGCCGGCTTGCACACGTGCGTCCACCACAAGCAACCAGATTCCTTCCATCACCCAAACTGCCTGCTGTCCTTTCGTACCAGCAAAGCCCTCGCACGCCTCAAATCGTACGCGCGTCTCGCACCCTTGTCCGACAACACAGCGTATGCCTCGGCCAGCAGCGGAAACACCGACGCCGACGCCGTCGTCAGCGCCACCGCCGGCGGCGACGGCGATGGCACACCGGCCGCGGCTGCCGCCGACGTCCCTGCCACCGCCGCCGACGCTACAGCCGCCTTGTCCGGGTGATACCGAAGCGCGAGTCGACGATACGCCGCCTTGACCTCCGCTAACGTCGCATGCGGCTGTAGCTCGAGTACGGCATAATGGTCAGCCAACGGCGCCGCCGGGGCTCCCGTCATGGCTGCAAGCATGGCGGCGGCGGCGCCGCCGCCGGCAAAGGCCATGGCGCCCGCCGCCGCCGCCGCGGCCCTGGCGCGATCCTGCAGACGTAGCAGCCGCTGCCGAAGCGTGGGAAGCTCCGTCGGGTCGACGTCGCCATGTTCGGTGTCGGCGGCGGCGCCGCCGCTGAGGGTGCGTTTGGCGGCGGCTGCAGCCGTCAGCTCAATGCACTGCTCCAGGGCGGCGGCGGCGGAGCTGAAGGCGCCGACGGCGGCAAAGGCGTCCGAGCGCCGCTGTGGGTCGTGAGGTCGAGGGAGAGGCGAGGGGCCCGTGGGAGGACAGGTTAACGAAGCATGAGGAGGTTAAGAACCATGGGTATGTATGACTTCTGCTTTAGCACACTGGTGGTGCATCACGTACTGATATTTGCGCGGCCGTGCGTTCGTCCGTCCGTCAGAACCATACCCAGCATGCGTATCTGCCCATTTCCAGTTCCAAATCCACAAAAAAGAGACTGCCGTACCTTCCATGGTCGTGCATATCCAGCATCGTACGCGCTCGCCGCGCAGCAATCCGCCACGGCATCCGCGTAATGCTCCATGGCCGTCAGGGCCGCGGCACGGTTGCAGTACAGCGCAGCTATGGATCGAGCCACATGGGGGGCAGTGCCACCGCTGGGAGATCGTGTCGTACCAGCGCTACTGCTGTTGCTGCTAGCGCCGCTGGCGTTGAGGCCTCCTCCCCTGCCGGCGGCGGCCCAGGCTTCAGGACCCAGGAGCTGTTGCAGGGCCGACAGCGCCGAGGTGTAGCAGTGGCTGGCGAGGGGGTACTGCTTGCTGCGGTAAGCGCGGTTGCCGGCCTGCGGTAGGAGGTGAAGGGCAATCGGAGGGAGGTTTGACACAGGTGGGGATTGCCGGATTGCCAACTTGGTTATCCAATATCCGTACTTTGTCCTTGTTGATGAACGTGACAAATAATGTTCTGGAGTAGCCATGCGCCTAGCATTGAAGCGCGCTCGGAGGGCACGAACCACACGACCACCAACCCCAATGCTCACACTCACACCTCCATACGCTCTCACCTGCTTTAGCCGCTCCACCTCCCCCGCCGGCCCCGCACCCGCCTCGCTGGTACCGCCACCGCCGCGACTGCTGTCCCTCCCTGCCGTCGCCGCCGCCGTCGCCGTCGTCACCACACCATCTGCTGCTGCTGCTGCCGCCGCAGGTGGCGTGCTGCTACCAACGCACGGGCTCACAGATGCTGCGGCTGCATGACAACAGCTCTCCTTGCCCGCGCTCGCAGGGGTAGCAGGGGTGGCAGCAGTCGCCTCTCCCGACCAGGAAGAGGAGGTGGCTACCCGCACGTTACGATGAGGTGCTGGAGGTGCTAGTGCAGCCGCATTGGCAGCGATCCAGCCGTGCATGCCGTCAGCTGCTGGGATGGTGCCGCCGCGAGTGGGGCCTCCGGAAGCGGAACCGGCCTTGGCAGCGTCATGAGGGGATGTTGCGGCAGCGGCGGCGGTAGGGCGTGGTGGTGGGGTGAAGGCGCCGCGAGTGGGTGAGACGGGGTCTTGAAGGGGCCGCGTTAGGCTGTCGGCGGCAGCTGGTGAGGGAGGGAGTCCGTGCCTGTGAGGGAGAATCGGCGACGGGGCGACCATGGGCTTTAGCGCATGCATCAAGAAGCACCGGGAAGGGCGCGGTCGACCAGAGGTAGCAAACAGCGTTGCCTAACCCCCTGCTGCATCCCCGACAGACACGGTGCCAAGATACACACAAACCCTCCAGCCTAACACATCCCCTAGCTTCCACCGTCCTAGCCAAGTCCGGGCCTGCCGCAGAGCCCCAGCCCCAGCCCCACTCCCCCCACACCTGCGCAATGGCATGGACGCTGAAAAGCTGGAGCCCAGACCGCTGCTGCCGCCGCCACCAGCCGCAGCTGCAGCCGCACCCATCCCAACACCGCCCCTGCCGCCCTCCGCTCCTCCCAAACCGCTGCCGCCACCGTCCTGGCTGAATCGCGGCTTGGGGCGTTCCCTCACGGACGCCGCTGCTTGGAGGTCGTGCAGAGCCCCAGCGGACCGCTCGCTAGGTAAGGGAGCAGGCGTGGAGCCCATGGGAGCCGTGAAGGGGCCGACGGTCTCCGCAGCACCGGCAGCAGCCGCAGCCGCGACGAAGGCGGCGGAGGCAAACGTCGAGGCCGGTGGAGGAGGCATGGGACGCGTGGGCTCGGTGGCAGGGGAGGAGAGACCTTGGGGACTGGGGGCAGCAGTTGGGGTGCGAGCTGCAACTGGGGCCGCAGTGCATGACGACGATGGCAGCGCGTGTCCAACAAAGGCGAATGAAGCGGTGGGATTGCTGGGCGCAGCATCGATGTCATCTTCAGCAGTAGCGATGACGCCAGCTGTGTTAGCGACTGCGGCTGCCACGGCGGCTGCCCGGATTTGCAGCATTGCATCGCTAAGGCTCCTCCGAATCGATGCCCCGCCGAGACTGCAAGCAGGCAGCAGAAAAAGAGAATCGGGTCAGGGTCAGGAAGTTTCTTACGCATGTCTCAGCGGTGTCGCAGCGGTATTATCGCTGTATGCCCTAGAGTATTGCCATGTCCCTTTCAGCATCGGCTGCCAAGGTGCCAACGAAGGACGCCTAGCGCCCAACGCACCCCTCCTTCCAGCACCCATGCCCACGTCCCTACCTCTTCTGCACGCGACGCTGTGCATACCCCAGTCCAGGCTCCAAATCGCAACCCGCTTTTGACGCCGCTGCTGCTGCCGCTGCTGGTGCTGCAACTGCTGGCTTCGTTGGGACAACCGCCCCCGTCGGCCTCGCGACCGCCGCTGCCGCCGCCGCTGCGGTTGCCTTCGCAGGCGACGGAGCCAGTGCCGCCGCTGCCGCCGCAGCACCGCCGCCCCCGCTGCTGTCCCCCCTGCCGACCATGTATCCTCCTCCTCCCATGCGGCCGTAGCTCACATACCCCTGTACGACACTCGCCCCAGGACCCGCCGCCACTGCGTTCGTCGCCAGTGCAGGTGAGGCTGGGGTGGAGCCGGAGCCCGCACTCAGAGCCCAGGACCGCTCGGCGGCCCTAGCGGACGCAACGCGCAGGGCCGCTAGGCTGGCGGCGGCGGCGGACGCGCTGATCCCCCCGCCGCCACTGCTGCTGCCGCAGCTCACGATGCCGCTACCGCTGCCGCCGGAGGAGCCGTTGGATATGATGCTGCCAGCAGCGACCGGGACGGACGCAGCTGCTGCTGATTCGGCAGCAGCCGTAACTGTGCCAGATCCGCTCGCTGGGCCCGCAGATGCAGACCCAGGCATGATGTGTTGTCCTGAGTTGGTCATGGCTGTACCACCTGTTGCTGCTGCTGTTGCTGGTACCGGAGCAGCCGGAGCACCCGCCGCCGCAGCCGCCCTAAGGCAGCTCAGCTGCGCCGCTGCGGTCTGCAGCTGCTCCTCCGCTGCGGTGGCACGAGCCCGCCAGCGACGTATCTCATCCTGGGCTTCAGCCTGACGGGGAGTGACAAGCGTTGTGCGGAGGGCAGATTACCATGTGGATCGGATCTAGGGTGCAACGTGCTCGTCAAGCCCTTCCACGGCCATCCAACCCACCACCATGCAACCCCCACACCAACGCATGCGCACCTGCCTGCATACAACCCCCCAAACGCCCACACCCGCACACCCATCACGCACCCGCGCCCTCCGCAGCTGCCCCTGCAGCTCCTCCACCACCGCCGCGAGCCGCTCAGCTCGCCGCTCCGCCGCCGCCTCGGCCTCCGCCGCCGCTGCCGCGGCCGCCTCCGCATGCCGCCCCAGCTGAGATGTCAGCTCCAGGATCTCAGCCCGAGCCCGCCCCAGCTGCTCCGCTAGGGCTAGCTCGCGCCGGTGGGAGCCCTGCAACTCCTCCAGCAGCTGCGCTCGCTGGGCGGCCAGCTGAGCCAAGTTGGGGGTGGTGGCTGCTGCTGCCGCTGATGCTGATGCCGGGGATTGTGGGGCTGCTATGGGTGATGCTAGCTGTGGTGGTCCTGCCGCTGTTGCCGTTGCAGTTCTGGCTGGCATTGCTGTTTGTGGTGTTGCTCCCGAGCTTCTTCCTGGTTGAGGTGTGCAGGCGGAGGCCGCTGCGGCGGCGGCGGCAGCAGTGGCGGCTTGCCCAGCCGCAGTCGCTGCTCCTGTAGCTAGAGCAGCAGCTGTTGCCAATGCTACAGACGCCGGCGAGGAGACGGAGGCTGTACCCTGCGCAGGGCCCCCGCCAACGCTGCTACTTCGAAGCTTGCTGCCGCTGCCACCGTCGCTGCCGCTGCCGCCGTCGCTGCCGCTGCCGAGTAAGGCACTGCCAATGCCAGCGTCCATATAATAGCCACCACCGCCGCTGCTGCCGCTGGCGCCAATGCGACCCACGCTAGCGCCACCACCGCTGCCGGCCCGTACACCACCAGAGCTGCTGCCCCCGCCGCTGCTTCTTCCCCCACGGACGCTGCCACTGCCCTCCCCTACAAGCCTCTCAACACTCCTGGTTGTGTCCCCCGTGGTAGGCGAGGATATGGCACCTGTGGGGTCGGCTACTGCCACAGAAGACGAGGACGATGAGGAGGTCAGCGTTTCCAACAACACCGCTGCTGCAGCCCTTAACGCCTCCTCTGTTCCAGAACTGAAGGTGCTGCTGATGGTGCCTGCGCCGGAGGCAGGACCCGAGGACAGCAGCGGAGCTGCACTAGCGGAGGACAGGTCGGCGTTGGAGGTCCCACCATTTCGTTGGATTGGAGAGTCGAGACGCTGTGCCTGTGTGAGAAGGTCGTTGCACGCTGCCGGGATTGGTGCGGCGGGGTAAGCGCGTAACGGAACTCCGCTGCTCCTGCTGCCGCAAACAGCGCTTCCGCTCGCACCGCCGTCGGCTGCGGCAGCCAGTGGACTACAGCGGCTGATGGTTGGTGCTTCTAACGCACCGGGAAGCGGGGCCGCAGCCTGACGTGATGCAGCACCCGCGTCCTTAGCACTCACAGCGCTGCTGCTGCTGCCGCCACCAACCGTTGGTGCAACGGCAGCAGCTGCCGTACTGCAACTGCTGCTTTGAACTGGCGCCCCGACGGCTGCCGCAGCCGCCGCGGCAGCAGCAACGGCACTGGCGGCGGCGAAGGCGGTCGCAGCGACGGTGCCTATCCGAGATGATCCGCCGCTGCTGCTGGCGCTTCCGCCGCCGCTGCTGCGTCCGGCACTGCCGCCACCGCTGCTGCCACTGCCGCTACGCCGTGCGGTCAGGGTGCCCCATGCATGGGGGCTAGCAGGCATGCCGCACGCTTTCGGTGCAGCCGTGGCTGAGGCTGCAGCTGCTGCGGCAGTTACCGTACCTGGGACAGGGCTAACAACCGTCGTACTGGCAAACGCCGGTGCACTGAGGCGAACCGGAGTTGCCGGAGAGGACTGCGGCGGAGACGACCGGACAGGGGAGCTTGGGGCGGCACTCGCACTCCTTGCGGCGGGAGCTGGACTGGATGCGTGTTGTAGGATTGTCGTGTGCGCTACCGGCGTACCGAGGAGGTCAGCAGAGGCAGGCGCAGTATAGGGGACCACCGTAGCCGCTTCAACGGCAGCAGGAGGAGAAGGACTGGTCGATACGGCAACCGCTGCGGCGGGCGGTTTTGGAGTAGGTATGACAGCTGCAGACGCCTCCAAAGTAGTTGGCGCCGCAGCAGCAACCTCTGTAGTAGGAGCTACGGCGCCGGGAGCTGTGCTAATGACAAGCCTGGCCAAAGCTGAGGAGGCGGAAGCGACCTTTGACGGCAGAGGCGGAGTTGGGGCTGCGGATGGTCTGGGTGGGGTGCCGGGAGCACCTACCGCTCGTGTGAGCGCTGACCCAGATGACGCTGCGGTTGTAGTTGCGGTTGCTGATCCCGCCCATGGACTTACAACTCCTGCTGGTGCTGGCACCTGGCCGCTTGCAGGTTCCTCTCCAGAAGCCGTCCTGCTTTTGGGAAGCGGGGCGCCGCTTGGTGGCGACATGGGGAATGTCGAAGTCAAAGAAGTACTGCTCGTACTATAGCGCCCCGCTGGTGGAGCTGTTTCTTTGGAGTGCGGAGAGGCGTGGGAATAGGGAGTGGAACTGTAGCTTTGGAGCTGCACTCCTGAAGGAAGCGAAGGCGCTGGTGCGGATTGGATGGCCGGCAGCGCGGCTGCCTGGCTCCAATTGCGAGGACGAGGGCGGACTTGGCTAGCTGCTTGGTCGCCAAGCTTTCCCGAAGTATTCAATGCTTGAGCAGGGAGAGCCGGTTCTGGAGATGTTGGGTGGACGGCGGCAATTATCCCCGAGATGCGTGACTGTGAAGGAATGCAACTTGTGTCCACGGCTAGCGCGGCCGCTGAGGAACATGACACACGCCGCTGCTTCAAGCTGAGAAGGATTGCCCCCACATCCACGGACGCCCTAGGCGAGGGAGCCACAGGGGCTTCGCCGCACGAAGCCAGAACTGGAACTTCGGGAGCGTGCGCCATAATATACAAGTAGGTTATGCGCTAGAGGAGAAACCTATACGTGTTATTCATATAAGCACCGCTTAGAGTGGGTCTATGGAGTCTGTACGCTTTCCCAACCCGAAGACAGAAAGGCTGGGCCAAGGCGTGAGTCGACCTCATGTGAAGCAATAACGATTTGCATATTCTAGCGTTATGTGCCCGCCCGGTCAGCTGGTCAGGGCAGCTAAATTTTCTTGACTGCCAGGAAGTCGATGTCTATGGTAAGTGGACCCGGAACCACTAAGAACACATAGTTGACTACTAGTTATATCACGTTACATAAAGCTGAACCCTAAAACTGCCCACTGAAAGCAAACGTTTACTCTTCGCTTGTCGCAACCGGACGGCAGGATCCACGGGGTCAAAACGCAACGCACACAGTTTTCGTTGATGCGCCCAACAAGGGCGGGTAAACGGCAACATCATTAGAATAGTATGTGAAGCATATTTCCTATGGCGGTAGTGGCTCCTAACAGGGTGAGACGCAGGCGTTCAACGACACCAACGTACAGGCCTAGGCAATAACCAGCGCGATAATTTGCAGTGATCATCGTTAGTGACATACATTTGTGAACATAAGAAGCGAACGAAAACTTGCAGAATCAACGGGGCAGACCAGAGGCATACCTACTGTGTTGCTACGATAGGCTGCGTCGCCCTTTGATGTTGGAAAAGGTTCGCCCCAGCTTCGACGTACATACTACCGTGAGAAACGACGCCTCTACAGCACCTCAGTGTATCCCCCCTTTCGCAACTTTACAACTCGCAAGGCGACGAGTCCCCCTCCCCCAGCATCATTCCGGCGGTATCGACACCCCCTCAAACCTCAACAAATGCACCACCCCACCCTCGGCCACACAGTGGTGTGCTCACAGGCAGCGTATTCCCGCAGAAGATGGGACCAGCCTTACTAATACTAACAAAACACCAGTTACACGCGACGCAGCCCACACTATGTAGTCAACGCAACAGTTCGCTTCGCCAGGTGCCGGGGCCTTGTGCAGGGCCTCTTTGGGTTGCAATGCTGAGGAACGCAAAGTCGTACATACGCACTGACTTCAGAGACAGCACCCCTCTCGTCGCTGTCACCATAGCATCCCACCAATGCACGGTGCAGCCTTGTCGCATACATGGTTAGTTTCTCCTCTCTGCCCCTTGTTCCACCATCACCTGCCGCCACCATCCGTCAATCCGTCAACATGTGCAGGCCAACGCCGCTCTCACCGAACATACCGATACCGTCACGCTACCAAAACGGAAAGTAGCAATGCATGCAAACGAGCGCAACGGTAAGCTGTTGTGGTATGTACGAATGACTAGCAACCGCTAAGGAGCAACGTACGGTTGAAACGAACTAACCGCCATTACGAAATTAAGCACGTACTACTGTATCCTCGCTTCCAACAGGGCGACGCAACAATTACGTCGAGCCTCCAAGGCCATCGCCCGCAGCCAAGCCGATCGCACCTGTGCAGCGGTGGAGCGGGTCCAAGACTTCCTGCGTACCGTCAAACAGTTTTCACCCGAACCTCTTCATGTCGTCAATGTACAATCTTCTTCCTGTCACCGTGCACAGGTGGCCTGCCGCCATCATGCTTCAAAGCAGACGGCAACCGTCATGTTGCATAGCGCGCGTGTTCACTCACTGCTCTACGAAACCACAGTTGGGGGGCCAAAACAAGGATAGGGAATACACGTTTGCAATGCGCTGCCCTGTGTACAGGTAGCATTGCCCTGCCCCTCCGATCACGTGTCGTGACGTGTCCAACACACATGCCAGTACACCACTTCGGCCTCTGGCGCCTGGGAACCTCAAACCAGCTAGCAGCACCAACGGCGTCAAGGTGTGTCTTATGGACAGAACACATTCATAACTCATGGTATCAAAGCGGTATATAATACCGGTAATCTGCAAGGCAAGAAGGGCTGCATGGTGTCTGCATGTGCCCTTCCCCCTCCAAGCTGCCGTGGTTGTTGTTGCCCCCGCACAGCTTTCCGCTGCAGAGTGCCCCTCTGGGTTGGTTCTTGCCGCTGCACATCGCATCCTGTATCCTCTCCTTTGCATGTTGGTTCCATTGCCCCAGGTTGTACGGTATTGCTCGTACTGTCGTACAACACGCATAGCCGTACAGCTGCTGTCTCCGTGTGCCTGGGTTCGCAGCGACGGTGTCAAGAGTAACATTTGATCGCGCGCCGAACTTGTTCAAGACTGACTATCTGCTCCTGTCACGTGCTTGTTGTCATCAGCTGTGGTATTGTCCGCTCAGGATTTGCCTTGCTTTCTCTGCGCGAGAGTCGCATGGGGCAAGCCAGAAGGGGAGGCGGTCAGGTGATTCGATGCTAGCTGTAAATGGCCGTGTGAGAGGTTGAACTCCACAACCCGGATGCACACATGGGCATGCCATGCAGCGCAACATGCCCCCCTACTACATCCTAGAAGCGGAGGTCCTCCTTTAATCGTAGGACCATCCCCTGTCCGCCGCACGGGCCGCCGCCCTCATAACGTCTATTTACGATTGCTAGTTGTCCTAGCCTTCCTTTTAAGACAGCGGCAAAACGTGAACACATCACGGCCCCGCCCCTGTTAGCTACACAACAAATGAATGGGACAACAGGAGCCCAAATAATAACTAAAAGCAACAAAGCTTCCCCACACACAAGGAAGCTTCCCACCAGCAAACCCTCCATCCTGCTCCTCCTCCGCTCCTCTCCTCTCCCAAAGCCTCCTTCTCTCTCGCTTCTTCCCACCGCCAACTCACATCTTCCAGCTCACCTAAACATCCCTTGCAACACCCCTGCACACCACCCGTACGCTAGCATAAAAGTGTGAAGGCAACAAAAACATGGCCACACCATCCACCTCCTCCACGACCGTCCTCCATAAACCGTATTAACACATGTGACATGTCCGTACTCAACACGCCGCGCACGTTGCCCCAGCAAGCATGAGCTGCATGGCACCGCACGGTGCCCCTACAACCTGCCCCAAGCATCCACCCACTACCTTACTAACCCCAACGCACGCCCCAGAAGCCCCAATCACCGCCGTCTAAACGCCTCACCCGAGGGCTTGCGTCCGTCCGCCCCGACGGCATGCGCGCGAGTGCGGTTGGCGGAAGGCGGCGCATTGAGGATTCGCTCGCCGCACGACGAGTCGTACGCGTAGCCGTCCGAGTCAATGCGGCCGCCGTCGCCCGCCGCCGCCGGGCACGTGCCGCCGCCAACGGCACATAACGGCAGCCCTGACCCAGATGGCGCCGACCCAGATGGGGCTGATGGGCCACATGGGGCCGAGGAAGAGGTTTGGAGAAGGTTAGCAGGACCGCCTTTGGATAGCGTCACGTATCTGCGTCGGCAGTGGTGGCAGCAGCAGCAAGCGGAATCGGAGGGAAGAGTCAAAGTTTGGGAGGGTGTGGGGATGGCACATGCGCATTGAAGGAAGGTTATAGGAAGGGCGGAAAAGGCCCTGCATGCCCTAAAGCCCCGAACTGTTTCCACCACATCCTCCGAAAGCCGCTTTCTCCGCGTCTCCACTCACATTTTGCCGTTCTCCTCGACCACCGTGTGCACTCTTTGTCGTACACCGTTGCTGCAGGGCGCGGGAGGAAGGTGGGGGACACGAGGGAACACGGAAGTAAGGAACAGAGAAAGGGGGTTCGGCAGGCTATATATGGACGGCATGCAAATGATGTTACAGACAGTTGGCTTTGGCCAGCCAATCAATCATTCAAGCCATGCTGTAGACCATGCATCCAACAGATAAGGACTCACGTCTTCCATTCGCCACCGACCATCTTGCCATTAGTGAATTGAATGCTTTGGTAGTACTTGTCGCCAGTTTCGATGTCGATCTGAGGCCGCGTTTGATTGTAACCCGTGGTTACATGGAAGCTCAGGCAAGAGGGAAACATACCAGTGCGCCTAACGCGTTGGTTCATGGGGTTTTACCTTGTAGAAATGCCATGGGCACACCAGACACGCGTGCCCGTCGATGTCTTCTATGTCGCCGAGGCCCTGGACGACGGGATGGTGAGGATGGTTACGGGCCGGGCGCGTGTACCAAGCAGCACACAGAGGGGGCGAAAAGAATCTTACCAGTGGGCCCCCCGCGTGAAAGCATATGCTGTCTATGCAAGATAGCTTGCCGTTGACCCTCAGAACCGTGACGTACCGACCCTGCGACATGACGTGGTCAATAGCGTCAGGGCCCTCCCACGCTACTCATATATTTCATACAAAGAAACCCACTTCAATCTTTGCATGTAATCTCCCTCCTTCAGGGCAAGCTGTTGATTCGCCTACGTAAGCTCCAGGTGCGGACGCTGCTTGTGTCCCAGGAGTCGCCGGAATGTTAGTTGACGAGGAAAATATCCTAAATAGTTTCATTGTTCGAGTAGTTAATATGGTATCGCCTTCGTCTACGTTCGTCAGGACCCAAAAACATGCGTGATTGATCAAGTTAAGGGTACCACACTCCTAGGTGATTTTCGATTTTACCCCCCAGAAGCTGGGCCCTTTCTGGAACGTTGTCGCTTCCCAAACATGAAACCTTGTACGACTATACTCGGCAATTAACGGGTCAGAGCTTTTGCTGCGTTACGCACTGATCAGCAAAGAAAGTGCCGCTAACTGAAGGACTGCTTTCGCTCATGTATTGGTCGCGCTTGGGCAGTGGCCACGTGGAAACTCGTGCCTTGCATCCACATCCACACTTTGTTAGATAGAGACCCCAAGTACCTTCTGCTTGAAAATGACCAAAGGATTGCAAAAGCAGTGGATTAAGACGTGCCACGCACGGGAGCATGCCGTGCCGGGCCTTAGCAGCTGTCGCTGTCGATATCCGCCCCGTGCATACATCACCCGACGCAAAGCCATGACCCTTCATCACCAATAGACGCCTATATGAAGCGAGCAGCCATTACGACACATACCAGCTGGTCGCACGTGCAGTCCAAGCTTTGAAAGTCAACACGGATTCCGGCGGGAGCAAACGACAAAGTTGACCCCTGCTACCTCACCGCGTTCTAAGATTATGCTCCGCATAAACCTGCCGCTGGCAAAGCCTCCTAATCAAGTTTACCCACACATCAAAACCGCCCGCCCTTTTCCCGCCTTCCCGCCGCTCGCAACCACCCTAGCACAACATACATCATTACCATGCCACCTAAGCGACACATCTCTTTACTCCCGGCATCAGCCTTCCCCGGCATCCCGCAACCACCCTCACTCCACTCCGCCGCCGCCGCCACCCCCCATCACCAGCGACCCATCATCCTCCGCCACCACCGTCAACCCCGGCGCCGCCACCAGCGGCAACGCAGGCAGTCCAGACACCTCCGGCGCCGCCGCTGCCGCCGCCGCCGCGGCCGCCAGCAGCGTGGAATGCTCCCGATACAGCGGCCGAGGACCGCCGGGGGCAGCACTACCTGCACCCGCACCCACAGCCCCCGCTGCTGCAGCAGCTGCTGCTGCGGGGTGTGCTGCTGCTGCCTCCTGAGGGGATGCCAGTCGCATACCTCGCGCCATGCGCTCCAGCACGAGTGAGACGTGTTTGCGCAGGCGCTGGGTGTCCTTGGCGGGGGCCAGGGGGGTCACCTGGGGCGGGGCGGGACCGGGGGGAAATAATATTAACAAGTGCAGCAACTGGGGAGTCAGGGGGGGGTTAGGGGTGGTAGGGCGAGGGTAAGGAGGAAGAAACTGATTACCGGTAACCGTCTGGTAGTTGTAGTGCGGGTTGCTGAGGAGGAGGAGGCGGAGGAGGATAGCAGTGCGAGGAAAGCATGGTGAAGGAAGGGCTGTTGAGGGCTGCCGCCGCCGCCGAGGCTCCCATGCACCGTTCCCTCCCTCTCCTTCCGCCCCCCTCCCCCACCACCCCCTACCTGCACCGCCTGCTCCTTGGCGTTCTTTGCCAGACACGTCCGCAGCAGGTGCGTCATGGCGGCCTCCGTGGTCTCCTCCCAACCCACCTCGCTGCCGTCGATCACCTGGGCAGGGGGCCAGCAGCAGCAGCAGGGGGCAGGGGGGGTAAAAAGATATAATGAGACACTGACGAGGGCAGGGGGGGCAGGGGGGGGGCAGGAGGGCAGTGGGGGCAGCAGGGGCACGCGGGCAGTGGGGGACATTCAGAGCCTAGTAGAGGGGGGCCTAGTGGAAGTCGTCCGAGCAGGCTCACACGGCGGATGGTGAGGCGGCGGCGGTGGGCAAGAGTGTGCTGAGCAGCAGCACGAGGAGCGCCAGTAGCGCCATGTAGTCGTGGCCCCCCCTCCACCCCCTTACCTCTGGCGCCATGCTGGCCCGCAGCACGCCGAACTCCGCCTCCGTCAGTCCGAACCGCCAGCGCACCAGCAGCAGCAGCAGCTGCACGCACCCAGCCAGCCGCCGCGCAGCAGCCGCCACCGCCGCCTGCGCCGCCTCCATCTCAGTGCCCAGATCCATAAGCCCCTCGTACGTCTCGTTCATCAGCAGGTCCAGCTGGTTGAGGGACGCGGGGTTCTTGTCCTGGGGGGGCGGAGTGGGGGGGCGGAGTGCATGGAGGGAAGGGGAGGGGTTGGGGCGGATAGGGGATGGGTGGGAAAGGCCTCACGCTAACCAGACCCCAACCCCTGCCCGGGTCTTCCCCGACCCCACAAAGTTACCTGCACGTTTCGCCCACATTCCACTTCCCCGAAGGGTTTTTCAATACGGCAAACCCCCACCAGGCTTTTCTGCTGCTCCTACCCTCACCTCCCCCCTTCCACCCCCCCACCTTGAACCGCATGAGCAGCCTCTTCTCGATGTTCCTGAACTGCACCGCGCGGTCCTCCAGCGCGGTGCGCAGGGCGGACACACGCAGCCGGGCAGCGAAGTGCTGCTCAACAACCTGAGGGGGGCCAAAGACCACACCGGACCATAGGAAACCACAGGTTGGGGCAGGGCAATGGGGATAGGAAGCGGAGGGGGGGGAGGTAAAGTAGGGGGGCAGGAGGTGAAGCCAGCCCTGTCGGCTCTCCTGAACACTGTTAAGCGGACGAGGGGCTATATGCCCTTCCTTGAACGCAAGAGCCAAGCCTGCGGTAACGAAGTCCTATACCGTGTTAACAACAGCAGCTGCAACACCCCATCATCCATCCCCAGTCCCTCACTCCCCCACCCCTCACCCTCACCCTCACCCCACCCCTCACCCCACCTCAAAGAAGTCGTCCAGCGGCAGGGCGTCCTCGTAGCCGAGTGCGAAGGGGCCCTCCGGCGGCACCGGAAGACCCGCCTCAGCCTCGCCGTAGTAGCGGGTGAGGCGGGAGGCCAGCTCCTGGGGGCGAGATGGGTACAAAGAAGGAAAACTAACTGGGAGATGGGTGGAGGGGAGATGCGAGTGAAGTGTGTAGGAGGGGGTCTTGGGTGGGTGATGGTGGGGACGGGGTTGGTTACATGCATGCATGCATGCATGCAACCCATAGTGAACAAGCCTCGTCATACAGTTCGTCAGCTTCCTTATCTTCTACCCGGTTCCCCCCCCCGCCCCCCCCCTCACCCCCGCCACCAGCCACAGCGCCTCCAGCACATCTGACTGTATGCGGTACCGCCCGCCCGCCTTGGACACCAGGATGGTCACGTCGCCGCAGCCGCCGTGGAACTGGAACGACAGCACGCTCGCACTGCCACCGCCACCACCACCGCCAGGGGTGCCGGGAGTGCCCCCACTGCCGGTGAGGCCCAGGCTGGCGCCGCCCAGGTTGAGGCCGCCGCCGATGACTGGGCCGGCGAGCGCCTGAGAGGGGAGGGGGAGGAGGAGGAGGTGGAGCAGGAAGGAGGGGTGACGCGGGTTGGGCTGCGCTTGAACCGTGCGCGGGGGGTCTATAGCAGGGTCTCTGTTGCTGGTCCTATGGTTCGGTATGGTCCTGTCCCCTCCCCTCCCTTCCCCCCCCCCGTCCCCACCTGGGCCACCCCGGGCGGTGCAGCCGCCAGCACATCCTCGAACAGCGAGCCCAGCGGCGGCGGGGCGCGGTTGGTGGCCAGCGTCACCTTGAACTCTGGAGGAGCAGGGCAGGGGGGATAAAAAGGAAACAACTCAGGGGGGAGGGGAGGTGGAGGATGTGGGTGGGTGGAAGGGTCGGGCGGCAGCAGCAGGGTGTACAGGGGGAGAGAGGGTTCATAGTAAGGAGGCGGGCGTGAGCAAGGAGGAGGTCAGACAGGAGGAGGAATGGAATGCAATGGTGTGGCAGCGCCATTTCGAATCCCCGCCCTGCCCCCCCCCCTCCCGCCCCCATCACACGGCCAGCTAGTTGTTTCCTCCGTTACCCCCCTTCCGCCCCACCTGCGTTCTTGACGGGCGGCACCAGCTGGCAGAAGGCGCACAGCGGCAGCAGCAGGTCGAGACGCTGGCTGCGGGGCTCGCCAGCTGCATGCGTGGGGGAAAAGGGGAAACAACTAACTGACTGAAGGGGTAAAAGAATAGTGAGACACTGACGATGCAACTGACGAGCTGTGTGGGGGCAGGGAGTGGGGTGTAAATAGGGATACCGATACATACGGTATTCCGCATTAGGCTGGAGGGGGCCCTAACCCCCTTCCCATTGCCTTATCACACGGTTCCTTAGTCGTTCCCCCCCCCCTCTCCCCCCCCCAAGCACCCACTCTTGCTGGTGTATGTTGCCACCACCAGTGCCGTGTGCGCTGCGGGCAGGCCGGTGCCGGTGGCCAGGGTGAGGAGCACCAGGGTGGGGTCGGCGGGGTCGGAGCTGACGGTGGGGACGGAGATCTCGGGCTGGGGGGGGGGGGAGGGGGGAGGGAGAGGTGGAACGCCATGCGTGAGGGGGAGGGGGGGGGGATCAATAGAGGGGGGAGTAGAAGGAAGAACAATTCGTGAGAGGAGGGGAGCGGAGGGGGAAAGAAGGATCACCTCCCGGTTTTCCTAGGGCCACGGTACCTGTATTTCCTCCCATCTCAGCCAACCCACACCCCAACCTTCCCCCTTCCACTCCCTCCCTCACATCCCCTCCCCCTCCCCCCCCGCTCTCACCGCCACGGGTGTGAGTGGCTCGGGTGCGGTGATGGAGAGGGTCAGATCCTCCGCACTGCCGCCGCCCTGGCAGGTAGGTAGGGGGGAGGGAGGGAGGGAGGAACAAGGAAGGGAGGGGCTCGGGAGAAGGCGGCATGTAGCGTGGTTGTCATTCCCCCGCAGCACCCCCAGCCAGCCCCGCACGTTTCTTCCTCTTTGCCCCCAAACACCCCCCCCCACCGTCAATTTTCTTATCTTTACCCCCCCCAGCCGCCTCCCCCCCCCCACCTGCAGCACCAGGTACAGCTTTATGGTGAGCCGCTTGCCGCCCGCCACCGCCCCCAGCGAGGACAGCTCCTCCACCTCACCCAGTCCGCTGCCGCCGCGGGGGGCGTCCAGGCGCTGGGGGATCTGCATAGGAGGGGGGAGGGGAGGGGAGGGGAGGTGGGGAACGAATGAAAGGTGAAGCACCGGAGCCCCACTCCCATATCCCGACCCATGCAGTGAGCGCATACGGAGGCACTGTTCTAGGAACACGCAAAACAACGCATGGGGGGGGGAAGGGGCCGGAAGGGGCGCCAAGGAAGGAGGAAGGCGCAGTGGATCAGCAGCTGCTGATCCCTGGCCGCTCGGGACTCACAACGCCCGTTGCAACCACCCCTTGCTTTGCCTTAACCTGTGGCTTCCTGTGGTATGGTATGGTCTTTCCTCCTCCCCGCCCTCCCGCACCTGCGCCCGCATGATGAGCCGCTCCGCCGGCTCCACCAGCCGTCCCCCGCCCGCCCCCCCGCCGTGCTCCCGAATCACCGCCGCCAGCTGCCGGTGCTCCCGAGCCATGGCCTCGTAGTCCAGGTCCTTGCCCTGGGGGGGAGGGACGGAGGGGTAAGAATAAGGAAACTGACGAGGCAACTAACGAGCTGTGTGACGAATGTAGGCTTCAACATGGGGTGCAAACATGGTGACAGAGGGGGATGGGACGGTGGAAAGGGGGGAAAGGAGGGGTGCGTAGCATGGAAACATACCCCACATACCCAGCATGGCCCACGCCCACTGCCCATGCCTAGTGCCAGCCTGCTAAGCACAACCCTCCCGGGGTCCGACCCACGGGTCATCCTCCCGCCCGCCCCTACCTCGGTGAAGCCCACCGGGTTCAGCAGCGGGTCTGTGCCCATGTAGGCCACCGTGAGGCCCCCCGCGTCGTCCAGCAGCACCACCCCGCCACGCATGCCGGGCAGGTCGGCGACGGTGATGGCGACGGGTACGGCACCCGCCTGGACCGGGGGGAGGGGGCGGGAGGGGGGAGGGAGGGGGGAGGGGATGAGTGAGGGAATCAATAAGGCGACGTCTGGCTGGATCATAGGATTACGTATAGTCATACTTGTTGGGCTATAAGGGAGGGGAGGGGAGGATAGGAAAGACCCCTAGTAGCTGCAGCACGGGGGCGCGCATGCAGCCGTCAAATGCACGCGCATGAGGACAGCCGCACGATCAGGAATCAGCCCACCCTGATCCCTACCCGCTCCGTGCCGTGCCGTGCCCCACGCCACCCACAAACACCCTCCCCCCAAAAACACCAAGTAAAACACCCTCTCCCCCTTCCGCCCACCTGCATCAGGTCTGCCTTGGCTGCCCATGTGAGTACGGAGGAGCGGTAGACCAGCAGCGCCCGAGTGTGCGTGGCCACAAGCAGGTTCTCTATGGGGGGGAAGAGGCAGGGGGGTGGTTAACAGGGATACCGGTACATACCGGTATTCCGCATTAGGCTGGACTAGGCAGGAGGCAGGGTGAGGGAATTGCACGGGTGTTGACTGGTCGGTGAAGCAACCAGCCGAGCCCACCAAGCCCGACTCATACTAGCCAAGCCCGGCCCCAGCGCTCTCCCTTAGATCCCCCTCCTACTCGTCCCTTCCCGCCTCCACCCCCCATCCCCACCCCCTCCCCCAGCACCCACCCGGCCCCCCCGGCGCCTTTGCCCCCGGCACCGGGTAGGTGGTGCAGCAGGCGGGGTGGTACTCCAGCCGCTTCTGGAAGGTGATCTGCCCGCCCGAGGACAGCACGAACAGGTTATGCTCGCCCAGCACGATGATGTCCGCCTGGTGGGAGGCTGGGGGGGGGGGAGGGGGGGGGAGGGGGGGGGAGGAGAGCGAGAGGACGGTAGTGGGATGTCATGTTGGATTTGAGCTTTTCCTGCAGTCGCATGTAACATGCATGTACCGCGCAGGGCCGCATGGCAAGCCCAGGTCTACAGGGTACTGCAATCCAGCCTGGTCGGAGGTCCTTCGTCGTGTGCTCTTCATGTTGCCCTTGAAAGCTGGTGACCCATGGGTCGCAGCAGCCCATCCCAACCATACCCAACCCCTCCCTGACCCACCGTTCAGTCCCTGCGAGAAGCGCCCCACTCGGATGTCAATGGCCGCCTCGCCAAGCACCACCTTCCAGTCAGCCTGGGGGGGTGGGGGTCAAAGGCCATACCAAGGGGGGGGAAGGCCAAGAGGAGCAAAGGATGGGGCCAAGAGGGAGCGTGCGCATGCTCAATCTGGGATGAGGGGCGTGCGAAGCGCCAACGTGCACTGCAAGGGGGAACGGAGAAGGCGCGCGGATGCTGGGAGCCTTGGCATGTGTGTTAGAGGAGCCACCCGCCAGCCCGCCGCGTGCCGCACGTGTGCTCCTACCCGGCTACTAGCCTGGCCAGCCCCCACCCGCCCTGCCCCCCCTTCCCGTCCGCACCTGCATCCTCTTGGAGGTGGGGGTGGTGGGCGGCGGGGGCGCAGCTGCCGAGGTGCCGCTCAGGTCCTTGGGGTGCACTGCAGGGGGGGGGGGGGGGAAAAGGGAGGGAGGGAGGGAGGGAGGGGTCCCGGTGGGATGAAGAGGGAGGCGCTGCCCTCGTGCCCTCCCCACAGCTCGGTGGGAACCAACACAGGTGGATGTCATACTGGTAGATGCTCCTTCACTCCCGCCTCCCCCCGCCCCCCACGGGGAGCTCGTTGGTTGCCTCTTCCGTTTCCTCAACCTTTACCCCCCGGCCCCCCCACTCCGCCTCCCACCCTCTGCTGCTCACCCGTTGCCTTGTCGCTGCTGGCCGCCGCAATGACCTTGTACTTGTAGCTCTCCAGCTCCAGCGCCGCAGTGGCCGTCACAAAGCTGTCGCCCGCCTCCACGTACGCCAACGGACCGGGCACCAGGAAGGCGGGCAGGTAGCGGCTGAAGGCCTGACCCTCCGCCTCGAAGAACGTTAGCTGGCCGTCGTAGGACTGCACGCAGATGTAGTCACAGCCTGGGGGGGGCGGAGGGGAGAGAGGATGGGGGAGGGGAGAGGAGGGATACATGCTCCGTATTAGGCTGGGTAGTTGGGTTAGCAGTTAGCAAGGGGATTAATTTGGAGACGTAATCCGCCTTAGGCTGGATTTTAGGGATAGCAATTTATTGTAGTTAGTAGCAATAATCAATAACAAACCGTATTGTAAGCTCCATGGCGGCTGCCAAGGTGATTTGAGATCACTCTGTATTGGCGAATAAAAGGCGGCTGCCACTGTGATAACCGGCGCCGCTGCGCTGCACCTGCTGTCTGTGCTGCAGTGCTGTCAGCAGCATTACGTATGTAAGCTCCGCTGCTTAGCTGGGGCTGTCATGCGGCTGTGTGCACCAAAGCATCCCACCCTGCCCGACCCTCGCAATGACCCATGGGTCTAACAAAGCCCAGCCCACCCACTAGTGCGAACCCGGACTAACCTGCATAGCAAGGTAGAATTGGAGGCGAAAGCGTACGGAAACGTTAGTTTGAAAGAAGGCGTGTTGACAAGGAAAACGAGGAAAAGCAGGTATGCGCCCAGTGAGGCTGATAGCTGCGATGGCTGAGCTGGATATTGACGAAAGGCTGTATGAAGGTGAAGAAGAGTCGACTACAAAAGTGGAAAAGAGAGGGTGTTAGTAAACGAAGGGCTAAACAAAATAGGCCTTCGCGATGGGGAGTACGACAAGTTAGGAAAAGATAGAGAAAGAGAGGGAGAACGCAATATCAGTATTTTAAGTCATTATCAAAAGGAGTGCGGTGCAAAGGGTATGTTGTTAGACGACAGTGGTAGGGGAGAGGTCTCTGCCCCACAACGCCACAAGGGAACTTCATACGGTATCCCTTGCGTTGCCCCAGAACCCGCCCACCTATCCCCCCCCCCACTCACCCTGCACGCCCCCGAAGGGTCCATACGTCATGTTGGCCGCCGTGTGCTCCAGCCAGTGCTCATACAGCCGCGAGAGGTGCAGGAAGGCGCCGCCCCCCTGGCTGGCCACCCCGTACACCGCCAGCTTGCGCGGGTGCAGCACCGCCAGCTGCAGCCCGCCGGAGCTGGGGGGTGTGTGTGGAGGGGGGTGCGAGGGGGGTGGAGGGAAGGAGGGAGGGGGCAGGGGGGTGGGGGTTGCGGGGAAAGCATGTGTATGGGGGTATGTCGCCATGAGCCCCCTGCTTGCTCCAGTACAGGTCATGCATGCCAGGTTGCCAGCATTATGCACCTCCATGCGCCATGGGTAGACAGCAGCCCCCCAGCAGCCATGCCGCCATGCCGCCAGCCGCCTCCCCTCGTGGGGGCGCCCTGCCTGTCGGAACCCCCTTGGCTTCCAAACGCACCCCCAGCGCTGCCTCCCCGCCCTAATGCCTGCCTTTCATGCGTCATGCAATCATGCGCTGCCCCTAAGGAACCCCACCCTCCCCTGAGAGGCACCCCTCGGCCCCCTGTCCCCGCATGCTCCGCTGCAGCCTCTCCGATCGCCAGCGAGAACGCCTGCACGCGAGAGCGCCTGCCCTTCTGCAGGGCCCTCACATACGCCGCTCGGCTTGGCTGCTGCTGCTGCTCCTCCTCCTCCCGCTCTTCCTCCTCCTTCCTGACTTGCAGGCCACTCTCCCGGTGAACCGCCGCACCTGATTACCCTCGTGAGACGCTTCTCTTCCATCACCCGCACAACCTCCTCCCCCTCCCCCAGTCCCCCTCCCCCTGCTGCTCCTCCCATCCGTCCCGCCAGCCGCTCACCCCGTAAAGCGCCCCGCCGCCAGCGCCAGCACGGGTCCGCCCTCCAGCTCCGCCTCCAGCAGCAGGTCCTCGGGCCGGTAGCCGCGGTCGCGGGGCAGGAACACGCGCAGGAAGCCGGAGAAGGAGCCAGTCAGGATCTTGACTGGGGGTGGGTGGGGGGTGAGGATGGGGTGAGGATGGAGAGGTGTTTTGGGGTGGGTGGAGGAGTGGGATGGATGATGGAGGCGGGTCAGGAGAAGGGAGGGAGAGGAGGGTCAAAGAGAAGGGAGGGAGGAGGAGGAGAAGGAGAGGTTGAGGGAAGGGGGGAACGAAAGGAGGGAAAGGAGAGCCAGGTGGCCCTGGGCTCAGCATGAGCTGAGCTGTCCACCTTCCAGCATGTTGCAATGCCCCCGGTGACAGGTAACGAAAACGGCCACGTGCGCGAATGTGGGTTGTTCCTGGACGTTGAGAGACAGGGGATCTCACCTTGCCCCGAGGGGTCATTATCGATGTTCGCCACGAGCAGGCAACCCATGTCAAATTCCTCGCCATGTCCACACTTCGTCTGCCACCAGTCGCGCGCCTTAAATAACGACATCTTCAGGAATTCACGGTGTAGTTGCTAGTATTATTTTCGCCAGCGGTGCATGTGTCTCAGGAAGAATGCTCCTCGACCTTCTACACAAAGCGACCGCTTGCAGAACCGGCGCCTTTGGGCGGCCGGCCTTTAAAGATCATTTATTATGTTGTTTTAACATCCTGTAAATGGACCCGCGTAACAGAGGTATGATAGTTGTTGCTTAAGCTTCTTTACAAATGACCGCGGCAAAGCACAAACTGTTGAGTTGTAAAGCCACGCGTTGGAAGAAGCAAGCTACGACTGAGAACGGGATAGAGCTGACCTATCTATCTTTATAACTTCGGCGAAGTATGACCAAGCGGGCCCCGGTGTTATTGAGTTTATCTCTATATGGACGGAGGTATGATACAACGATACCACCTTCGAACTCCTGAATGCTAAGCTTACTTGGACGTACGGATGCGGACCTTCAGTTGGACCGGTTCCTTGCGCGGGGAGCAGATCGCGAGGGAGACCCTTCGCTCATCGATCACACTTCACTATTTCCCTGACTTCCCTCCATATTGATCCTTCACTGCCTATGTCATTGATTGGTTCGGTATGGTTTCCAGCCTGCGGTCTGGGGTACTTGAGCAGCACAGCAACATGGTCAGTCACACGCCCAAAAGCTCACAGGACGACCAATGTACTAAGTACGGTCCAACTTGGGACTAGCACAGCAATTAGTATGCTCTACATCACAGCATAGCGCGTTTCCGGCTTCCATCTCCCACGTCTTCCTCAACGCTTCATGCTCCAGCGGAATCATGTCAATACACTTCGTCAGCCGTAACGCCTAGGGATATTCCCGTTTCATATTCCAACCCACATCTCGCACGGCTTGTGAGGCTCGCTCAAAATGCAACTCTAGACGGAAACCCGCGACGCATGCGCATGTCAGTTACTCACCCGGGCTGCATCTACGTGAAGACCCACGGGTCAGTTCCCCTCCTAATCCTCTTCCAACACTTCACAAGGGCCACTCAACCATAACACTCCTTAGCCACACCGGCCTCCCTAGGCACCCTCGCTCTACACCCAGATCCTGCCATCCTAAAAACCCAAGACCTGCGCTCATCTACGTAGCGTAACATCGCCACCAACCACGCCATCCCGCACCATGCACCGCCCCTACCACCCTACGGCGTGGTTTCTCCCTCACCCCTTCCACCCTCAATGAAACCTACCTCACAAACACCATTGCCGCTTCCAGTACAAGTGAATGGGCCTCCCCAGGCATCCGTTCACCATCCTTCCCCTACCTCCCGCCGCTCACCTATTGGGACTCCGGTCGCTTCACTTTCCCTTCGTCTTTCCTTCCCCTACCTCCCGTCCCCTACCGCAGCAGCTGCTGCACCCTCGGCAGCACCTCTCGCGCCCGCCGAACCGCCCAGTCCAGCCCGCTCCCCCACATGCCCCACCCCGCCATGAACCGCACATAGTCCAGCAACGCCAACTCAAAGTGCCGCCGCATGACACCCGCATGGTACCGGGCAGCCGCATCGGCACCTGATGAGCCGTCCTCGGCGCCGGAACCACCACCGATGACTAATAACCGCTCCTGGAGCTGGGAGTGATAGTACGACAGGTACTCTGCTTCCTTGGAATCCAGTACGGCAGAATCCACGCTGGAGGCGAAGAGATATACGACATCCCGTACTCCGTATGAGCGGCCGGTGTATTGGAAGTCGTAGGCTGCACAGCGGCTGTTGTCGGCGGAGAAGAGCAGGTTCTCGTTCTTCATATCTGTCGTGTTGTTCAGGGTAGGATTGTTTTGTGGGTTGTGTTGTGTTTCGTGTTGGGTGGATTTTTGTCGATGTGAGACAGCCAGACAAGGTAGGGCATAAACGCACAATGCACATACTGAGGGGCCACAGCACACAGGAAACCGGGCTGTTGTGTGCACCTGTCCCCTACCTCCGTGAATGCACGTCATGAATTTCGAGCTACCGGGCGATTTAAGCTGCTCGTCCACCTGCCGAGCAAACCGTTAAACCGTTGCCATTATAAGATGCCGTGGCTACCAATCCCCGGTACGGTACACTCGCATTGTCGTGATCCGCAGCATCCTAGGTTCGCTGTCGTACGTACCTGCCCCGCCACTACTTTGAGATCCGCCCAGCCGCGGCCCATGTTGTTGAATTCCTCGCGCCGTGTGTCCAGATACCTGCGGGTTTAGGGGGGACAGTATCTTCCGATGTGGACTGCTACAGAGGGAGGACAGTGGGATTTGGGGGCGCAGCCAAGTATGCAAGGCACGCATGCACGCGATAGCTACAGTTCAATGCCGCACACCTGTTCAGACGTACGGCAAAACAATTGCAGCTGTTACCCGCATGCACTTGTATCTCCCCCAATGCGCGTGCATTGCTCTACAACGGTAGTTATGTCGCAGCTGGGAGCATGCAGCCTGGGCTTAGCTACCGGTACAGCACATGTGCATCAGCTCCTCCATGCCGACCTCGGCTGTCTCACCAGTATGAGCCCTGCGGCTGCAGCCCGGGGGGTGTGGGCTGCTCCCAGAAGAAGGCGTGGTAGGTGGCGAGCCAGGTGAGGGCGGCGCGAACCTGGGGATGTGGGGTTTAGCCGGGTTGAACGGGGTGGCAGGGAGGCAGACATGTGGCGAGAGGTATACGTGGTATGTTGGTTGGCAGGGGCCATGTCGCATGTGTGGGTGCAGGTTGGGGGCTCATGTGGACTGGATCAAGGGAATGAAAAGTTCTGAGTTACAGCCCTTACAGGTACACAAATGGCGACAGGCCGAGATAACGAGCAAAAAGCGCCAACACGCCCCCTCCATACCTATGGACCTATGCGTTGCCGGCCCCACCTGCTGGTCGTTTAAGCTGTCAGGCCCAGGGACAGGGTACTCTTCACGCAGGTCGCTGAGCACGAAGCGGAAGTCGCCGCCGGGACTGGATTCAATTGATATCGGGCGCGGGATGCCCAGGCCCGTGGCAGCGATGAGCGCTGGCGCGACGCTTTCATAGAAAGCCTTTTCAACGCGGTAACTCGCAATTTTGCGTTCATGGCTAATGCCGCTACCCCTCGAAGGCCTGACCTCCTTAATAATGAGCGCACAAGGCTCGGACAGACCGTCCACTTTCGCTCGCGTCGAGCTCACACTGCCGTAACCAGCCCATAAAGTGCATAGATGCGTAGTATTTGTCATGCTAGCAAAAGTAGTATTGCTGGCAAGGTGTTCCTTTGGATACTACGTATTATTTGCACGTACCAACAGTAACGGTATTAGTTACAGTGTACGACTAAGGCATGGTCGTAACAGTAGGTTTCTCAGCTCATGGCAGGCCTTGGTCTGTGTTTCACCATAGCATCAAATGTGTTCTGAAGGTAGGCAATACTTGATGTCGACGTACCATTGGTAGCATGGACAGCGGCACAGACGAAATATTTCCCCAGGGTTTTACATTTATAGTATCAGGGATTCGATGGTGGCGCACCGGACCACCAGAAGGTAAAATAGATACCCCGTCAGGCGTCGACATGTCACGAAGAGAGTTTTGCGCTAACGCTCAAGTTCTCAAATAAGCCACGTACCAGGGCTAGCCAAGGCAACTCCTGCCCCTGGGCAAAACCCAAAGCAATACTCCAAAGCAGGAGCCTAAAGGGTGAACCAGACAACGAGAGGCGATCTTGGGACGTAAACGGCGATGGCGCAAACATACCAACCGTGTGCCCCCTCACATCCTCTCCTAAGCTACAAGGGCAAAATGCATTCCTATACACAACGGGCCACCTCACAGGCAGCGAATGCCCCTACACGGCTCTGCCTCGCCTTTATCCTTAGCACAGCGTGCGACTGTGACACAACCATACTCAGCCGCACAGCAGCGCCTCCAGCAAAGCAGAAACACGGCCTGGGCAAAAGAACGCTACCTTCACCGGTTGGACCCCGCGGCAACAGACCGCTTACACCTAAGGTGACGGCAAGCCTGCTAGCAGCAAAGCAGCATTCGCGCGGCGCCGGGCCGGCGAAGCCTATGCACACAACATCTATCCGTAGCATTCTACCAAGCGCTTAGCACTCCTCGTCATCGGTCACCACTTCGCCACGCTCCCGGCGGGCCTTCCGCAGCTTCTCCAGCGCCTTCTTCTCCTTGTTCGACATCTTCTCCTTCTTGGGCCCCTTCACCTTGATGGTGTTGCCAAACGCGTCAATCACCTCGTCCTGGACCTTGATCTCCACCTTCTCCTTGATGGCGATCAGGTTCTCACCCTCGCGCACCATCTTGCCGCCGCCAACAATCCACCGCTCATTGCACAGCGCAGACACGAACTCGTTGTGGTGGGAAATGATGACAATGCCGCCGCCGAAGTCCTTGATGGCACCAGCCAGGGCGCCCAGCGAGTCGCGATCCAGGTAGTTGGTGGGCTCGTCCAGCACGATCAGATGGGGGTTCTGCCACGTGGCAGCGGCCAGCACCACCTTCACCTTCTGGCCACCCGACAGGCCGCGGATCTGGAAAAAGCAGGGGAGGGGGAGGCGCAAGTAAGAATCAGCATTCTGCAGAAGTGGAACGAGTGGAAACCGCTATTAGCAATGGACGCTCGAGTCACTAGACCCACACGGGACAGGTATTTCAGCCTTGCGTAGTGTGTGTCACTATCATTCTTAAGTTTACGTTTACGGCTAAGCCCATGCATGCAACTCACGTGGCTGTGCAGGGCGAACTCCGACTCGAGACCAAGGTCGTCAAGGTGCTTCTGGATGGAAGCAGTGGTCAGCGGGCGGGAGAACAGACCGGCCGCGGCAGCCTCCTTGATGTCGATCTCGTTGACCAGCTTCTCGTAGCCGAGCTCCACCAGCTGGTCGCGGGACATCCAGCTGGTCTGGTCAGCGGGCGTGTTGGCCCACTGCACCTCGTACTCGTACGACTTCTTGAGCTTGCGGCGGGCCAGCAGCTTCTCCACCGAGCGCTTGACCTAGATGGGATTAAACATAGAAAGGGTTAAGGTAATGCGAAAGACAACGAGGACCAACTAGTGTCCATATGTGTTACGCCTGCACCGTTATTATAGGACCACCTCTTACCTTGGGGTCGTCGCCAATCTGCACCTTGTTCTCCTGCAGCTTCTTCTGCTCCTCCTCCGTCAGGCGGGTCTCCTTCTCCTGGGCCTCGCGGTCCTCACCGGGGGCGAAGCGCCACTGAATGTACTCGTTGGGAGTCTGCGCAAGGGACATCACGGTTAAATACCTTGCATCCACGCAAGCCATTGCAACAGGTCGCAAAATGCACATAACTCCCCGTGCTACCCATGTCATGGCGTATGTATACAACGCTTACCTTGTCCAGGTGCTTCTCCAGATGGTGGAAGGCGTGCTGCGCCACGTAGGCAATGCGCAGGTTGGGGTGCTTCCACACAGTGCCCGCGGTGGGCTCAGCCTCGCCAGTCAGCACCTTGATCAGGGTCGACTTGCCGGCACCGTTGGGGCCTACATACCACAGGAGTTCATGTTTTCAGGTCTGGACCCAAACCAGTGGCCGGCGGGCAGCTATGTTTCACAAGACCATTACATGTCGGTTTCCTACATGCCCACACACTTACCCAGGCAGGCAACACGCGAGGACAGCGTGCAGTAGGCGGTGGCGCCCTCGAAGATGAGGCGGTCCGTGCCGGGGTACTTGTACGAGACCCTGTCGGCCTTGAGGATAGCCTTGTCCTTCGTCTTGACACCCTCCAGGTAGCCTGAAGGATGGAAATGGAGGCATATAGTCAGTGATGATACACCTTTTGCCCAACTCACCACAGTACAATAAAAATTACAAATACTGGAGGTATCTGGCGCATTACAAATACTGGAGGTATCTGGAGCATAAAATTGCCAAGCGTTGTGATCCGTTCCTACTTACCGGGCTCAGGCAGCTTGAACGTGAGCGTCGACGCCGTCAGCTCGTAGTAGGCCTTGGCCTCGGGCTTGGCCTTCACGAACTCCGAGAGGTTGCCCTTGTACACGCGCAGCTTGCGGTTGTTGTAGTCGATGATGTGGGTGCAAACGTGGTCCAGGAAGCCAGAGTCGTGCGACACAATGATGGCGGACACCTCCTTCAGGCCAGTTAGGTAGTTCTCCAGCCACTTAACTGCGAGTCAGCAACGCACACGGATGAGGTTATACTCAAGGCAACATGCTAGCGACAGCTTTAAGATGCTACCTTTCCTGCCAAATTTTTGTCTAGTTTTCCACAGCAGAAGCATCCCTTTGTTCCTCCCTCAACAGCTAACGGATCTCACCGTTGTAGACGTCGAGATGGTTGGTGGGCTCATCCAGCAGCAGGATATCGGGCTTCATGAGCATGCAACGGGCCAGGGCCAGCTTCATCTTCCAGCCACCAGACAGCGAGCCGACGGCCTTGTTGATCAGGTTGTCGTCGAAGCCGACGGACGCGAGCATGGCAGTAACCTCCTCCTTGGTGGTGGACACAGCCGCTTGCAGGTCAGCATCGGCGAACACGAAATCCACGCAGCCCAGGTCGGACAGGGAGCCGTCAATGTCGTGCTCAACGTACACGGTACGGAGCACGTCCTTGGGCGGGAAGCCGTCCACCTGGCCGTTGGCGATGGCGCGCATCAGCGTCGACTTGCCGACACCGTTGGGGCCGCACAGACCGTAGCGGCGGCCACGCTTCAGGCGCAGGGCAGCGTTGTTCAGCAGAATCTTGGCACCGTAAGCCAGCGAGAACTCGCAGTTGCACAGCTCATCGCCCTCCTCGTCATCGAAGTACTCGGTGCTCTTCACCTGCACCTCGGCGAAGCACTTGTCGCAGAGGGTCTTGGCAATGGGGGCCAGGGTCTCCTTGGAGACGAACACGCCCAGGTAGGCACCCAGCACCTGCGTTGAACCAACAAATAGGACGCGGTTCGTTAGCGACAACATCAGCCAACACCACGTAGTGCTTCCGGTGACAAATGGGTAAAGGTACCTGGCACAACGTTTACCAGCTTAACCTCCTAGTGTTAGCCTCAAGGCATAGGGATAAGACCACCTCGCCCTACATTGTCGCGCCACTCCTCCAGCTCGAAGTTCTTGTTGTTGGTGAGGTTGGCGCACAGAGCAGCGGCGTAGTCCAGCACGGGGTAGGCCTCGGGCACCAGGCCCAGCTTGCCATCAGCGGAGGCGGCCAGCAGGTCGTGCAGGCTCTTCAGGGCAGCGCTCTTGTCCAGGGTCTTGGCCAGCTGGGCCTTGCCCTCCTGCTCAATGCGCTGCAGGGTCTTCAGGGCGCCGGTAGCCACCTTGCGCAGCTCGGGGTCAGCGGCCTCAGCAGCCACCTGCAGGCACGTACAATAAGTCCGAAATATAAACATCCCACTGCAAAAGTCCATAAATATGTATATATCCTTGTGAACATAAGTGAAGGGGTGAGAAACACCTTAACAGCAATGATCGCTTGACCTAACACCAGGGTCCCTTGCAAGCCAGAGGACACTTTCGCACCTTCTCAATCTCGGGCATCAGACGGGGCAGGAACACCATGGCCTCAGCCGGCTTGTCGACCAGCTTCGCCATGTTGTCGGCAATCAGGGCAGCCTTACGCTTGATGGCGGTCACACGCTCACGCAGACCACGCAGCAGCAGCGGCACCATCAGGGACAGCGCGGGGGCCTCCACCTGCTGCACGAAGGTGGTCGAAGCCAGCTTGTGCACGGTGTCCTGCACCTCCGCAGGGTGGTTGATGGAGCGGATGACCAGCGGCACCATCGCCTCAATATCGCGGTTGGCGACCAGGGTGCAGGCGGCGGCCATGCAGTTGGTGGCAGTGTCCTGCGAAGGGTTTAACATGTTAGAGCTTAGCCCATCAAGGGTACGACGACAGCTCTAGAAATGCATTTTCAGGTACAAACAAAGGCCTCTGCCCATTGCTTTAGTCGACAAAACCGCCGTACCTTCACGCTCTGCTTCGACTCGTTCATGCAGCCAGACACAGCGGGCACAATGTCGGGCAGGGCGCGGGTAATCTGCTTGGGGTGCATGCCAACCAGGTCCTTAACCAGGTTCAGCGAGGCCTCCTTGGTGGCGGGGTGCTTCTTGGAGTCCATGCACTCGAACAGGTAGCCCAGCACGGTGTACACAGCGTGGGGGTTGATGATGTTGATCAGGGCCTTGGCGGCAGCCTCAGCACCGGCCTTGACCTCCGGCTTCTGCAAAGGTCCATGGGACAGGTACGTTAGAAACTGAGGGCGTCGTAATACCACGCCATAGGACCGTGCCGGGGCAAATCCAAGAGCTACTAGGGCGCGTGACGTACACCATGGGGTAACATTGAGGGTCTAACAGTAGGTGCTAAGGGGCGAAGTAGGGGGACTACAATCTACGCAAGTGCAACACGTATCAATGCTTCGCTCTCACCTTGTCGCCGCACTGCTCAAGAACCGCGGGCAGCAGGGGGACCAGGAAGGGCTCGGCGGCAGTGCCAATGGTCTCGCAGATGGCCTGGAAAGCAGCCAGACCGGCCTGGCGAGCATTGGCATTGGTCTTCTCCTCGATGGCAGCCTTCAGATCCTGGGTGGCACCGAAGCCCTGCAAGCGCGATAAGCGTTGTCTACAGTGAGAATGCATTTGTATCAACAACAAACGAAACATATGAAGTATTCAGGACGCACCTTGGCGCCGGCCTGCTTCAGGTGGGCAGCCAGCTCCGACGCAACCGCGGCATCGCCAGCAGCGAGCTTGGCAATGAGCTCAGCAGAAGCCTTGGTCTCAGGCACTGCAACAGTTACACAGTCGGGCAGGAAATTTTAGATCGTAATACAAAGAACATTTACAGCTGGGGAGCATAGCAAACGCTATGCCTCGACAAAAGCTGGAGCAATAGACTCTACCCTCCTGCCCGGGCCTATTGGTAGCAAACAAATTGCAACATACGTAGCAGAAACAAGGTAATGGAAAGCAGACTCAGCGCTCATAAACTTACGCTCAGCCACCTTCGAGCTGACCTCCTCAATCCGAATCACCAGGTTGACATCAGCGTCGGCAGACATCTTTGGAAAGCTTTGCACGATGGCAGAAGTGATGGAAACTGCTGTGCTACTCTGCGGACATAGGGAGGGGCGGCGGTATGGTGACAAAGCTCAACGTCAAGCGTTCCAACCGTAGGATGTTTGTGTTCATTATTCGATTGCTCAAGGTAACCAGAGTAGGCAAAGATGCTCTTGCGCCTGCAAACTGCATCATCCTAGCAGGAGGCGGTCTGCCCTGACGGCCTATTGTCCTGCAAATCCTATTTAATCGAATCCTACGACTAGTGACTGAGGCATAGCAAAACGTTGGTCGCCGCCGTTTGGCCCCACCTGTTAAACAGAGGTAGCTAACGAGCAGAACGGCGCTAGGGCCGTGCAAAGTGCGTGTAGGTAAGGGAGTGCCAGTCTGCAATACAGCAGATTCTGGACTTAAGGTAAAGAAGCAAGGTGGACAACGCGCTTTTCATGGCGGCGAAAATTGTACGGCGTTGCACCTAGGGGTACGGCAGAATGTTATCGCATGGGCGCCATGGCTTGGCATGACCACGTACAGTTCACAACCCTTTGGAACTAATAGTCTCTGACAGCGCAGCCAAGGCTTGATGGCTCGTCGTCGCTTTGGGGAAAGAGATAACATACAATGAAAACCAAGAAAGCCACATCGCATTTCTTTGCATAGCGCACAAGTACTGATGCTGTCTTCACAATACAATAATATGCAAGCGCCGTAGCTTATGTTTCGTGGTTCATATCGCATTTGCTTCGCATGTCTGTTGAGCAGAGGTACAGCCGCGCGCGTCGAGGAACCGCAACGAGTGTACTGCTCAATTGTCACCAATCGATTGCCATTTTAGCTTTACCATGTACATTGGCGGCTGTTTCACGGTAACTTCCTGGATGGCTTTATGGATGTGAAAACCGTTGAGCGCAGTAAGTAAACTTGGCAATGTCTGTACGCATGGGCAGCAAGCGGAAAGTGTTCGGCATAGCTGATTGGCGCTCTTCTGCCTGCTTACATAATTAGGAACGTGCACTACTGTCCTAAAGCGGCATTCGTCGAGGTCCCTTGAGTTCACAATTGGCTCCCCTTACACCATACCCTTACACCATACTAATCCAGTTATAGCACGTGAAGCGCCAATTGCTGCCGCTACATGTGAACAAGACCTACCGGCAGTTACCCTTGCACCTCTTCTGTGTAGCCTACGTGCTCCAACCAAGCGTATGTACCCGTTGCACGCCGCATTCAACTTAGCCTCTCTGCGCCATCACACTCTTAACACCGCACTCCTGCGGCACGCTCGCACAAGACGTATAGTACCTAAAGTAACGCTACCCCATGGGAACAGCGCACGCATTTCCTGCCGCAACATGACGCGGAGAGGACAGCAGGGCAGTAACAGAGCAAGCGCTGCGCCACGCCACATGGTACATACCCATCCCATTGCAGTTGCTAGGCGGCAGCGAGTCCAAGGAGCACTTTCTCCCGGACGCCGTAACCTCCGTTAACAAGTTAAAGTCCCTAGGTTAACGATCAGAGCAGCACCGCCGCAGCCGCATGCAGCTAGCGCCGCTGAGTCTCCCTGTGCTTGCCATCCGGTTCCTGCATGGCGCCTTGTCGCGACCTGCATCGTTGGGACCGCTCACAGCTCGAATTGGTCGCCGAACTGGTTGGCGGCGGGTAGCGTGTGGCCCATGGAGTCCAGCGTTTGCCCCAGGCCCAAGGAGCCCATCTTGTACTGCGCGATGCGCCGGAACACCTCCGACAGCACGTGCTGCAAGGGCAAGCAGGCAGGGAAGGATGTGAGGCGGGATGTAATCATGGTACCCGCTACCTGCCTTCGAGCTCCAACTAAAACTTCCATGCGCACGCCTAAAGCGTAGCAACTGTGCTTAGCAGAGTGCGGGCTTCTGCCCAACAGCATAGCACAGGCCTGAAGTATGGGGACAAGCAAATAGGGCACAAGCATATAGGCATCAGGTCTGGATGCACGCACCTTGGCGTTGGCGTTCTCCGGCAGTTTGAGTCCCAGGATGTGCCCCGCCTCCATGATGTAGTATTCGAGATCCTCGTCGCCGTGGCACTTGTTGGTGAGCGATGCAAGCCGATTCTGCAATGCGGTGCATCGGAGGACGACCGCAATGCTGGATTTCGTTGTATCTAGACACATGTAACCCCGTGCATGGACCCACATGAGCCCAATCGGATGGCACGGCATACAGTGCACATGCTCTGCTTTGCGTGCTTCTACGACCAACGCAGCACCTATCCGCTACCATCCAACCAACGTTCCTCCCTTGTTCTTGCCAACCTACCGTCTCGCTGGCGAAGCTTTCATCCAGGTCAAACAGTTCAAGCGCGGGCGGCGGTGGCTCGCGGATAGTCGGCGGGAAAACCGCGGGCTGCAGCGGTGGTAGCGGCGTCTCAAATGAGGGCGGGATGAGGTTGAGGGGCCCCTTCTTCACGCCCAGCTTCTCGTACAACGCGACACTCTCCGGGATGAGCGACGTGTCAAACTTGAAGAGCTGGTCCTCGAAAAGGGATGTCCAGTCTCGCGGCACTTCGTCAATTTCCTGCATGCGCGCGGGCGGGTGCGATGTGGGTTGGGATTGGGGATGCGTGTACAGTCAGGGCGTGACTGGAAAGGGACGGCCGGTAGCGGCATGGTGGCAATTACCGAAGGCCCGCAAAGGGATGGAGACACTGCACACTTCAGCCTATAAGCACTTGCATGTGCGCTAACGAGAAGCCAGTCACAACTGAAGCCCGGGTACCGTCGTTTATTGCCCCACCAGGCAACCCAATGCACCCAGCAACCCACCTGCAGGCAGCCTTTCAGCTTGTCCGCCAGGCTAGAAGTGTCCGGCAGCAGCTTTAGGTCGCTCACGTCCGGCTCCTCCGCGTCAATGTCGTTGAGCTGAATCTTCGAGTTCTGTGCGTCAAGGAGGCATGGTATAGAGGATAAGGGGGATGCGTACATGCACAGCATGCACAGCCAGGTAAATTAGGGTTGGGATCTAGCCTCTCGCATGGCCATTTCCCGACGGCAGCATCCATTCCGTCAGCTATTCCTACAACCAGTTGTGCTTCCTATAACTTGTCTCGATGCATACAAGCACTCAAACCTCTTCACACGTTCTAGTATGCCAAAGGGGAAACCTCCGCGTGTGCTCCCCACCATTCGCGACTTCACGTCTTCCTGCCTTCCAGGGACCTCACCGGTTTGAGGAACTTGAACAAGAAGTCCATGAGCTTGGAGTTCTCCTCTTTATCAAGCCACTTGTCATCAAAGATGGCACAGGAGCCCAGCACTGCGATGCGCCCGTAACCCGGCTGAGCCCATACGGCGCCCACGGGTCGGTTCATGGGGTAAGCGATCTTTCCGCTGGAGAGGATGGGCACCGCTGGCTTCTGTACTGATAGCGTGGACCCAAAGGGGAACACAAACTCCAGCCCTGTCCCGTCGAACGCCTGCGGCCCCTTTGACACGCGGAACTCCTCGTCGTCGTTGCTGCTTAAGCTCTTGCCCGCGCCGGTGATCACGGCGCGGTTCAGGATACCGTCCGAGATCAGTACCTCCTTGGGGTGGAGGTACTTATAGTGCGTGGTTCGCACCACGGCGTCGCTGTTTACGGACATCCCGAACTGCTCGAGGAAATAGTTGATGTTGGTCCCCGCCTTCTCCTCGCCTCCTTCAGACATGAGCACCAGGATTGAGCCGCCTCCTTTCACATACCGCTTGAGGATGTCCACCTCGCTGGCGGTGAACTTTTCTTTTGGACAGCCAAACACCAAAATGTGCGCTGACCGCAGGGTGTCCAGCGAAAAGTCATCCTTGTCGAGTTTGTCAGGCTTGTATGCTGATCGCAATCTTCTAAACAACTGCTTGTATCCTTGCTTCTGCGTGTGGCTTTCCCCTTTGGCAGCGCTAAAGAGAATGCGGACCTCCTCTGCCCCTGGCTCCTCCATTGTGTAACTGCTTGGTGCTACGTTTTATATAACAAGGAAATGACGCTGGGCTGGGCTGGGCGCTGAGCAAAGGGGTACTGCGGACCTGCGAGGGTGGTAATGAACATGTCGCCTAGGATAACATAACTGCAGGTGCAAGCTGTCACATACCAGCGCCCTTATGCAAGCCGCAGCTCCATGGGTCCCTTATAGCACGCTCAGGCCTTCCTCATAAGCTTCTATAGCAGTACTCTCTAAGGCGCGGCTCTTCAGTTGTTGCGAGAAACGATGGGTACAAAAATAAAAAGGTATGGGTTGTAGAAATGGCCAAGGAACGTCGTCTGGGGTAGCCAGGTTGCAACACCAAGGGGTTGGGGCGCATTGGCTCACGTACGGCAGAGAAGCCGGGAGGCCGTTCGCAGGATGGTCATGTTACCCGGTGCCTTTCTCTAGCTGTTGCACACCGCTGGACGTATGGAGTGTAAACGGCGTCTTTGGGTCATTTTGCAATTTGTTGCTAGGGCTAAGTCCCAGGTCGCTCGGTTTCGAGCCGTTTACACAGGAAGGCCCAGGAATGCTGCTCTGCGTTAACTTAAAGTTCTTTGCATTCGCACCAAACGCGGTTCCGCATAGAGGTGTGTGCAGGTTTTGCCCGTTTCGCCGTGCAATTGCCGCACCATGATGGGTGATGAGACACTACGCAGACAAATTGCTACCAAACTAGATCACATTATCTCTCCTTGTATAGAAGTTCGTGTACGCCTTCTAATTCACAAGCGCATCGGTGGCATCGGCGACGTGGGCAGGGGAACCACTGCCTCCATACCACCTCTCGGTCCTGTCCCACATGATGCACCCTAATCCCCACAACTCCCTCCAAATCCACCTTTGCTCCCCGGTCCGCAGCAACACCCAAGGACTTGGGTCATGCCGCTCGTCCCAAGGACGCATCCGCACAATCCATAACCAGTTCAGCCCAAGGCGGCCCAGCCGCCGCCACAGCTGCAGCGCCAAAGGTCACTGCAAGATCAGGAGCCACGGGAGCAGCCCGGGCTGCAGCAGCTGCCGTACACATGCAGAAGCTGCATGCCTGGCGCGATGCCGTACGTACTCACTTATCTTCTGTCGTACATGGGAATGCTGGCGCAGCAGCTGCCAGTGCCGAGCGGCAGCGCATGGGGCCCTATGAGGAACAGCAGCTGTCAAGCAGCAGTAGCAGCAGCGATACAGGCGCCGACGGCATTCAAGTAATGATGGTCAACAGTAGCAGTACTCGGCTGATCTCCACGCCACATGTAAGCAATGCTGCCGCTGCGGATGCAACCAGGTGCATCCCCCCAGCAGCAACAGCCTCCCCACCAACATCTCTAGCAGCATCAAACCCACCCTGGAGGAAACTCCTCCTCCTCAGGAGGCTTCCAAGATCTGCCGTACAACCACCGGGCGCAGCAGCACCCGGCATGCACCCCAGCACCACCACAGCCGCAGCCCAGCTAGAACCCCCTGCCCAAGCAGCAGCCTCATCCTCAATAACCACAACCGCAATAACCACAGCCGCTGCCCCAAACCGGCTGCCTGGCACCCCGCCGCCGCAGCCCAGCCCGCTGAATTCCGTATCACGCAGCATGCGCAGCATGCGCCTGGCGCTCAAATCTCTCCGCACCCGTGCAACCGCTGCCACCTCCTCCTCCTCTTTCCCTTCCTCCTCCTCCTCCTCCTCCTCTCCTGCGGGTGCGGGTGCGGGTGCGGGTGCCACCCACCTGGTGGTGCTGGCCAATGGGCTGTTCGGCAGCCCTGCCAACTGGGAGGTGGTGTGCGAGGAGCTGCGGGAGCAGCTGGACATGCGGAGCGTGCTGCTGCACCCCTCGCAGGTGGGCAGGAGGGGCGTGGGTGGGAAAAGAGGAAACAACTAACTGACTGTGTGATAAGGCGTCGTCATGCGGGTGGGAGGCATGGGGATCAGGTAAACTGAGCCGGATGGGGACCGGGGCCCGGCGGGACTTCGGCGTCCTCAGGGCCCAGGGTACGGGGGAAAAGGGCCCGTTGTCCCTACCAGCCCATCGGTGTGTTACCTTACCGCCGCCTCATGTAGCCACAGCGGCTTCCCTACACTTCTTCCCCTCCTCCCCCTCCTTCGCAGGCCAACCGCCTGACGGACACGTACGATGGTATTGACGTGTGCGGTGAGCGGCTGGCGCAGGAGATCCGGGCAGTGGCTGCGGCGCACCCCTCCCTGGAGCGCATCTCAGTCATCGGGCACTCCATGGTACGGCACTCCCGGGCATCTGATGGGGTCTGTGTGTGTTAAAATAACTGGCCGCGAGGCGAAACGTACTGTGATTGCCGAAAGATGGAGTCCTCCCACCGAAAAACGCCACAGGTGAAGTGAAGTCCGTTGGCTATGTTGTAATAGAGCTGTCGAGTAGTATCGGAATCAGTGTAAAGCAGTAATAGCAATGTCGTAACGCGACCGGACCTAATGTGTGTTAAAATAACTGGCCTACTGTGTGTGGGCGGGTGCTCTTTCGGAGTTCCACTACTCATGTAGAGCCCTTACTTCCTATCTAGTTCTGCCTGGTGGGTACCGATAGTGCGATGTGGTGCTGCCGGAGCGTCCACCAAGGGCGTGTCCCGTTCCCCCCTTCCTGAGCAACCCTCCCCTCACGCCTGCCGGGGTGTGGATGCTGCTGCTGCTGCCATTGCTCCCTGGAGTGGTACCCACACTCGTCCCGCTCCGCTTTTCATCCTCGCCCCTTCTTCCTCAGCCACCGCCAGCACCGCGTCGCAAACCCACCTCACTTGCGCTCATTCGTCAGAGGCTTTCATGCGTCACAGGTTTCCACCACCCACCCACCTTCCTCCAAATGCGTCCACTGCATGATCGGGGATTCGGGATTGGGACTCCGTTGCTGCACTTATTTATTATTTCCTCCTCCCCATGCAGGGCTTTCATGCCATCATGCTTTCATGCCACCACCCACCTTCCTCCTCCCCATGCAGGGCGGTCTGCTGCTTCGCTACGCGCTGGGCCGGCTCTACAACCCTGCCACGGGGCGGGTGGCGGGGCTGCGTCCCGCGCACTTCGTGTCCATGGCCACCCCGCACCTGGGCTGCGATGCGCATGGACTGGCGCAGGTAGGTGGGGAGCGGGCGGGCGGGGGGGAGGCGGTTGTGAGGGGGGAGGCGGGGTGTGGGCGATAATGGCAAGGCTTGGAGATGCGACGGTGTGGGGTAGGAGTTGAGAGGGCTGTCAGTATGATGCGCAGGGACTGGCGCAGGTGGGTTAACTGGGCACTGGGAGGTGAGGGGTGGGGTGCTGTGAGTGGTGAGGAGGGGTCTGGCCGGTGGTACGGCGTGGTAGTGTGGCCTTGTGGGATGTGGGTTAGGAGCGAGGAGGGCCTTCGCTACTACGGATGCCATGGCTGCTTATTGTGTTGCATCCCTGCTTCTTCATGCTGGTGCTGCTGCTGTGGCTGCTGCTGCTACTGCTGCTGTGGCGCGCGCAGGTCCCCTTCATCGGCTGGGTGGGAGTCAAGCCGGTGCAGCGCATGTTGCAGGTGCGGGGCTGCGGGAGGGGGGAAAGAAGAATACCCAATGTGCGGGAGGGGGAGGGGTTGCCAGGGCTTGCTTGAGGATTCCATGGCTCCTAGGGCTCCGGCGACCGATGCCCCTGCCTGTGAACGGCTTTTGCTCTCAGAGCAGTTCCTGTCACCGCCTTTGTCCCCACGTGCCTTTAGGGCGGCTCCCGCGTCTGATGCCCCCACGCTCCTCACGCTCCCCCGCTCCCCAACTCGCAGGCGCTCTCCGTCCCCACCGCCAGCCTGCTCTTCCGCCGCACCGGCCGCCAGTTCTTCCTCGCGGACGGGGGCGCCTCCTCCTCCTCCACCACCACCATCACCACCACCACCACCACCATGACAGCTGCAGCAGCAACAGCAGCACCTGTCCCGGCTGCGGCTGCTGCTCCGGTCTCGGCACCTGCCCATACCTCGGTCTCATCCGCAGGCCGTATCGCCAGCAGCAGCATCACCACCACCATTACCACCTACGCAGCGGGCGCTCCTGCTGCTGCCGCTCCTTCGGGGGCAAGCCGGAGCTTCGCGGTGACATCCTCCTCATCCTTCTCCTCCTCAACAGCACCAAGGTCGTCCCCATCACGTCCTCTGTCTCAAACCATGATGCCCGCCCGCCATGGAACGCCCTCCAGCCCAGCCGTCTCTCCTTCAGGCCCCCTCCCTGCCACCTCCCCCACTGCTGCTGCTACCCCGCCCTCTTCCTCCTCCTCCTCCTCCGCCGCCTCCGCCCCCGCCGCCTCTCCTGCTGCTTCCATACCGCCGCTGCTGTACCGCATGACGCAGGACGAGCCGCAGCGGGGGCTGTACTGCTACTCGGCACTTGCCAGCTTCGCCAGCCGTACAGCATACGCTAACACAGGTGCGTGGCAGGGCGGGGGCGCTCCGTGTGGCGAAGGGAAGGAGAAGAAGGAACCGGCCATGAGCGGCCGCCTATGTGTGTTTTCCTCGCTGTTTTCTTCGCGTCCTTCCTGCCAGTGTTCCCCTTCCTTCTTCCTCACGCCTTCCTCCTCCCCCTCCTGTCTCCTGTCTTTCCTCTTCTTACATCCCCCTTGCCTCTGTTCCCTGCTTCCCCCCTCCCCGCCCCCAGACGGGGACCATCTGGTGGGGTGGGCCAACTCCTCGCTGCGCTTCCTGCACCAGCTGCCGCCACTGCCGCCGGAGGCAGCCCGGGCGAGAGGGGTGGTGCTGCAGGTGCTGCGGGAGGGTGGGCGGACCGGGGTGGTGGCTTTAGGGGGATCGTGATCCTTGCATGGTTGACCGTGAAACGGATCTTCGAATGGGGCAGGGAGGGAAAAGGAAGACAGGTTGAGGGTCAGCCTTATACTTGCCGCAGGGTTTCTATGGCATTCTCCTACCATATCTCACCATACCACCGCCTGCACATATAACCCGCATCACTCCTCTCGCCCCCCCCCCGCACGCACGCATCCCCTCCTTCAGGACCCGCTGCTGGCCGCTTTCGATGTGCGCGCCAAACCCGATCCGGAGCCGCAGCATGCGGCAGGCAGCGCTGACCTACCCATCGACCCGCTGCCATCAACACCCCCACCAGCACCTCAGTCGCTCCTGTCCTCGCCCCAGCAGCACCCGCAGCAACAGCCTCTGGAGAGCAACGGTAATGGCAACGGTGGCGGTAACGGTAGCGCTACCGGCGCTGTCGGCTTTAGCGACAACACAACCGCCACAACTGCCACCGCCGCCACTGCTGCAGCTAGTGCTGCTGCGCTGGCCGAGGTGATGCTGGTGCGGCTGCAGCGGCTGCCCTGGCGCCGCATCGACGTGTCGTTCCAGGGGGCAAGATTCGGCTTCGCGCACAACAACATCCAGGTAAGGGAGGGTACTGGGTGAGGCCTGGGTGTTAAGAAAACTGGCCGCGAGTCGGAACGTGATGTGAGTGCCGGAAGATGAAGTCTCCACAGAAATGCCACAGGAGCCGAGGAGTGTGCACGGTGGGGTGCGGGAAGCAATGGTCCCTAGTGCCTAAAGGCTGAAGAGGGATGCGGGCATACGCGGAGAGGGGGGGAGGTGCAGGATTACCACGCATGCATGCGGGTCCGTCTTGTTGTGCTGACCTTCACCCGCTCCTATAGCCGTCTGCACTAGTCACCCATGCATGAGCCGGGTTTCCCGCATATCACCGCCATTGCTGTCACTGCAGCGCCGTGCTTTCCTCACCAGTGGCGCTGTTCCTCTTCCGGTTACTGGTTCTACGACCCCTCTTGCCGCTCCCCCTGTCGCCCCCACCCCCCCTGTTGCCGCTCTCCCCAGGTGACTCGCCGCTGGTTTAACTTCGAGGGGCTGGCGGTGGTGCACCACCTGGCTCGGCAGCTGGCAGCACTGGAGCAGGTGTGGGAGCAGCAGCAGCAGCAGTGCAGGGAGGAGGAGGAGGAGGAGGAGCGGGGGCGGGAGGGGCAGCGGGAGGGGGCAGCAGGCGGGAGGGGGGAGGCAGGGGGGCTGCAGGTGGTGGCAGTGGGGAAGCAGCAGCAGGCGGCAGGGCGGCTGGGGGTCATGCGGGAGGAGCAGCAGCAGCAGCAGCAGCAGGGCCGCACGCAGGAGCCTCTGTGGACTGAGGCTGAGGAGATGGAGGTGGTGCGGGAGGCGGAGGCAGCGGAGAGGCGCGAGGAGGAGGAGGGAGCAGAGGGCGCGTGAGGCGGAGGTATATTATAAGCGGAATAAACCGGCTGGCCTGAAAGTTGCTCGCTTGTCACCCAGGGTGAACAGCCATCATGTTTGCGTAGTGCGTTTCATGCGGGCACTGGGCAAGATAGATTCACACTGCGTGTTTGCTTGTGGGCATGGATGACGTCCACGATCGACATCGCAGGAAGCGATGGGATGTTGCTGAGGGGAATGTCCGCAGTCCGCAGTCCCTGGGTTTTTTGTTATGGTACCCGTGCTCCCTTCCACGGGTTAATCCGTTTATAATGAGATGAATGACTGACGGCCGGGGACCTTGCCCAAGAAGTCATGTGCCCGGAATATTCGCGGGATTTCCCAGAGGTGTTCTTTGGGTTTGCAAAGAGGATGCGACCTCGCGCTACGCATCGCTGTGCGGCGTTGGCGCGGGTTGGGGTCGGCATTGGTGCTGGAGTGGTGTGGTCTTGGTGCAGGATCGGTAGCAGTAGCCACAGTTGCGCCGTAACGACAGTGGGTTCGGACCGCTAACCAAAGCTGTTTAGTCAAGTGCTCGCAGGCGTCACAGCCCAGCACCCTAGGAAGGACCAGTTCTACACGGGTTTCAAGGATTCCTATCACCTTGTTCCAAAGTGCCGTCAGACTGCGAGGGCCCCTCTCATTAGCAGTTGGCCCTCTGTTGTCGCAAGCAAGTAAGGCAAACACATGTTCAATTTTGCAAAGACCAAAGCCGTCATGGCCCAGGCAAAGCCCTGCCCTGCTGACCTGACCCATGGGTCGCCCGGCTGCGTGATAACGCTCGAGTGCAAGGAGGGTGTTAAGCTGGAAGCCCTGCGCTGCGCTCTGAGCAATGCGTCTCCCATATTGCGTGAGGCTCTCAGCCTGAAGCTGGCTAAGCCCGGCGTGCTTGAGCTGCCTGAGGATAACGCCGCGGATTGGGAGCTGATGATCAGGATGATCCAGCCCGGCACCTACCCTCCGGCTGCCGTGAACTGGGTGAGTGGAATGTCCGAAGCGCTTCAGGATATCTTCTGCGCGACGGGCGTATGATGGAATGCATGATGAATGATCTCGCCAAGGCCAGGGCTTTCTATCATTAGCTTAACTCTGGCAAATAGTTTATCCTGAGCACGCCGGTAGTCATCGGCTCAGTACCAAGCGGGGCTTAGTAACGAGAAGAAAAGACCCAGGAACGCCGAGAAAATTAAAACTGCTGGCTTGAACTACCTGTGTCCCCTTCTGCCCCGCCTCACCCGCGTGATCCCTGCCCTGACCGTCGAACCAACCCCAGGAAAACGTGGAGCGCCTGCTGCATCTGGCTGACAAGTACGACATGGCTGTCGTACGGGGCTACTGCGCCAACTTCCTGAGCCGCAACACCTCCTCTCTCACCCTGTCAGAGCCGCTGCTGTCGCCCACTAACCCGCTCATGGCCGCCACTCTCGTCTGCAAGTACTGCAACCTGCCGGAGCTCAAGCCGTACACGGATGCCGTTCAGCACACGCTATGTGCGGTACTGGCGCCCATGAGTTCCTCTGCCGGCGCAACTGTCAAGTCCCTGGTGGCCCTGCTGAAGCCGCTGACTGCACACGAGCGCTTCCACGATGCCATTGCCCCCGCCGTGCAGGTCAGCAACCGGCTGCTGCTGCCTGCATCGGGTTTCATTGTTGCCCAGTTGCGGGTTTGTGCTACCCATCTGTAACCACCAGCAAGGCATAATCCAGTTATATCCTCACCCTCTTTCCTTTCTCCCGCAGGCAACGGTGGTTGCCGCCCTCCTGGCAGGCCTTGAAAGCTTCGCCGGCTTCAGTGGCCGTGGGCCCTGCCGCAGCTGCGGCGCGCGCTACCCGTAACCACCATGGGGACTGTGGCTGCACCTGGTATGCGTTACATCGTGCCGCTAACTATCCAACCAGTTTATAAGGATTAAGGTTTGCGTACCTGGCCTTGTCTGTCTGTGGCAAGAAAACTGGCCGCGAGTAGGAACGTACTGGGATGTCGGAAGATGAAGTCCCCACAGAACCGCCGCAGGAGCCGAGTCTTTCTGTGGTGTGCGGTATAGCTTGGCACGTGCCTGCTGATCTGTTGGTTTCGTGCAGGGTTTACCGGTAGTTTCATTGCCTGTCGTTGTATGGATACTTGCGCGACCTGTAGCCTGTGCCATATAGAACATGACACGTAAACGAACATCACAACTGGCGGAAGCTGTAAGTCATACTGCTCTTCTTAACCCATCCCAAATCGAAGAGACAACATGGTAAGGGCTACCGACCCAGCAATCGGTGGCTCCCGTGAAACCGCCTGGTACACTCTGTTCCGCTGTTGCCTGCCTGACGGCTTGCTGGCCAGTCTGCTGCTGCTGACCGCGTGACCACTCCCGCAACCGTCTTAGCTAGCCGGACATCAGAAAGTACGGTCGCCATGTGGTGCCAATCCGTTCCGTGCGCATCAGGTTACGCCAGCCAGAGCGTGGGGTGATGTGGAACTAGGGTGCTCCTGGGCCAGGGTATGAAAGTCTGTCGGAGTTTGCAACAATTTGAATGGCCCTAAACGACATCTTGGTTTAGTTAGGCTCTGCCATGGAAGGCCCAACTGGTATTGCAATATAAGATGGCGCCTGCTCCTCCATCCTTTTGGATGGATGGAGGGAATGGGTAGTCCCAGTGCTAGCCTACAGTGAGTGCAGTGGCATTTTATACACCTAATTTTCTGTGAAGCACTGGCCAAACCGTTGGGATCGCCTAATCCTATCGCAAGCGTATTGACCAACCGCCGAGGGTATTACCTATATTGGCTCTCCATCAGATGAGAACTAATGCCCCTTTGCCGTCAAGTGGTAAAGGTTTGAGTACATCTACCCTGTGGCTCTTCGGTCACCTAGCGGCTGTTCAGTTTCAGTTCGGTTTCCTGCGTGCGTGCATGTACGAGGGCGACGCAGCTTCCGCTGTCGACACACATCGCACCCATTGTTCATAGCAGATGGACCCCTTATCAAAGATTGCTTGCTGGCATTCCGCATCTCTTTGCTTGCGGCTGCCAAGTGGTTAGTGTTCTACTGCAAAGTTGATGGGCACCAGGAAGCCTTTTAGGACCCATGGCCCAGCAGTCGGTTGATCAGCTGGCTAAGGCTCTAGTAGATACCACACGACGGGAGGTGGTGTGGCCCATGGTGTTCTCTGGGATTAAAAACATCGTGCGGACCAACAACCTCAACACGGAGACGTTGTCCTGCATCAAGACCTGGCTGAAAACAAATGACAGCCAGTTGCATACGCCGTTGCTCAGCTTAACGGTAGGTGCATGCCTAAAGATCGAGTATGAACCCGCAAAGCTTGTTCGTTACAGGCCTCTACCTATTCACTCAGACACGTATTCAGTTAGTTATCCTCTTTCCATATCTTTGTAGGTTATGCATACTATGTCGCTCAACTGCAGCCAGTTCGTGCGCAACCAGTTAGCTGCTCCTAAGCTGTTCCAGCGATTGGAAAAGCAGCTAGCAAAGCCGCAGGGGCCCCAAGTCGCAACAGCAATAGTCCAAGTCCTCGTTGATTGGGCTCACCTCTATGGGTACGCTCGGCTTCCACTCCTCGATACAGCTCACCTATTTGATGGTATTAACTAGGATTATGGCTTCTGCCATTGAACTAATGCAATGGCAACTGGGTTTCATCAAAACCGCACCACCTTCCTTTGATAAGCCCACTCCTCCACTTCCTTGATGCATCGCACCATCGTGCTCCCCTCCCCGTCACCTCGCACCGCTCAGGCATGAGGAGCTGGGGGCGCGCAGCCGGGCGGTGTTGGCGCAGCCGCGGTACAGCCAGATGGCTGTTGGCTACGCGCCCTCGCCCGCGGTCGTGAGCATGGAGGAGGAGATGCGGCTGGGGCTGCCGCCCGTGGCGCCCATCCGCGGGGAGGACTTCATCAGCTGGTTGTACCGGGGAGGTGGGTCATGGGCGAGCGAGAGGGGGCCGGAGGAGCCAGCGCATGCGACAGGGGCGGATGGGGGTTGTGTGGGCGAGATGGCAGGTGGGGTTCACCCTCCGTGGTGTACGGTATGAGGACCACATGGCCCCTAGCCCTGCATGCGGCTTCCTGTCGCCCAGCCCACACCTCGCCTCTTTAGCCATTATCCTGACCTCGGCGCGCTCCCCACCTTCCGTTCCACCTGCTCCTTCCTTGTTGGGTTGCTTCCAGCCAGCCGGGACGGCTCTGCACGCGGCGCTGGTGGCGCTGCTGCTCCCGCCGCTGGCAGCCCCAGCCCCTCCGCACCTGGCGGGCAGCAGCAGCAGCAGCAGGGGTACGTACCCGGCGGGGCGCCGCCGCCCATCACATCACAGGAGGTGGGTGCGGCAGCGTATAGCCGTTGCTAGTGCGGTGACAAATAGGGGGCAGGTGGAGATGGAGGTGCGGCCCCTAGGAGCGACTGAGGAGCTGAGAGACGAGGGCAGAAGGGATGAGGATGCCACCAGCTTAAGACTGGCATGGTACAGGCACACCAATCGAACTTCCAAAGGAGGCAAAGCGCAAGCCGGTTCCTGTTGCCTTCCAACCAAGCAACTCCTTAACTCCTTGCTCCTGCTCCACCCCTCACGGCACCACCTCCTAGTCACCAATGACATCATTAATGATAATAATAAAGGTTACGTTTTCCCTACCCGCCCTCCGTCCGGCCCCTGCAGGCTCCCCAGCTCTGCCGGCGCATGCGGGCTGACGCCGAGCGGCTCACCTCCGCGCTGGCCGCCTGCCGCTCCGCCGCGGGTCGCAGCCAGCGGGTGGAGCAGCTGCTGGGGCCCATGGACGCGGCGTACCGGGAGGCGGAGAGGTGCAGCCAGTGGAGGAGGAGGGTGCAGGTGGGAGGACACGGGGACAGGGGACAGGGAGGAGAGAGCAGGGGAGAGGTAGGGGTGAGAGAGTAGGTGCCCGGATGAGGAGCGGAGGGGAAGGAGGGCGGCTGGGAAGAGCCACGGGGGCTTGGAAAAGGGAGAGTTGGAGGTGTACAGGGTGCGGGAGCTAACAAAAAGGAAGCTGAGAGTTCCTGGGAAGAAAGGAGCCTGTCCACTATCCTCCCTATCCCTATCCCACCCCGCCCCTCACTCGTGTTTCCCTGGCTTCCCTCTCTCCAGGAGTTTGCTGCCCGCCGCGCCGATGACCCCGCCGCGCTGTCCTCGCTGCTGTCCGCCACCGACGTGATCAACCAGGCGCTGCAGCTCTGGCAGGACTTCACGGGGCGGGAGGTGTTTGCGGCCATGCGCATCACCGTGCCGCCCATGCCGCCGGAGCACCTGCAGCAGCAGCAGCAGCCGAACGGTGGTGCTGGAGGTAGCGGTGCAGCAGCAGGAGGAGGCGGAGGAGGAGGAGCAGCAACCCTAGCGCTAGACGAGCTCTTCAACCATGTGGCTCCGGCGGCATCGCAGCAGCAGCAGCCGGTAGCAGTGGCTGTGGTAGCGGCGGGGGCTGCAGGCGGCTTTCCGGCTCCTAGCACGAACCCCTTTGCTGCGCCGCCTCCTCCATCTGCCTCATCAGGGAGCGCAGCTGCGGGTGCTGCTGCGGCGGCGGTGGTTTCCGGACCTCCTCACAGCGGGTCCCTGCCCCCCCGGGGGCAATCCTCGGCACACACGCACACCCAACCCCACCACCAGGCGAACCCGAGCTTCTCTGAGTGGGACCCCTTCGCCATGCCTGCGCCCCAACGGCAGCCGCCGGCAGCGACAGCGGCAGGGACAGCCGCCGCGGCCAACGGCACAGCAGCACCCACAGCCCCGGCCGCCACGGCTGCAGCTGCTAACACGGGTTGGACCCACTTTTCATCCGATACCGGTAACCCACCAACCGCCTTGCAAGCAACTGGCTCCTCGAGATCACCCAGTCCTGCGCCGTACAGCCCCGGCCAATCCTCGCCTCAAACCCGAAGCGGCGGTGTGCAGCACTCACCCTCTGCCACCGCTAACTCCTCGACCTCCGTCACCTCCACACCCAATGGCCTCGCTTCTGCACGTGCCGTACCATCCCCTGCGAATGCCACGACGCCGCAACACCCCACCGCCGCCTCCAGCTCCTACCAGGCACCCGCAGGCACCTCCACGGCATCCGCATCGCATGCACATGCATCCGGGTCCAGTAGACCCGACAGCAGCAAACACGCAGCAGCACCAGCACCAGTACATGCGAACGGCAGCGGCAGTAGCAATGCGAACACAACGCTTGACTGGATGCCTCTATTCGAGCGGTTAGCCTCAGACTTGCGAACCCTATCGTCATCGACATCGTCCTCATCAGGGACGGCTGCTCCTGACGCTACCGCCGCCGCCGCCGGGCCGCCGCTAGCGGCGGTGCTGCCACGGGTACGACAGCTCTGCGAGGCCTTGGCTGAGCAGCACAGCGCCCGAGTAGCCGAGCTGACGGCGGCACATGCAGCTGAGTTGCGGGACGCGCGGATGCAGGCGGCGTTGATGGCGAATGTACGGCAGGTGACGTCATCGCCATCCTCATCGTCATCGACGTTGGCGGGAGCGGGCGGTACGGGAAATACAGCTGGGAAGAATGGCGGAGGTTCAGGGGTGCCCATGGCTGCAGCAGCCGCAGCAGGTGGTGGTGGGAGTGCGCATGCGAGGTCCTTGCATGGTAGTGGTGCTGGGGTTGCTAATGGGTTCTCCCCACCGCCGCAGCACTTGCAGTCACAACCTGCGATTTTGGGTGCGGGGCAGCTGGGTCCTTTGCAAGCGGGCCTGCAGCTGCACCAGCAGCCACCGCCGCTGCCGCCGTTGTTCCAGGGGGCCCCTCAGCTGCAGAGTAGCATGGCGGCATTGAGCCTGTCGGGGAGTAAACAGGCCAGCGCCAATGGCAAAGGCAGCAACAGCAGCAGTGCAGCGCCAGCGGACTTCTCCTTGATCTAGTAAACAGGTGTTGATCTAGTAAACAGGTGTTGTGCACGACGGAGTCTTCGGCCTCGGTGGATGCATGCTGGACCCAGAGGGGTATATGCAATTGAGAAGGGTTCCTCTCGGTGCAGTGTTGTTGCTGCTGCTGTATGATGATTAGGGCTGTAGGGGGAGGATAGGGCAGCACGTTTCGCATGGTTGCATCGCCGCCTTTGGAGCCCATCGTGTACATGATATTTATTCTTTCTTAAACGTGCAGTGCGTTTTTGTAGGGGTTCTGCATTGTGGCTTAATCCAGTGCTCCAGAGTAACGAATAACAGACGTCGGGTGCGTAGGAAGTTAGGGTCAGACAAGTTAGGGTTGTAGAAACGGCGAATTGGGCTCAAGGCTTACGTGATCAGCCTACAAATTTGGATAAGCGGGCGCCAGGTAGGCAGTTACAATAGTGCACTACGCGCTAGGGTGTTTTGATGGAGAGGCAGCTGTGCTGCAAGCTATCTGCATGCAATTGTTTCATCAGTCACGCTCGGCAACAGGCCCTTGGTTGCTGGTACTTGGGACCATGTGTTTGGCTTGGCCGGATGCAGGAGTGTATCAATCAGTGCATGCATCAAATGGATCGCGACAAGTTTCTTGCTTGGTAGTATATTTTCTAATTGGAGTTCGGTAAAGATAGGGAAGAGTCCTTACTTGGCCCGGCAAGCTTGGCCAATACGGACGGTAACGCTAAAACAGTGTTACGAAAATGTGACTGGGGGTCAGGGGGTTTGCTGCCTTCCTCCGCGAGTATCCACATGCCGGTGTATCTCCAGTGCCGCGCCTGGTGGCCACACCACTTGCCTCCTCAAGGCATCACGACAGCATCATACTTATTCCAACCTCGATCACGTCGCTTGGGGCACGAGTCATGGGTCCCGACTACTACCCAGTCGCAGAGATAGCCGATACCGGTACCCTCTGTGACCCTACCCCATGACACAAACCCTTTTACGCTGCCCACGGCCACCCGCACACAAGCCAGTGACCGTGTCTTGCTACCGCGCCTACCGTAGCTCTTAGGCATCATCACCCTCACCGTCTCCTGAACACCGCCCTTCGCAAGCCCCTTCTGGCCCCTTCACGGCTTCCCTCCATTGCCTCCCATCCCCTTCCGCGTCTCTGCCACAGCACCTCAACACCTCCCTCGCCCTTCGTCCACAGGATACTTGCAGGGCTGGCCCCCTCCACACTCCCTCCCCGCCTCCCTTACAGGAAGAAGCGGCGGCGGCTGGTCTTGTTCTCCTTCTTGGGCAGCCACTCGAACTCCCCGTTCTTGCTGTCGAAGGTGCCCTTCTGCAGGCTCAACAGCTTGAGTGTGAAGCGGGGGCCGAGCTCCTGTGGCGGCAGGCGGGAGGAGTGGCAGGCGGCAGCAGCGGTGGAAGGCAGGGGGCTGTTAAGGAAGTGTGGGGATTGAGCGAGAGGTCAGCTTTGGAAAGGAATTGGACACCAAACACATACACACGTGCGCATCCATGCACGTATGCGCAGGGGGCGTTTGGCACTTACAAGTGCACCAAGCGTGTGCCGGTAACCAGCTAACGAGCACGAGCATGCAGGATCAGCACTGTTACGCGGCTCAGAGTTGCTTGAAACACACTTGCGCGCCCCGCACCTGCAGCCGTGCCACCACGGCCTTCTTTTTCTTGGCGTCCTTGGCCTTGGGGTCGCGAGTCTCCTTCTCCTCGAAGATGTAGCGGTGGTGCCTGGAGGGGTAGAGGGGGAGGCAGGGGCAGGGAGTGGGGCGAGAGAATACCCGGTAACGAGGAGGGCGCCAGGCGGGGTCAAACACCAACAAACACCATGAGACGGCTATGTTAAAGCGAGCAGGATGGTCCATCGCGCCCTTGCTTTCTAACCCCCGCAGGCCCGCCCTCCCGCGCCCCCCCCCGGCCTCTCCTTACCGCACAAATATGAAGTCGCGCTGGTTGTGGAACGTCACCACTCTCCGCCCTCGGAACTGCGGGTTCTGCAGCGGCAGCAGCAGCAGACACAACGACAACAACATGTGAGCGCCGAGGACAGGGAAGTGAAAGGGGAAGGGGCAACAGCAAAGGGGGAAGCAGCGCGGCGCAGCAAGCCAAGGGAGCCCCATGTTTCCTACAACTACCGCCTCCGCTACCACACAAACCACTACCCCACGTCCCTTCTTCGGCCGCTTGCTTCTTATGTCTACACACATGCCCACACACACACACGCCTACACACGGCCAGTTTTCTTAACACACGTGTCAAACACAGCCCAGCCCAGCCCACCTGCGGGAACAGCGACGCCAGCATGCGCCCCAGCCGGTGCCCCAGCCGCGTGTCAAAGTGGTTCAGGATGAGCTCGGGGCGGTGGGTGGTGGCGCGGCCGTGCCCCACGATATCGCGGCCCAGCTTGAGGTTTGAGAGGCGGAAGTGCGCGGTGGGGCCGTCGGGCAGGTGCACCAGCAGCAGCCCGTTGATCTGGGGGAGCGGGGGGGGGGAGAGCGGTGACGGGTAGGATTGGGTCTTGAAGGGGGTGAGGGTAAGGATGAAGGTTAGGGTTATAATGTCGGCGTTTGGTTGAATGCCATGAATGGGTAGGGTGAATGTCAGGGTACAGGCGAAGGGAGTGCCGGCCCTAGGCACTCGCTCGGCCAGTGCTGCTAGCTCACTAAACCCCACTATCACCACCACCATTACCACAACCGCGCCCCCCCCCCCCGCCTCCCCCTCGTGCCCCACCTGCTTGCGGTCCTCATTCAGCACGATGAGGTCGGTGAAGTCGCGCTTGGAGGCGAACTTGACGATCTTCTTGAGCGGGAAGCCGTTGCGCTTGTAGTACTCCGCACAGGGCAACATCTCCTGTACGACAGGTACGGCATGTACGGCGCATGGTACGACAGATCATGCAGTTAGGCCAGTTTATGCGGTTGTGAAGGGGCCGGAGGCTGAGGATGTGACAGGACCCGTATGCCGCGCCTCCAGGCACACCTTGCTCACCAATCTCTGCCCCACCCTGCACTCCCATCTCCCTCCCTGCTGCCCGCAAGTGCGCCTTATCACACGGTGAGTTTCCCCGGTGTTTCCTCCCTGCCCTCCCGTGCCCCTCCCGCCCCAGCTGTCCCCACCAGCAGCTCCGACATGAAGGTGTACATGATCTTGGAGGGTCGGTAGCTGGTGGTGAGCAGCACCTTGGGAGGCCGCGCATTGGCAAAGTGGGCTGTGGGTGCAGCAGGGGGGGTGCAGGAGGGGGTTTGGATGTACTGAGCCGCGGAGGGGTGCAGGAGGAGGGTGCAGGAGGGGGGGTTGCGAGAGGATGGTGGTGGTGGCGGTGGGAGGTCGTTACCGAGAGCATGCTTCCCGGTGACCTCGGGACGCTAGGAGGCTAGCAATGAGGGAATGAAGGGAGAGATCAGATCGCCGTAGGTGGCAGGCAGCACTCGGCTGCAGCTGTCCAGTTCATCGCACTCCTCCCCTCAAACCCCCAACCCCCACCCCACCTCCCACACACAAACGACACGGCTCCTGTGGCGCTTCTGTGGGAATTTCATCTTCTGGCAATCACAGTGCGTTCCGACTCGCAGCCAGTTTTCTGAACGCAAAACACACACGCACACGCACCCGCGAACTCGTCATCGTTCTCCTCCGCCGCCACCTCCTCGTCCTCCGGGTCCACCATGGTCTCATCCGCCTCGCGGGTGTTCTCCAGCGTCTGAGCAGGGGGGGGGTGCGGGTGAGGGTGGGAGGGAGGGAAGGAGAGGGAAGGGGAGGGGGAGGGGGGTGTTCAGAGCAGCAGTTAATGGGGCCGCGATGCGATGTTGATGAGGCCGGCCAGAACCAGGGCTGCCAACTACAGTTTGGCCGCTCCCGGCTTCATATCGCCCCACCCTCGCGCTGCCTTCAACCCCACCCCCCACCACATTACGGAACCCCAAGCAACCCCTGCCCACACCAATCCCTTCCACCGGGTCCCTAGCAGCCGTACAGCCATCCGCGTGGTGCTACTGCGCCCAGCTGCCCCTACTCCCTACTCCCCCCCATCCGCTTCGCAAGGCTCCCGTCACCTCTCTCTTCTCTCCCCCAGCTCAGCCCCCTTGGAGCCCCACCCGAGTACTTGCAAGGCTACCTGCATGTTACGTCACCCATGCGACGAACGATGCAAGTGTGCCTTCATGCTGCTCTCCCACACCCGTCCCCGGCCCCTGCCATACCCCCGGTTCCCACACCCCTCTTACGACCCACATGCTGCACCGGCTTGGGCGGCGGCTCCAGACCCATCTCCTCCGCCTTGGCCGCCTCCTTCTGCCGCTTGCGCCGCTCCTTGGCCTTGGTTTTCTGAGGAGGGATAGGGGCAGGGCAGAGAGGGAAATGGTGAGGGGAGAGGGAGGCAGGGAAGGAGGGCTTGAGGGACCGGCATACCCAGTACCCAATCCTTGGCCCCACGGGAGGAGCAGCAGCAGGGGCGAGACAATGAGGATGGGATGGTTAGCAGCGTGTTGGGGGACCGTGACTTCCTGGCCATGGGGAGGCCGTTGGCGGCCTTTGGGCTCGCGCCCAACCACACACGGGGGGTATACTCTTTATCTGGGCCTGTATGCGGACCTGCAATGTACGACGGATGCCAAAGCTTGCAATGCTCCGTCCCTCCTACAAATGAAGACAAGCCTATGCCCGCGTTACCTCTTTTTGGTGCTTTAGTTTATGGTAGAGCTCCGAGCGCTTTTGTTTATTCCTAATGCCGCTCGTCTGCTGGCCGATGGTCCCGCCGCCGCCAGCTTTCTTCGCTCCAGCGTCACCATCGCCTCCGTCACCACCTCGATGTTTATCACTGCCGCTTGTGGAGGGTGCAGATGGGTCATCGTCCTTTGCTTTAATCCTTTTGGGGCTTTTGCCCCGACCTTGCTCTTTAACCATACTAAAAGCTCCAAACTTCACTAATTTTCTTTTCGTGGACGTGTATGTCCTGTAATTCAACGTCCTTTCAGTATAGTCGACAAGAAAGGTATGGCTAATGAAAAGCAGAAGGGTCTCCTTTCATGTAAAGGGCAGGTGTCTCTTAGATACTCAAGAGTCCTAGCGGCGCCTGGGACGCTCGCTCGGTTTTGGAACCAACCGCTTACGTACGAGCGCCGTTCCTCGCCCACGTCACGGTGGACAGTGCTAATGAGCAGCCTTAGAACTTCTCAGCTGCTCTGCTCCGCTGAACAAAGGGTTGTTAACAGGTTGAGTTGTCCACTTCCCGCTGAGCTGCTCCACGAACTGTTGGTTCTGTTGCTGATCCAGGGTTTAGGGTAGCCGCTTGAAATAACGTTCACACCAACATGTATTTACAACACACAAAACATAGGCGGAGCCTGTATTAACGTTGGATTCCAGGCCTTCCATCGTCGCGACGTACGCGCTCTAGGTCCTGGCAATGAACGATATTAGTGCGATACGCCAAGCAGTAGCTGCTTGGCATGGACGGCTTTTGGCTCATCCAGTAACGCAGGACTCGCTAGCCCATGGACCGGTACGTGCCAGCGTTTCTCCAAAGTCGTAATGGCGTTCAGCTTTTCTGTTTGCACAGCAACTAGTAATGTTAGTTTCGTAACCCTTGGTCGTCTCGCTATCGCGTGACCTTTGGTAGCATGGCTGTCGCGTGCTTTTGCCTTCCCATGCCGTTTCCCTAACATCTTTCCCGGGCACGCGCCTTTTCCGACATGTGCAGCAAAATGGAGCGAACCCGGAAGCTGTTTCCTTCGCAGCTGCGGAACTGGCTGCGGTACTGGAGGTACGCCAGTACATGCTGCCTTGTGTGTAGTTTGCAGCTACGCGTGCTCCAGTCCCGAGTTGAACCTCATTATTCCCGTGACGCCACCGTACATTCCCTGCAGGAGTACCAACTGCCAGACGGACTCATAGACGACCTGCTCAGCGTGTGTGACACGTTCACCATGCTTTGCGGCGTTACTCCAAATGACGTGCCAGGTGCGCACGTAATACCAGTATGCAAAACACATACCGGGTGTTACCGGTGACACTTGCTCTGTCCGCTGTGAAGCCTCCTTGCAGGAATGCCGTACAACGCTCCTCCCCTGCCGCCTGCCACCACCCCCTGCCCTCACCTCTCCTTCTCCCTCCCCCTTTTCCTCCCCCCAGATGCTCACCGTACGGCCAGCTTCCGAAGCGCTCCCTCCCACACCACCCACCGCACCACCACCGCCACCGCCACCACCAACGGAGCCCTCACCGGCGACCCAGATGCGGGAAGCGGCTCCTCCTCCGCCCTCGCACCGCAACACGGCTTGCATGCGGGCCACGACCGTGCCGCCTCTCCCTCTTCCGCTGCTGCTGCTGCCGCCCCTGCCAAGCTGCACCCTGCCAAGCTGCGGCTGCTCCGGGCGGCTGCGGGCGGGCTGCCGGTGCACACCACCTCCATCGGCAGACGGGCGTCGGCAAGCTACTGCGTGTGGGTTGGGCTGGGATGGAACCTGGGGTTGGGTTTGGCTGGGAGGTAGCGTGATGGGAGGTAGCGGGAGTGCAGCAAAGCCGCCATCCAGGACACCCGGGTGTTCTGTACCCCGGTGGGGTCCAAACAACAGATGAGAGATGACACTGCGCCCTGCCCTGCGAGCGCTTTCCTGGCTGGCCATCCAACTGACCCGCTCCGGCCCCTCCGCGCCCCACCCCGCGCTGTCCTCTGCCTCCTCGCACTTTCCCCAAGACTCCCCTAACCCCGTACACCTTTCCCCGCACCGCGACCCCTCGCAGCTACGAGAGCATGGGCGGGTGGGAGACGCTGTCGGCCGCTGTGGAGAGCCTGTACAACCGCATGCGGGCCGACCCGCGCTGCGAGGGGCTGTTTGAGGAGGTCAACGAGCAGCAGCTGAAAACCCACATGGTGGGGGGCATTGGGGGGTGGGATGGGCGTGACAAACGCGGGGTGAGGGGGGGGGGTGAGGGGGAGCATGGTTGAAGGCCTTTCTTAACTACCGGTAATACCGCCCAACCCAACACCGCCCAACCGTGCAGTTGGAGTTCCTGTCCTGCGCGCTGGGTGGCAAGGCCCGCTTCGCCTCCTCCACGCTGTTGTCCAGCCAGCGGGACCAGCTGCGGAGCCACGGTTTCGGAGCCGGGCAGTTTGATGTGCTGCTGCAGCACATGAAGGTGGGTGAGGGATGGTCGATGTGTGTCTTTGTGAGGTGCTGACATGTAAAATGTAGTCGTTACACTGTTGATAAGTGCAGTGTGTCGCATCAGCCTCATGAGGACAACCTACGTTAGTATGGGCGCTGCAGGCTTGTAGCAGTCTATGCAGGTATTGCAGCTGTGGCACTTGTTCTCGCAACGGCTGTTCCGCCAATCTTATACCTTCGTGGTACTGTTGACGAAACCTTGACTACCGGTATATAATTCCCTTCTCGCTGCAGGCCGTGTTGGACGAGCTGGGCGTGCAACACGAGATCGCCGCATCCGCCATTGCGTTGCTGCGCTGCCACAAGTGAGTGGGGGGGGCGACTGTCGCCGCCGTGTTGTGTGTGCTGTGGGATTTGGGTCATGGTGATCCCTGGGTCAGTGGGTTGCGGGCGGGACCTGGTCTCACGGCGCATGGGGAATGGGTAATGCGGACTATGGTGGAGCCTTCAACGCTTCAAGACATCTCTTATCCGACAGTATCAACCTGATGACAATGGTCTAGGCCTGCTTTCAGCTTCGTGTATGTGCTTGTGCCTGCATTGCTAGGGACATGGGCAAACGGGGCCGATGCCTTGTTAGTTTTGCGAGGGGTGGGTTAGTTTGCATGGATTGGTGGCGGCGGTGGTGGCGGATTCGTATCCTCATTCCTCGTGACGTGGGGCGTTTGGCGCGTTGGGAACTGCTGCTCGTATGTTTGCTAGGGAGCTTGGCTACTCGCGTTGCTGCTTAGCCAGCATGGTTTCCGTTCCTAGCAAACTGCATGATGTGGGTCAGTTTCTTGTTACATGATACGGATGTAGTACGAGATTGCTGCCGTACTGCCGTACTGCACACTTGCTGACAGGGAGGACGAGGCGGGTGGGCCGGACGCGGCGGCGGGAGGCGGGGGCTGGCGATGAGGGTGGCGGAGGGAGCGGGTAGCTGTATGGCGACGTGAGGGGTGAGGTAGGGGTGCTGGGGGCAAAGGGGAGTTGAGGGGCGGGATGACCGGCGTGTTTGTGGGGTGCCAACACAATCAGAGGATATCTGGGTGTTGGTTGAGGAGTAGCGGGCGGCGTTGGTGTGGGCTGAGAGGGCGGTATAGGGATGCATGCAGGGGTCTTACGAGGGGGATGGCAGTGCAAGGAGGGCGGCGGTAGGTATAGGTTACACACCGGCATGCCATCCTGGGCGCTAGGCCTTGAAGGTTTGTACAGTTGGGTTTTCAGAGGCGGAGAGCAAGAGGAGGCATATGCCGAATGCACTGCATGCGCTTCCGCACCTGGGGTGTTGCATGCCTGTGCATGGAGGCATGGGGGGTCAAAGACCATACCAAACCATAGGGCATGGGCATGGGGGGGGGAGCAGCGGTGAGCGAGAGGCACCTATCCCCCGTGGTGCTCCTACCTGCCCATTGTACCGCTGTACGGCGTCATGGGAGCCGCTGCTTCCCGGCTGCCGGGGTCCCTCACCTGCCAGACAGGCGGTCAGGCAGCCAGCTACCGGTATAGCAGTCGGGAGTGGCGAGGGGCAACCGCCCCGCGTGTCACCTCACCTGCTCCGGTACTGCCGGTGATACCTTGGTTGCTGCCTCTTCACAACCGCCTTGGGCTTGGGGGTTGCACGCCTACCCTTATCGCACCCGCGGGCATTGCAGTAACCCTGGTGTTAGGTCTGACGTCGCCTACTTCACTGACCCGCCTGCCATTTCCGGCCTTGCCGCCGATCCCCTCGCCGCCGCAGGCACGTGTTTGAGAAGCAAGCACCCGAGGTGGAAGCTGGAGAGACGGAGGAGCAGGGGGCGGAGGTGGCGGTGGCGGCTGCTGCTGCGGGCGCGGTGGAGGTGGAGGAGGAGGCGAAGGGGCAGCAGCAGCTAGACGAGGACGCGGCTGGGTTGGCCGCATGCTAGGGAGTGATGCGGGGCTTTGAAGGTCGTCGTTATAACGGTGATGTTTGTTGGTGAGGGAAGGTCGTGTTGGCGTCGCGTGCATGTGTGTCTACCGGTATGTACCATAGCTTGTTGTTGGGTGGTGGGGAGGGTCGTAACCGTTGGGCCGGTTGCTAGCGGTTGTGGGTGGTGTGGGGTGGGGGCGTTACAAGCGCTAGAAAGTCACGAGGTTACAAACGCAGGAAAAAGCATACCGGTATGTCATGAGAAGTCAATTCCGCGTGGAGCCGCGACGGCGCCTCATCATACGTTCACCACCATGCAGAGTATTTGGACGAAGGATGTGATGGAGATGCTCCAATGTATCATTAGGACACAGATCCATAGTTTGTGGTGGATATGCAGTTTGTGGAATTACGAGAGCGTCGCCAGACTTTACTGGGGCGTTCTTCCCTCGGCATCCTTTTAGCTCTTTGGAGCTTGCGCTATTGTTGGTATCATGTCACACATACACGCATGTTCCCTTTCATGTTCACCCTCCTACGCCTTCCTCGATAAAGGGGCTCGGTAGGGGTCTGTCCGGTGCGAGGAGTGGGACGCGTTGGACGATTGGAGCGGAGTCATTTGCTGCAGGATGGCGGGTTTGAGGGTTTACGCCTCTTTTCGGATGATTGCAAGCAGCATGACGTGGCGTGATGGATAGCTATCCGTACAAAGTTGTATGTACGAAGTTCTCCTTACTTGGTGTCTCATCTTCGTACTACTGATGACATTGCGTTGTTTGGCATCACAACCAGCTACACATGGTATTGCTGCTGCCGCAGGTATTTGGATGGTTCGGGAATAACGGCTCTGATGCGTGTGTGCAATGGCTGTTCGTGTGGAAAGCGGTGGGTCGGGGTTGCTTGTAAAGGCAATGCGCACCACATGCAATGGATGCATGGTCTTGACAGCAGTGCAGCATTAAGGATTGCGTAATAGTTATCATCTCATGTGGTGCTATACTGCTAATGAAGGCACATGTGGGGTAAGGATGAACGGCTATTGAGGCGAGGAACGGCGGATTCTGTAGAAATGGGTTATACCCTCTGACGGCTTCTGTATTCTGGTTTAATGGCTCCGTATGTCGGAACGTATAGTTTTAGGCGGCATCATGTTACTGGAGGAAGAGTGAACTGATAGCTCTTCCTCATAACTGGGAGCGAGTGTGGTATTGAAGCCGGCTGAAGTTGGGGCGGCAAAGGGCGACCACCCTGATCAAGATTGACCCATGGGACACTGAAGAAGCTACGTCGTGAAACGTATGCCAACTCTTGCAATGAGGGGGTTAGGTTGCTTGCTTGGCAACTGAGACGCTTTGGTTGGAGCAATTCGTATTTGTTCTCTCCTTTTGTTGTCAAGAGGCAGGTGGAGGTGGTTGTGCTGTGCGTGGTGGCGGTCCGTGCCGCCTAGGGTTTCGGTTTCGGAACTAGAGTCCTGTATCGTACTAAGATGGTACTAAGGACTGGTAACCACCATGTTGGTGGTTGGGGGCTGTACGTGGTTCCACAGGGCCTAATCTGTCCCACTCTGGCCATCTTTAGGGCTTTACACGTTTCGTATCATGCGTGTTTTACTGAATCGCACGTCACATGTGGATGCATCTACGTCGTTACGGCGGGTCAGCACGTATCTGCTGTATACTGGTCGTGGGCGTGTTTAGCCAACTGACCAAAACCGCGTCTGTTGTTGTGGGGGTGGAGAAGAAGAAGACGGGTGGGTGGGTGGGTGTGAGTGCGATGGGCACTCGTGTGTGTTTTGGACAGGCGGTTATAAGGTTACTTGTCCCAGGCGAACGACGCAGCGAATGAACGTTTTTTATTTTCTAGGTTTAGCATCGCGCTGCATGTGTTCTAAGTTCTGGTGGCCGGAATGGTTACCTGCACTGCACAGCGCACAGGTGCGAGCGACGCTAGCGGAAGACAAGGGGCGTGCCAACGAACGAACGAACAAACGGGGTCAATGGTGGGTTCGGGGGTTGCGTGTCTTCGGCCACACCCCAATGCTGGACGGGAGCTGCACGCATGTTGTGATGTAAGCCGACAAGAGATGCGTGGCAGCAGGGATTTGCATTCGTTAACTCCTGCTGCGTCATGTACGGCAATCAAACTTGGGACTGTGCTTCGTACGCCATGTGATTGCCATCTGCCTAGGATGCCACGGATTGCCATGATGTGTGACCCAATGGAGGCATTTAAACATCACAAGCAACACAGCAAAGATGAACCTGATGTTTGCCGCACCCTATGACGTTACTTCCTGTTTCTCCTGCCAGGCCGGTTTCCAATGAGGTGCTTGTTTCCCGGAAAGAAAAAGGCTGCCGTGCGGCCTTGGTTATATGTAGGATGGCGTATCGGTCGTGAATATTGTGCAGTAGTAACGTAGGGAGCCATAAAGCACGCACGCGGAGGGTTGCAGGCTGTGTATCGGCTGCGTTAGTCATGATGCTGGATGACTGAGTTGTACCGCGAGGAGTACGAGGTGTCATTTGGAAAGCCGCTGGACACAACTGTTTCTTCCTTGCGTGCATCAACTTACACCATAATGATCATACCTCAGCCATTCTTTCGTCTCTCAACCAGCTGAAAGCTTGTCCCTTCTCGCCTTCCAAACACTAGACTGTCCCTGTGGCCTTGAATACTTCCTGACTATTGTAATTTGCTAGTACAAGTCGAGGCCCATAGGAAGAAGTACTTTGGGCTACCTAGGCAACTTGGCGACAGGTTAGGCCGGGAGCCTTCTCAAGTTGGCGGCCATGGATGCCGCAAGTGACAACACATCAAACATTATATATAAACGGGGAGACAGCGACGATGAACAACACATTCAAGTACGTTGTCCCTCATCGTTATCCATGCAAAGACCGCCCTATCCGAAATACTATCCAGTACGCACTAATAATAAAATTCTATAGACTATACTGTCGTGCGTAGACTAGGAACGCTGACGACACACGTGCCTTTGCTTGCGCCCCGTCTATCTCCCGCCGGCAGGCTGCAGGCGGCAACGATAGCATAGTCGACAGCGGCAGCGGCAGCGGATCAGCCAACACAAGCTCTCGGGCCACGTTACACACGAAGCTGGGTGGCGCTCCTGCCGTAGCAGCCACGGTTGACGTGTTCTACAAAAAGGTTATGGGAGACCCGGACCTCGCCCCGTTCTTCCAAGGCGTGGACATGGTTACCCTCATAGCCAAGCAGAACCGCTTCTTGTCGTACGCCTTTGGCGCGACAACCAACTACAATGTTAAAGGTACGCAGCCCATGCTATTGCTGCTGGGGGGCATTCAAGATAGGTAGACTGCTGCTACCTACCTCCCCCAGCCAAGCCGCTCTCCAGTCGCTTCTTGATGCCCTCCCGTCAGACGCCCTCCCCTCATCCCTGCTGCTGCTGCTCCTACCTCTCCGTTGCTGATTTCCGTTGTTCGCTTACCGGTACCCTTGTGCCATGTGCTGCTGCTTCTGCATCTGCCGCTGCCGGCCTGCTGCTGCCGTACAAGCAGATATCGTGATGGGTCACGCCCACCTGATCATCAACCGCGGGCTCAATCTCACCCACTTTGACAAAGTAGCAGGTCAGGGGGATGGGGCGGGGAAGGGCTGGATCATTAGCGGGGTATTGCATGATGTTGGGTGAAGCAGCTGCATGGAAACACACCCCGTGGAGGCCCTGGCAAGTTGAGCATGCAGAGCATCCCTAACGTGCTTCCAATGTTAAGTGATGATGGATTTGAGTCGAGCTGGCCGGCGTGGACTGGACGTGAGGGGACATGAGTGCCTCGGGAGCTGCCCTCCTCCTCCCTTGGGAGGTGCCGTGGTGGCCCCCCCTCGGCTGGGTCGGGAGCTTTACCTGCGCTGCTCTGTTCTGACTAGGGTTGGCCGGACCATTAGACTTAGAATTCTAATTCTAATTAGAAAGCATTAGATTCTAAGCTAGAATTTAGAAGGCATGTTTTCTAAGTCTAATCCTCCGAAACCGTACGGCACCTTAGACTTTTAAGGTTTCTAACGCCCGAGGTTTAGATACTGATCTTGGAAGTGGTAAATCTTGCGTAAAAGTTGGGAATTAGCACCGAGTTTCCTTCTATAAACACTCCAAACCACTATGCAAAGCATTGTAATGACCCCCAGCCAAGCCAAAGGGCCAGTCAACGCCGGTCAAACTTGGTCAAACATCGCCAATCGACCACTCACGACGAATGGCTTGGTGCTAAGGATCGGTCAATCTTGGGGTACAAACGCCATGCCTTGTGTTCATTATAGTTGTAACTGCTGAGCACTTGCTATTCATGATTTTTTGCTCACTTGGCGGCAAGTATGGGCCGGAACTGCTGCTGGGCATGGGTGGATTTTCCGTTAAGGACATCCCAGGCGCCCTGTTGAGAAAATAACCGTAGGTGGCGCCTCAAAATGCTAGAGCCGTGCTTTTGACAAATTTTCTAGTGAAATTACCTCACCGGTGAAAAGTTAGCTGTGCCTATCTAATCCTAATCCTAAGGTTCTAATGTAGAAACCTTAGAATCCTTAGTTTAGAAAATTTCCTTCTAAGGTTCCTGACCAACCCTAGTTCTGACCGATCTGGACGAGAGCCCTTGTTGACCGCCGCGGGCGCTCTGCTGCTTTCCCCCTCGCTGCTGATCTCTTCCTACTGACCTCCTCTTGCCTGCCCACCGCCCCTGCCACTGCCACCCGCCCGCTGCCTGCCTGCTGTCGTACCCACCCCCCCGCCCGGACAGGTCACTTTGTTGACTCGCTGAAGGAGATGGGTGTCATGCAGGACCTGATCGACGAGGCGGCGGGGGTACTCATCAGCGTGCGGCCGCTGTTCGACCCGGAGAGATACAAGGGTGGGTGGATGGGTGCCGGGGGGTCGGGTTCGGGAGGCACGGGGGCTGGGAGGCAGGGGCTGGTTGGGGCTGGTAGAGAGGAGCCACTACGGTAAGCATGTGGCGAAAGGCTCCTCACCATCCAGGGATCTGCGTCATGTGGGGTTTGGGTGGAAGTTTGGGATGGGGAAACCACCCGGCAACTATCCAGCCTAATGCGGAATATGTATCCCTATTAACCCTCTTCCAGGCAAGATCGACGTGGAGAAGCTGGAGAAGGCGGCAATCGTGCCCAACTCCAAGGGAGGAAAGGCGGCGGGCTGTCCCGTGGGGGCGGAGGAGGGCAGCGACCGGGGGCCAGCGCCGGCGTGCTGCGTGCTCATGTGAACGCGAGCGGGTGGTGTTCCGGGTGGTGGTTGTGCAGGGGGGGGCTGCGGGAGTTGCATGCATGCATGCGTGCGTGGGTACGGCGGCAGCAGGGTCGTGTGCAACGGGGATGTAGGTGTGCAGCACCCGGGGCGGGGGAAGCCTGCGTTGACTTGACGCCGTGCACGTGACTGGATTGCGGTGATGTGATGTAATGTCTGATGTGATGTGTTTTGATATAAGCCCGGTTCGAACAGGAGACTTACACTGGGTTGCGGGTCGGGGTTGGAGGTTCTAAGCAGGGAGTGCCGCACAGGCGACGCAGAGAGGACGGGGTATGGGTCAGGAGAAGGAGGGGAGAGGCAGGTTGGTGGCGGACGAGGAGGAGAGAAGCAGCAGCAGCAGCCAGGCGGCAGCTGCGGGGGTTGCCGTGTTGCCGTGTAGTCGTTTGGGTTAGGATGGGTGTGGAAAGGGCCGCGCCGCCGCGTCGCATTGTGAATTGGTTTGGGACGTGTTCATGTCTTTTGGTGTTGCTACTGAGGGGCTTGGGGCTCACCAAGTGGTTCAAGTGAATCTGGAGTATGGCGGTTGTGAGCATGGCGGGTTGCCTGGCAGTCGTGTGCGGAACAAGAGCTGCGTAGCGCGCTTGGAACAAGGAAGATACCGTAGTAGCAGTAAAGAGTGAGGTTTGGATCAAACTGGGTCGGTTGGGATGGGGATGCGTGGGTGGGTCCGTGCATAGGCTGCGATATGGCATTGCGTGTTGTGGGCACGCAATCAAACACCCGACCCATCGGCGGATCTGGCAGGAGACTGAGAGATAACGTTAACGGAAGGATGCGAGGGTGGCCTGGCTAGCCGCGTGGCTTACCGCAACAAGTCCCGTTCGATAGGTTTAGTACCATGATCTACGTGTGTTAATTCAAAGGTTTGTGTTAAGAAAACTGGCCGGAGTGTGCGTGTAGTTATCTACATCTCCATATATGATTCCTTGGTCTGCTATGTGATTCCTTAGTCTGCTAGCATGGGTTTTGGTCCTCATCCTGCCTTCCTGTCTCGCAGTGGAACCCTTGGGAAGCGCTGAATCCTGCACGGGGGTCGAGCAAGAGGTGGATATGCGCGTGTGCTTGGGTGCGGGACGTGTTTTAGGGTTTCGCAGGGCTTGCAGATGAGGCAGGAATGGAGGCATTCATGGTCCTTCCGCCACCGTGTTTGTATTGCGGTTTGTTGCGTCTCTTTCCTGGGATGGCGACTGGTGAAACTGAACAACCCTTCGGGTGACCCCCTATACTGCCCTTGACTGGGCACCTTCACCGACATATGCGGAGCCTGCTCCTTCGACTGCCACTGCCTAATGATTTAGTTCATTGGAGGAAGACATGAATTGGCTTTGAATAAAATGCTTGACGTGGGCCGGAAGTGCTGATGGTGGTGGTGGTTAGACAATGGTTGGTGGTGGCTGGTAGGACGTGGGCAATGATAAGGCCTTTTAGCGTTTACGGTGTAATTTGACCTTGACACGGAGTCGTGGAGGTGTCTTTGTGTGTTAACAAAAAATCTGTGTGTGGGTGGCGGTTGCCAAGCAGTAGCCAGGCACATGGAGAAGGTCTGCGTTGGCGGTGTGTGTTGGTCTTGAGCGTGCGCAGGAATAAGCCGCAAGAGACCAACACGTTTGAGGTTGTGGTAAGGTGCGGCATTGCTTTGGTGGGTGGGATTGGGTGTCAGTCGAGGGAGATGAACCCGCAACGCTCCTGCATTTTGTGTTGGGGGGGAAGGGGGGAAATAGGTGCATGCTAACGGACGAGTCCATACCTAAATGTGCGCATGAGGTATACCATGTGTCTGTGAGAGTGACGCTTCTAAACGGTTTCTTCGAGGACGTTTTGCGGTGTGGGTAGCCGTCTGCTGGCACTAGCGTTGATTGGGTGGACGGATTTTGCCGCTGGCAGACCTCTGGCGTGGGGCGGGTAATGCGCACACATGCTTCTGCTTGGAGCAAACGGTAGGCGCGGCTGAACGTCTCTGTTGGGGCATGTACGACGCCGCATCTAGCAGGATCCCTGTACACCCGGGATAGCCGTACATGGCGATTGTGGTTGTACGTCAACTGTTGGCGTTGTTGCTGTAGCTGCTGCTCCTCCGCAGCTGGCAGATCCCTACCGGTACCTGTTCAGACCGCTTGTTGAACGGAGACAGGCTCAGGGCTGTGACCCCAGCGACCCTTGGAAGGCCCGGTGCCCGGGGGGTGAGCCCAGGACCGCATCTAGCATGACTCGCTGCCGATGAGCATTAATGTAGGCGTTGATCAGGTATGGTCGCGGCGTTCTATGCATGGTGGGTGGTATGGCTCCTCGGCCCTCTTAAGCAACCACATTTCTTCCATGGGGTAAGGTCGGGTAAGGGCCACACAGGATTGGGCTACATTCTCCCCGTGCTAAAGTGTGCTAAAAGCCTCGGTGGCAGGACGTTGACAAGCGGTGCCCCGCGTTAGGGCGGGATGACGGTGGTCGTGCTGCTTCTACTATCAAAGGGCGACCAAATGGTCGCAGCGCGTAAAAGGCGATAGGCCCCCCCATGTAAGAGATTAGATAGAGATCGGCGGAGGCCAGTTTCCTGCCCTACCGTACGGTGCCGTACGCTCATCTGGACCAGTCAGCACTGCGAGAGTGGTTCTTGTTGCAACATGAGGGTAGCATTGACATGGCTAGCAAGGAGGAAGCGAGAGGATCTGATTGATACTTGCAGGACATGGGTGTTGTTGCTTGGGGTGCAGATCTGCGGCTAATTCGGTTACCATGGGGCTTTTACGCCATGGCTACCCAAACTGCTTTACTATATATCCAACAGCTGTCAGGGCATCAGAAGTATCTATCGTCTTCATTTCGAGATACTAAGGGAAACACGCAGGGGCTCTGACAAGCAGGATAAGGTACGCTGTAACGACCAATGGGTCTTCACTACCTTCATTCCGTCTCTTCGCACACGAAGACCTAGGCGAGATACTGAAGACATGCACGTCAGTCAGAGGTCTTTTCAGCTGCTGTTCATTAGCTGCCGGTGATGCGGGGTTTAGGCGATGCGATCCGTTGACGACAAAGTTTGCCACATAACTCTCTATCTGCTGCCTTTCATATTATAACCAGTTATAGTATCATAACTTTATCAGTTAACTGCTTGAGATTAAGAAGATGCGCACTTGTCAGGCTCAACGCCGTGTGACCGCGGTAGGTCCTGTTACTACCTTATGAAAGGCTCGTCAACATTTCTATCAACTCTTAAGCTATCCTTCTTTGTCCCAGGCTACTGGCGCTGGTTGCTTCGTGGCGAGCGTGCGGCCAATTGTTCTCCGCCCGGTGCGCTCGCTGCTGCACCCAACCACACAGGTAGAAGGGAACATGATGCTTCGTTTAATACTTTCTGCAATTTGGGTTGGGCTGACGCTTGCCTCCTTTGCCTGCAGGCTTCCATTTCCCAAGCCCATGTGGTTGCTACGCGGGCGGTGGCCAGCCAAGCGGGCGCTCCACCACCTCGCGCTGGAAAAAAGAAGGTGAAGAAGATGGTGGACATCAACGGCGATGTGTTGAAGGACCTATCAAATGGAATGTTTCAGGTCAAGCTCGAAAATGGCGTGAGCGTCATTGCGCACCTATCCGGCAAGATTCGGCAGAACAGGATCAGGGTAGTTGTTGGAGACAAGGTAACCGTGGAGCTAAGCCCATACGACCTGACTAAAGGGCGCATCACCTTGCGGCATAAACCCGGGGAGGCTACGCCACCTGCGCCCAAGTAACCTGCCCGGCGGTGTCTGCAGCGCTCGCCTGTTGCCTTAGCTACAAGCTTGCGAACTAGTTAGAGAACGGGCGACGGGTGGGATTCCCGCAACCAGCCTCATACGTTAGGAACGGGTGTTTGGGTCATGTCTAGGGTTTGGTTGTCGTCCAAGCTTGCCTGCCGTAGGGGGGGGGCATTCCTTGGCCTAAAGACGTGAAGGCTTTGCCGGCAAGGGCTTCGAGGTTGCCTGATGCTGAAGGGTCAAAGGCGCAAGGACGATGCCTATTGACTGTTGTACATTTACTGTTCGCAAGGACAGACAGTTTTGAAGGTGTTGAGAGTGTTGCTTGACGAGCGTGTTTTGTGTGACAAGCGTTTGACGAGCTGTGAGAGCCTTAACATTATAAATCGAGGGGCGATTGTGGGGTTGGTTGGAACCTTCCACTGGCTGTGTGTTTTGCTGCGTTTTTTGCAGTTGTTATGCTTGCCGTACGGTGCTTGGTTGCTGCAGTTTGCTGAAGGTCGAAGAGTACGTTAAACCTGAGGATTGTTGCCACGAGGGAAGGCAAACGTCTGCCAATGTTTGCGTGCATGCCCCAAAAGGAGTGCCAAAACGCTCAGGCCGACAAATGGGGAAGAGAGGGAATGGCCGTTGGGCGATAGGGGTTAGAATGAAGGAATCTGCGTCCTTACTTGTGTAGCATTCCCTTCATGGCCTATTGTTCCATGGCTCTCGCGTAGCCTCTGTAAAGCCTCTGCTGTTGTCCTGGCTCATCAGATTAGTCAGCTGGAGGGGTCTCACGTCTCAGGCCTGGGTGTCTTCCTGCAAACGGACTTTTGCCGGTTTCTCGTAACAAGCGCGGGGAACGAGCAGGCTGATATTCTGGATCTGGAGGGGGGTACATTGCAGTCTTTCGCGGCCGTCGCGGCTGTCGGTTGCTGATGGCACGCATGTGTAAGACTGACGTACGGCACTTGAGGCCTTGCAGAATTCAATATGCGTGATTGCCATGGCTCCGTTCACAGCTTTTGCTCCTGACAACCTTTCCGTGCTGAAATAGATACAACGATGTCGGGAAGCAAAGAGCAGAGAGCACCTGCTGGGGCGAATGCAGCGTTGAAGCTAGGCTTGACTTGCTTATCAGCGATGACTGCCGAAGCAGTGACATACCCAGTAGATATGATAAAAACGCGACTGCAACTACAGGTGCGTGAGTCATTACTCTGCGCTCGATTGCTCGCTGTCATGCTCAGCGGCTGAGACGAAGCTGTTTACTTGTAATGGAAATCGTGCATAAAGCTTACATATAACTCATTATGACTGTAGCATGTGCCAAAAGAGCGTCGCTGTTTCACGTTGACATGGAGCAAGTATACCCCATGCAGCGACGGCATCGGCAGTATACCGATCCTGCCCCGGTGGCTTTCGTGTAGCTATGAATAGAACTTTAGATGAAGATTGGCGAGACCCATCGGGTGTATGACGCTCAACCACTGCCTAAGGTGTTGGCACATCCATACGACTTGCACACCACTGCTTAACACCACAAGCATCCCACCCGCATTTCTTCCCTAAGCGGTCACAGCTACACCTAGGACTAGCCGGCGTGGAGCTTGTCAAGGGACTGACACGACCATATTCCACGGAGTCCAGTCCAGTACAGTCCTGTACGCTCCCTTCACGGGTTTCCTAACTGCCAAAGTTACCCTGACATCCAATCCCCTTACTGTCCCCTATCACACCCGCCAACATCCCCATTCAGGGCGAGTTAGTCAGCAGCAGCGGCAGCGGTGGACTAGCGGGTCGGGCAGCCGCGAAGGGAAGCAAACCGTACGGCGCTGTACGAATGGCCTTGGAGCTTGTACGGCGCGAGGGTGTACGGGGACTGTATGCGGGACTGTCACCGGCTATTTTGCGACATGTGTTTTATACGGGTGGGTCCGGCCACCGATACACTGATTAACTGCACTGGGTGCGGCATGGGCCGTATGGGGGGGAGCCAGACTCCTCCGGGCTTATTCCCGGCTTATTCGCCTGGACTCCAGTAGATGGTAGCTCAAAGGCCATACATGCGTGGCGGTTGCGGTTACCTTCGGGTGACGTCCTGCGCGGTTTCCGGTGTTGCGCTTGAGCTGTATCCGCACACACTACCCGCACGAAAGCTTACGCCACTGCTGCTTCTCCGTCCTGCTTTAACGTCCCGTTCTTCCTCCTGTTCCACGCAGGCACGCGGATAACGGTGTATGAGCAGTTGCGTTCCGCCTCCTCGTCTTCCTCGACGTGTCCTTCACCAACCTCACCCTCATCAGGAGCATCGTCCTCCTCTTCGCCGTCCACTGGTTCCAACGGTTCGAGTGAGTTGCAGTGTTGCAGCGGTTCATACGGTTCGCATGGTTCATACGGTTACAGGGGGAAGCGCGAGCTGCTGCTGTTGGAGTCCGGTTTAGCTCTCCTTCCCTCCCCTCCCGCTCCCCACGCTTGCAGGAAGTGGTAACAGCAGCACCAGCAGCAGCAGTGGCGGCGGAGTGGGTTCTCGACTGCTGATGGGGCTCACGGCGGGGGCGGTGGGGCAGGCGGTGGCGGTGCCAGCGGACCTCATCAAGGTACGAGCGAGTGTACGGGGACTGTACGACTGTACGGATGTATGTAGGACTGTGCATACTTAAGGAAGAAAACCTTTGCGAAAAAGGCATAGAGAGGAATGTTGGTTCACACACCGGTACATGTCGTACCTTCTGTCGTGCCCTCTGTCGTACCCCCTGTCGTACATTTAGTCGTACGCCCTGTCGTACTCCAGGTGCGGCTGCAGGGCGAGGGGCGGCTGGTGGCAGCGGGCAAGCTGGCGGCTCCCAGATACAAGGTAAGAGCGGGGCGTACGTGAGGAGGCTGAGGGTGTGCAGGGTACTAGGCTGTCGTATACATGTTTATACTGTTTTGTTTGCGGTATGTTTGAGATTCCCAACACTGCATTCCCCCACCCCCTCCAGGGCCTAGCCGACTGCTTCCGCCAGACGGTTGCAGCGGAGGGCTGGAGGGGCCTATGGCGGGGTGGGGCGCCTGCCGTACAGCGGGCCGCGCTGGTGAACCTGGGGGAGCTAGCCACGTACGACCAGGTGGGTACGGCAGGTGGGTACGACATGCCGTACCCATGCGAGGGGATTGTTGTTTGTTCAAGTTGCTCTTGCCGTTGCCTCCATACCACCGTCCCTCTCCACCACAGGCCGCACACATGCCCCCCTCCCTCCCACACATGATGAAGCCTTACCATACGGCTAGTTCATTGTTGCGTTCTTCCTCTTTACCCCACACAAGCTTGCACACATCCACACAGGCCAAGCGTGCCATCCTGTCCACCGGCCTCACGGGCGGTGACAACCTGTGGGCGCACACCGGCTCGTCCGTGTGCTCCGGATTCTTCGCAAGCTTGGTTTCGGTGCCGGCAGACGTGGTGAAGACGCGCATGATGAGCCAGGTGATGCGGGGGGACGAGGGGTCTGCAAAGGGGGCAAGCGGAGAGACCCATGGGTCGGCAGGAACGAGGGGCTAACGCGATGGGAAGGGCGGTGTGCCGGCAGACGTGGCACAGACACGCACGCATGCTGCGATGCCTGCTCCCCTCTTCCCGGCTCCTCTACCGCACCTCGCGTCCCCTCCTCCCTCCCTCCTCACCACTCTCATTCACAACTCTGTACCAGTATAATGCCTTCCTCCTCCTCTTTCTCCCCCAACAGGACGCCTCCCAGCCGCTGTACCGGTCCTCCCTGGACTGCCTGCTGAAGAGCGTGCGGGCGGAGGGGCTGGGGGCCATGTACAAGGGGTGAGGCGGGGCTTAATAGGGATGAAGATTCCGCAATAGGCTGGAGATGGGGAGAGGAAGGGGGCGGGTGAGGGAGGTTAAGGAGGTTAAGAGACCGAAGATCCCAATGCCGAAAGAGCAGGGCACACGAGCGAGGAGGGAAGAGAGGAGGGAAGAGGCGAGGGAGGACTGAGGAGCACCCACCAACCAACACACCCCTCCATATGCCCCGCCCCTCACCTCACCCTTCACAACCCCGCCCTCACCTCGCCCTCACCCCCCCCTCAGGTTCTTCCCCACGTGGGCTCGTCTAGGCCCCTGGCAGCTGGTGTTCTGGACCTCCTACGAACACATGCGCAAGACGTGCGACCTAGGCGGCTTCTAGGCAGCCAGCCAGACAGCGGGGGGCAGACAGCGGGGGGGCAGCAGCAGGCAGTTGAGAGGACATGCAACCTGGCTGCGACCGCAGGAGTCAGGCAGGCGCAAGGCATGTGACCGGAGAAGAGCTCTGCATGGGGGTTGCATGGGAACTGTCAGGTAGCCAGGCAAACGGGCGAGTCACGCCTTCCAGCTGCAGACTGCCCTGCACGCAGGTGGAGACATGCATGTGACCTGCCTCGCCCTTCCTGTTTATTGTGTACCGTGCGTCGTGAAGCAGCGCGCCAGGAGCATAGCGCTAGCCGTGCTGGGGGTACCGTACATCGGAGTACATCGTACGGGCAAAGCTGCGGAGAGAGATGTGATGATGATGATGAGAGCGTGAGAGTAAAAAGACTTGGTTTGAGGGCTATCAGGGCTCGTAAGAACTGCATGTGATTCTGGGTGGGAAATCCGGTGGTGAACCTCCGAATGCTGGTTTCAACATCCGTGATTAGGCTGCGGCGGACAGAGGCTGGTGGCACCAGAGGTCTGGAATCACCCCAGCGTAGCGCATCTGTTGTGTTTGCCGGCATGGGTGCCGTATTTCATAATTCTTAGCAGGACCGTGCCTTCCGGACTCGTCGCTTGTCACGGTGCCTATAGTTCAGGCAGGCGCGCACGCACAGCTGCCAATCCTGGCTATCTGGCCTGTGCCCCTTTCGGGAAGGCATAGCAATGGTATCTCATGTGTGTTAAAAGAACTGGTGTGTGTCCACCTCCGCCCGGTTCCGCACAGGCTGCGTCAAAAGGGAGTGGAAACGGCTGTAACGCCATGATGCCCGGGCGAAGCGCTTGCGTACGATGCAAGCGGCAATATGCGACCCCCCTGCCGGCCGGCCTGCGGAAGTGCGTATGCGTCAAGACTCAAGAGAGAGAGCCGCATGAGCCACGTGTTTGCCCCCCTCTCCGCTTTCACCTCGAGCCCTTCCCCCATTAGGAAGACCGCAAAGACACGCACACAGTCACGTCGCTATTTCGTTCATTGGTGGGTATAGTTGCGCAGTTAAACCGCACCCCGCCGTGGCAGTAGTACCAGTCGACGTCCGAGACCCCCAAAGGAATTCCGCACTCGCGTTGGTGCTGCCATTGATGCTGCAGCTGTGAGGGTGATCAGCTGTTGCTAACTGCATGCCTCCCAGCCACCCGCGCCATCCGCGCCTCCCGACCTAGTGTAACGAAACACCACTCCTCCACTACCACCGTCCTCCACTGTCAGCATCTACCAACATCCCAAGTTGCCCTTTCGCTGCTACTTGAGAGGAGCACTTTGAGAGCTTGCACTTTCGGATCCCTCCAACAACCAGCCCAAGCCGCATACCGACTTCAGATTGACACCAGCAAGCCACCCTGGGCCGCCCTCAGCTGCTGTCATCTGCTACCGCTGTTTGTTGCCGGCGGCATGGCTCGTGTCCTCATCCTGTCAACCCACACACCAGCACAACACCTGACCGCACCGCCCCTCAGCTCAGCTGCTCCGTTGCTATACTACTACCGGTAGTACTTCACCCCCGTGTTACGACGTCGTCATCCGGCACCACAAGCACCAGCGGCACCAGCACCACCGACACCAGCACCACCAGCAGCACCAGCAGCAGCACCACCACCAGCACCACCGCAGCAGCAGCAGCACCAGCAGCAGCACCACCAGCAGCACCACCACCACCAGCACCACCACCACCGCAGCAGCAGTCCAAGGAGCTGCTCCTCAGCTGGTTCCCCGGAACAGCGCGCTCCACATGTTGGTCAGGCGGCGGTGCAGGCTGGTGAGGGTGGTGTTGTAGGCCAGACCACCCACATCCGTGTGCCAGATGAAGTACCTGGGGGGGGGGGTGCAGCCCCAAACACACACAGATGTTGCACGGCATGTTTCTTAAACACATGAACAGTTATTTTCTTAAACCACGACGGTTCCCTATATGACATGACAGCTTCCTCAGGGTCCCTTCAACACATAACGGCGGACATCAGAGGTGGTCACATGGAGCCCATGTCACAGAGCACAGCGTACACAACGGTTAATGGTACAGTGGCCCCGTAGCCCTTGCAGCTTCCCCGCCGCAGCGCCCCCCGGCCCCCTCCTGGCCCCTCCTGGCCCACAGCCGCCGCAGTCAGCAGCCCACCCTACCGTAAACCAAACGGTACCAACCACCCCCAACCCCCCACCACCAGCCCCAGCCCTACTTGTGATAGTCCGCAAGCCCCTGCTGCAGCTCCTCCAGCTGCTCCGGAGTGACGGCATCCAACAAGTCAAACAGCCGGTGTAGGTTGTGACGGTTGATCCGTACGGCGAACTTCTCGTATGGTACGACATCCCAGAATGCCTGTTTGGGTTGGTTGGTTGGCAGGTAGGTAGGTGGTCTGTTACCGGTATTTCCAATTAGAGGCATGCATGCATGCAGCCCCTTGGTGTACAAATCATGCTAGAGAGCGCTTCATAGTGGAGTGCAGGCACTAGGGGTCTAGCTCTGGGTCAAGGTATAGGCCCAGGTCTAGGTCTGGGCCTAGTGAGGGGGCTGTACTACTAGCTTACGCATGGGTGGCTAGCACACCAGAGCAATGGCTGTGCCGGTGGTGAACGGCGACTGGTGGTGAATCGCAAAACACACACGGGGTTCTCCGCAGCTCCATCCCCGCATCCATCCCCCCCCCGGCCGCTTACCGAGTAGGTGTGGTCCTGAGTGGTGGTACGGGATCATCAGCAGCAGTGGGTGGAGGCGGAGGAGGAGAGCGGCCAGGTCCCGGGGCGATAGAGACAGCGACAACAGCAGGAGAAGGGGGCAGGGATCATGAGGAGGGGAAGGGGAAGGGAGGGCGTTAACGAACACACAGCAGTGAGAAGGTACCGATGCAGCCTCCTTTCGACACACGCCGTGCAGCTCCCATTGGCGAGAGAGGACTAGAGGAGTACCTTGTGGATCTTCCCGTGCAAGTGCGCTTCTATGATGACGCCCTATACCACCTTCGCTAGTCGTTTCCTCCCCACCCCACCTGCACAATCACCGGCACGCAGCCCGTGTGCATGGCCTGCGTGAGTCGGATGCCCCAGCCGTAGCCCAGCGGCGCCAGGCAGAAGCGGGAGGACAGCATGGCGTCAGCACCCGTGATGCCTGGGGGTAACAGGGGGAGCGGGAGAGTGGTGGTGAGGAGGGAGGGCCGAGAGAAGAGAGGAGGCGTAGCATATGCCGGGTTTGGAGGGAGGCGCAGAAAGGCATGTGTGAAAGGCGCATGCGTGGCCTCTCCTCCTCTGAGCGGCCAGACATACCGCTATACACGGCCTTCTAGTGCCCCAAGAGCCCCGCCACCACCACCCCGCCACCAGTTGCTACCACCACCTTTACTCCACACCTTTGTTGATAGCCACATCAGGGCGGGTGGTGTTGCCAAAGAGCGCCAGGAGGCCCTGTCGTACTCCCCCGCTATAGGCCATGTCGGGCCTTATGATGGGATTGGGGGAGGGAGGGCGGTAGGAGGCGGGGTGGGAGCGGGGCGTGTGTGTTTAGTCACGGAGTCACACAATAGCGGTACGGCAGCCAAACGCCAGATCCGCTCATTCCCCTCACCTGCCCAAATCCAAAGAAGCGCCATCCCGGCCCCCCCTTCCCCCCTTTGGAATTTCTTTTTTCCCCCCTACCCCCCCCCACCCGCCCTCCCTTCCCTCTTAGCCACACCCACTTGCTATAACCATGGAAGTAGAACAGGTAGGGTCGCTCCCTCTTCCTGTGCAGCACCCGCCCCCCCGGCTGCTCGGGATACTGGTACGACTGATTCAAGTGCTGCAGCCATCCTCGGTTGAGGTAGTTGGGGATAGCTACGTCCTGCTCAGGCCTGCATGGCGGGGGGGGGAGATCAGGAAACAGCAAGAAACAACACCGGTACGTACGTGAGCAGGGAGGCCCGCAAGGAACGAGGGGCCGTTGGGCGGGTCTGAACATCGCCGCATCTCCTCACGAGGTCACGACCCGTCCAGCAGCCTCAGCAGCCACACCTGAAGCAAGGCTCCCGCTCCATGCGAAGGGACTCCAGGTTAAACGCCGGCAGCCCTCGGAACCGCACCCGCTCCCCGCCCATGTCCTCCTGCCCCTCCGCTGCCGCTGCCGCTGCCCCTCCCTGCTGCCCCAGCATGCCGTCCTCCTCCTCCACCCCTCCCGAGTGGTGGTGCCCCCCGCCACCCAGTCGTCGGAACTCCCGAGCTGCAGCCTCCAGGGCGGGGTCGGAGTGCTGTGGGGTGGGAGTTGGGGATAGGAGGGAGGAGGAACAGGGCCCGGTTGGACGGTTGGGTGGGGGCGGTGGGGCGGTGGTGGGGTGGGGTGGGGGGAGATACCGGTAGGCGAACGGTGGTATGTGTCTGTGGAAGAAGGATGTCCATCGCTGCGTGGGTGGGTCGCATTCTCACGTACGCTCCCAGTCACTTTCCTTCCAAACCCCCTGTGATGTGGCTGTTGCTAAGACTCACCCCGTGTCCGGTCCGCCCGTGCCGCCCCACTTGCGCGAAGTGGACCAGCTGCGAGGGGCGAGGGGCGAAGCAAGGAGGGAAGCAAAATAGGCGAGAGAAGTTGGGATGCAAGCGGGGGGGAGAGCCCGCGCGATAGCATGAGAGAGTCAGAGAGAGAGGTGCAGGCAGCAGGGCAGGTGCAGTTGCGTGGCGACAAGCATCAAGAGGGAGAAGGGCAGCAATACAATGCTGCCAGGGCGATGTTTTCTACTTTCGGGTGGCCGGAGCGACCCACGGGTCACGACTCACGGGATCCCGACTTCTCATTCGCATACCTTGATGGGGTTCTGAAGCTCGGGTTTCCCCAGTTTGTAGAGGTCGCAACATCCCCGGTCGTTGGTTGCAACCGCCACGTGATTGCGGCCGCCCGTCATGTTCCAAAAGGGATACCTGCATGGCGGGGGGGGGGGATTTCGTTTTCCCGGCGTCTTGGTGGTGGGGACATCACCCTCCGACGATCCAGTACGCGTTTCCACTCGCTCGGCCAGCTTGCCTCACACACACACACGCATGCATGCACACCGCTGGCTGCCCAACCCACACGCCACCCCCAACCCCCAACCCCCACCCCCCAACCCGCACACGCCCTCACCTGGAGCGCACGTAGCTGAAGACGGAGGAGAAGTGCTTGCCGGGGAAGCCAATATTGCCTGGGGCGGCGGGGAAAAGAAGAATATCCGGCGGGGGCCCGGGGTGAACGGGAAGTTGGGGGTTTTGTGGTGGGGTACTACCGGTACCCCGGGATAGGCCCGGCAGCGGATCCCTTACAAGAGGAATGACGGGACACCGCAACCGGTTGCACCGTTGCAGGTCCCAAGGGGCTCGCTGGTTGGCAGGAGCGGACTGGGAATCCCCGAAAGTCCCCGATGTCCCCGACAGTCCCCGATGTCCCCGACAGACGACCGCAATAAGCTACGGTAGTAAGACCCCCCCCGGGCCACCATGTGGTCTCCTATGGTTTGGTATGGTCTTTGAACCCCCGGCCACCACCCTCCCCAACCACCACACCTCCCACCCGCCCTCCCCATTCCCTCTCCAGCTAATGGAGCAGCTTTCTATTACGGTTCGTACCCAACGAACCGCTGCTATTAACCCAGCAGCTTTGACTTCCCGCAATCCTGCCATCCAGCCTAATGCGGAGTACCGTTATGTGCCTGCCACTCCCGCCCGCCCGCCCACCCGTGTAGTAGATGGTGTATGCGTTGATGACAAACAGGTTCGCCTCCCAGGGGTTCTCCGTGCGCACCCCCCAGTCGCCCAGCAGGCTCTCCATGAAGGACACCTCCGCCAGGTACATCGTGTCCAGCAGGGCGCTAGCGGAGGGGGGGGAGGGAGGGAGGGGGTTAATTTGGAAACAGAATCCGCATTACGCTGGATAGTTGGGGTAGCAAAGGGAGGAGAGAGGAGGGAGGGGGGAGGGAGGAGAGAGGGATTAATAAGGATGAAGGGGGAGGAGAGGGGAAGGCAGGGAGGGAGGAGGGAGGGAGGGAGGGGGTGTCAAAGGTGTATACCACACGGATGGATGCGCATGTTGAGGGGGAAAAGAGCCAAGTGGTCGGGGGCCGGAAGGCAGATCTCAACTGCGGCCTCAGGGCTTTCTAGCCGATTTTTCGTTCCCCCAGTTTCTAACCCTTTCCCTTGACACGCCTCCTACCCACCTGCCAACCCCCTTTTTGTCTTCGACCCCAGTTTACCCCTGTCTGCCCTCCCGGCACCCCCCACCACCCCTAGTCGTTTCCTCTTTACCCACCCCCACCTCCCCCCCTTGCTAACTCACGGCGGGTCGTGCCAGGGCCTCTTGTACGCCACGTGTTCCGGCAGGTCGTACACATACACACGCAGCTTGGTGGGGTGGGGCAGCCAGCCTGGGGGAGGGGGGTGAGTGGAGCGGTTGGGGAACGGTTGGGAAGCGGTTGAGGTTTGGGGGCCACGAAACCCATTTCCCTCCCCTGCTCACCCCTGCTCACCCTGATCCGGGATTGGGACTTGGTTGATGCATTTATCCCCCCTTGCCCCCCACTCACTCTCCCCCCTGTACGCCCGGCTCCTGCCGCAGCCCAGCCCCCAGTATCCCGGCTGGCAGTGGCAGTAGCCGCCGTGGCACTCGCCCCGCCCCGAGCAGTTCAGGTAGCAGTGCTGACCCTGCGGCTGCTCGCAGGAGGACCCCTGCAGCCAGGTAAAACACACACACGCACATACACACACGTTCACGTTCATTCATCACAGTACGTTTCTCCTCGCGGCCAGTTATATCAACACACGTTCGCTTTCTTAACACAAACACACGCGCCGCAATCACAGTGCGTTCCTACTCGCGACCTGGTCTTTTTTAACACACACATATAACACATGTGTATGTCAGCAGGTATGTCAGTGAGCAGCAGCACCGCTGCTACTCACCCGCCTCTATCGCGCCTCCCCAACCGCCACTCCCCTCACGTCCCCTTGGGCCCCCCTCTCCCCCGTTGCGATTCCCTGTGGAATGGTATGGTCTTTAACGCCCCCTCCCGTTGCTCCTACTTGCTCCTCATCAGCGGTTTCAGTTCCACCCCCTGTGGTTTCTTATGGTTCGGTATGCTCTTTGACCCCTCCCCTCTGTGTGCTTCTAGGATAGTATCTCCGAATGCGCTCACTGCATGAGTCGGGATATGGGATTGGGACTCACTTATTTAATTTCCCCCCCTCCGCTGCACCTCCCCCCGCCTGCTTACCCCGTAAAAGCCCTGGCAGTTGCATTGCACCTCCCCCGGCCTGTCACGGACGGTGCTGCACCACCCTCGCCCCGAACACCTGATGTGACGGGAAGGAGAGCAAGAGAGGAGAGCAGGAGAGCAGGAGAAGGTCGCTATCACCACCCTAAACATCATCACCATTACCACCATCACACTACGTTTTCCCCCCGCGGTCGGTTCTTCCAACACCCCTCCCCTCCACCCCCCACGCACCGCTGCACCACGATAATGATGCCTTATCACACGGTCAGTTAGTTGTTTCCTCTTTACACCCCCCCCACACACACACGCACCGCTGCGGGCATTTGTCGATGGGCAGCAGCAGGGTGCCGTCTGGCAGCTCGTAGGGGCTGGGGGCGGCGGGTGCGTCCTCGAACTGGTAGGGATCGCCGCCCTCCGCAACAGCGGACTGAGCGGGGTGGGAGGGGAAATTATAAGTGCAACAACACAGTCCCAATCCCGAATCCCGACTCATGGGTGGGAGGGGGAGGGGGAAAGCGAGGGCGGGAGGGAGGCAGGCAGCAGCAGGCGGCAGTGAATGGAGGAGGGTTGTCAGCGGTTGCCTTTGTAGAAGAGGTGATGATGCTCTCCGTGTTGTCTCCTTTGGCTTTGTTTCACGTACGGCCTAGCTCAGTACTAGCGACGCGGCAGCCCTCTTCCGCTTGCATGCGGCCCCAGGCCCCCCCGCAGCCATCACCCCTGCGCTCACTGCATGGGTCGGGATATGGGATTGGGACTCGTTGTTTCACTTATCTAATCCCCTCCCCCCCCCCCCGCACCTCATTGAACAGCCCCCGGCGCCACTGGTAGCGCGGGTCGGTGGGTCCGTCGGGCGGCAGGGACAGCTGCTCCGACTCGGGGAGGTCCTGCAGGGGGCCGGGGGCGGAGGCATACCAGAACCACAGGGGGCGGGGGGGGCGTGGCGGAGGGAGCGGAGGGAGGGAGTGGGTGTACGGCGTGCGCATGTACGGCTGCCGTTGCTGCTGTCGTACCTGCTCCTCCTCTGTGTTTCTTCCCTGCTTCCGTAACCCCGCGAGGAGGAAGCCTGGGGAGAAGTGGCAGGCGGCCTCTTCTGCCCCCAGGCCACCACCCCGCCCCTCCCTCAGCGGGTTCCCCACTGGCACATCCCTCCCCTCCCCACTACTCCACCAATGTGCTTTCCTACTCCACCGTGCTTTCCTAATCCCGTAACCCGCTCTTCCATCCTTAACCCCACCCGTACAAACGTGATCTCCGCCTTCACCCACAACCGCGTCCTCGCCCTCTTCCCTTGCCGCTCCTCCCTTGCCCACCCTATACCTTGATCACATAGCAGCTGGTGTGCTTCCACGCCCAGAACTGGTAATAGGGGCAGGAGTAGGGGTCGGTGGTGTAGGAGGGAGGGCAGGCGGCCCGAGCGAGCTGCTTTAGACTGGGGAAGAGAGGGGAGGAGGAGGGGAGGAGGTGAGTTACCGGTAAGAGGCAGGGAGGGAGGGGGAGAGGTGCGATGGATGGAAATGTTGGAGAAGGAGCTGGGGAGAGGGAAGGAGGGCGGAAAGATGGAGTCGTGAAGTGAAGAGGGAATGTTTCCTCATATGGGAGTGACCTTTCATGGGGGCTTTCCCAGGGCTGTGTTCCTGCCCCGTACGACGTATTGACTTACCAATGGCAGTTTTTCGGGTAGAAGTGCCCATATGCGGGCAACGAGGTGTTCAAGTCCGGGGCGTTATGACAAGCGGGCATGAGGCGCTGTCCACAGTCGGGGCCTGTGTTGTTGGAGCCAGGGGCTGTTCAGGTCCGAGCAGCGACCATGCCGACGAAAGGCTTCTATGCATGGCGCTTACCACCGAAACCGAATCTGCATTCGCATTCTCCGGTTTCTCCATTGCAATTCCCGTGTTTAGTACAGCCTATTGGACATTCCTTGTTTGACACTGTTGCAGGTTCATTTTTGGCTAGCAGTAGGCTTGGTAAAGATAGAATGTTTAACAGTAAAGCAATATGTAAATAGTAATTAACAAATCGCGGCATTCTATTTCTTGTCGCTCAAACTCGCTGAAAGAATTAAACTCTAACAAGCCCCATCGAGCCGGCCTGAGTCAAACATGATATTGCCGTGCGTGCACCGACGATATATCTTCGATTAGTGGCCGTCTTGAGCGTGGCGGCAGCTAAGCTCTATTGTCGTACTGCGGCCTTTTGACTTCCTAGTAGCGAGATTATGACAATCTTCGGTAGTTCTACAGCATGCCGCACATACCTTCTTACTGGTAAGAGCACTGGTGGACGTGAGGTTAAACGGAAGCCGTATGGGACTACCCGCAGCAGCTCATGTCGCTTGCCTGATGTGTACCTGGGGCTGAGTGTCTGAGCTCGCCAAACAAACTCTTTACGCGGCCTGCCTGGGAGATGCACTTTGCAGCCCTGGGCGGCAGGCGGGACGAGGCGGGCACGGGCAGGCCCGGATCCATCGCAGGCCTATCTAAGCGGTCCTGAGCGGTTCGGATTCATGAGCAGCGGCCAGCTTCTTACCTATATGCTTACGTCTCCTAGGTATTTTGTCCAGCTTGCAATGACGCGATTCTTTTTCGTCGTGCGCCGCATTGTTCTGCTGACGTATGTAGCGTTCGAGCCTGATAAACACATGTTCCGTTCATTGTGCCTCATTGGTGGACTATGGTGCAGCTGTCAAGCATAAATATGACCGTCCATCCGTAATTTTCCTCAACCAAAGGGCGATGGATGGATGTTGGCGTACTTCGTCAGCGGCCTTCGCCATACCAATCCCATGACGGCGAAAAATTATACCTCAATTGTGTTCTCCGAGTCAAAGCTCAGAGGATACAATTGAGGTTTGGAGGCCTACGCATTGCAGCCCATTCTCAGGTCCGTCCGATACACCTCATCCCATCCCCACATCCTTTAGTCCCTCCCATTCACCACAGCACCATGAGGTGCATGCCTCAATCTTGCCCCGTGTGGTCCTTCCCTACATTCCCTTGCTTATTTATTAATAAAAGCGCTTAATCAAATATAAAAATATTTATATTTATTTATTGGCGCTTTCATTAATAAATAAGCAAGGGAATGTAGGGAAGGACCACAAGGGGCAAGATTGAGGCATGCACCTCATGGTGCTCTGATTGGCGGCCCCTTATTGGCGCTTTCAGGCCACACGTTGACCCCTTCCTGTAACACTGGCCATGCTGACTACCTCAAGCGACCCAGCAAGCCCCCCCTCTTTCCACGCTTCCTGTGCCGCCCTGTCCTAGTCCTCACGCTCCTCCGCTGGGCTCACCCTCGTCCCCTGCGGCCCCTCCTCCGCCTCAGGCCCCCTCTGCCACCGCCTCCACTAACAATCCACCTTCTCATCGTCCACTGACTCCTCCGGGTCCACGGACGTCCCCCCCTCCCACACGCTTCCGGTGTCGAGGTTGTTCAACCACGTTCTAACGAATTCCTCGTTGCCCTCGTGCTCCGACCAGTCGTTGAAGTTGTACATTTGAGGGTCGAAGCCGTCCGGGTAAGTCTTCACTTGGTGCACCAGGGCGAGCTTGGCCTGCAGCAGGAAAACGTGGAGTGTTTATAAAAAAAGTTGACGGTCGAGGAACGGCAGCAACAAACGAAGAGGACTGCGTGCACGCAGTCGATGCTTACGTGCTCGGCCAGAGCTCGCTTGAAAGGCCTCATGCTGTCCACGCCGGTGAAATCAACAGGTTTGTTGTGTAGGTCCCCGAAGGTGACGTTCCCCAGCACCTCTGCAAAGTCCGGGTTGTCCCTGCACAACGAAGTGTCGCGTTAGTGCCCCTATTGCGGCTACCAGCTGCACACTGGTGCAATAACGTAGCGCACAATTCACCTGTGCCGCCCCACCGACGACAGCTGCACCGGCAGCAGCGACTTGTCCAGCACGTGCAGCATGAACGAGCCCCCAAGGCCGTCGTACGAAAAGCAAATGCGCAGGTCATTGTACTCGTGCTCGATGGCGCTGTTCCAAATGATGCCCATCATGACGCCTGCGTACTGCTGCATACACGTCCAAGCAAGGCACGGGCACGCCACCTTTGTGATCATATCACTCATAACGCATGCCACATGATCTGCACTCATCCACCTACCGGTATACACCCCCGAATTGTACCATATGCCAACCGCACAGGCCACGACAGGTAGGGTGATCAGATCAATTGCTTGCCAGGGCAGTCGTGGCCACCGTGACGAACTAAGGCCCAACACGCGGCGGTGCACCCCGCCCACACCCACCTTACATCCCTCGGCGACCAGGTGGCGAGCCACCAGGAAGCCGGCCGGAAGCTCCTTGCCCAGCACCATGCACTTCATCTGCACAAGTCGTCGAATGAACAGGGACAACCGCGCAAAATGATGGGGGATCTGGCAGCCACGACCCAGGCAGAATGCAGCGGCTAGGGGACATTGAGGTGTGGTATCTACCTTGTCGCTGACGCCATAGAACTTGGCGACGCGCGCTCGGAAGTCCGCGCTGGAGTCGTGAGACTCCGTCGAACTTGGCGGCCTGAAGGCTTCCTTCAGGTTCGCGAGCGCAATGCGCGAGGTGAATTTTAACTTCTCCTCCTGCATGCGCTGGTTGGCCTGCATTTTGTTCAACTGCTCCCCCTGCATGCGCTGGTTGGCCTCCACTTTGTTCAACTGCTCCAGGATGGTTCTGAATATTTCTGCAACACGAAACACCGGCGGAAATGGGCGTCAACGCCCCCATAAAGCACACTACCCACCAGCCGCCCTGACACGGTTTGTTAGGCCTTAGTACTTGGTGCAACCAGCGTGCCGCACCGCGCCCCGCAGCCCCCAGCAACTCCCCAGCGCTCCCCCACAAACTTACTAAACTCACCAGCATCTGCCGGGCTCCCCAAGCCCAGGCCAGCCGCCGCGCCTGCACGACGTGGGAGCGGCCCGAGAAGCACATGCAAGTGAGAAATTGCACGCCGCGGCACGTGCTCGATGCGGTCTGGTGTGTGGGGAGGGGGGGTGCGGGCTTGAACGGATCCCAGTGAGACGGCAGCTTGCAGGTGCCGCGCGCAAACAACAACCCACGCACAATCATCGGCCGGTCGGGCAATCGCGCACCTTGCCGCTTTAAGATATGGTCAATGAGGCCATAAGGCAGCCCAGCGGCTTTGAGGCCCTCTCTAGTGGCATCCTGCAGGCCGCGGACGTCGCGATAGCGGTTGTGCCACAGGATATCCAGATCGGTGTCCTCGAAGCGCGTCAGGTCAGCTCCATAGGCTATAAGGGCTGTGCGCAGCTGCTCCCGCTGCTGCGGGTCCATCTTGAAGCGCGGTGTCTAGGGTTCGAAAGGGTTCAAAGGAGGCACAACCTTATGGGAATCGACTGCGTCTGCATTCTCGATATCCCATCGGCAGAGATTTGGTCAAGAGTTTGCCTTTCTCTTTGCTCAACGCGCCAATGCGCGCACAGCCTTGCCAGTCCGCTTCTTGGAGGCAGAGGTGAACTCGAAAACTGTTCGGGACTGAGCGCTTGTGGTCACGCGTTCAATATTGAGGACCTGTGTTGAGAAAATTTTCCCGCTCTGGAAAAAGCTCTAAAACGTGCGCGGGGCCTTGCAAGCCTTCTGGCGAATGGAGAAGAAGAGGAGGGAGGGCGTGCTCGCCGCACGGAGTGGTATCCTTGAAAGGACGCAAGGGCACGCAACGGGAGGTTACCGGCGCTATCCGGACGAGCATCCGGACAGTGCGGTTACTCTACCTGCCCACCATCTCGAGGCACACGATTATCGTCCCTTATCCAAACATGTCTATTGTTTACTTACAATAGACCGCCGCTAATTAGATGTGCTGACGAGTAAGAACTTCAATGACGCAAACAAAAACTGTGGAGTAACAGTGATCGACCAGATGCGAAGCTTTCTTTTACTGATACGTAGATAAATCAATGCACACTTAAAGGTAAACCCAAACAGCATTGCGGAATCGACATTCGGAGAGTAATGTTGAGCAGTCAAGTATCTGCGGTATAATCCATGGCGTCCTAGCACATAAATCATCTGGGTCCTTGGACGAGAATGAGGAAACTTACGTCGAGGCTGCCTAGCTTGGCGCCGCTGTGCTTTTTCCTCATTTCGGTGGGTAGGCAACAAGGTGCCCGCTACCCTTGCCCGATGGAATTAGCAACGCGACAGTCATCTATCGGCAACGGTTCTCACGCCCTGGCATGCCTCACTGGGCAGGTTGCGTACAAGTTGGCATGGACAGCCATCTCCTCGTTGCTCAGTCAGTACAGCAAGGTCTACGGGCCCGGCATCCTGCTGCAGCTGAACGTCGCCTACTTCTTCCCCAGCATCCCGGTGCTGATGCTCCAGACCGCCTTCAACGACCGGTACGTTGCCTGTAGGGCAATAACTCGACGCCATCCTGCGTCTCCATAACGTTCCAAGGCTTCCCTCCTTCCGCAACGGCCACTCCGATGACGTCCGCAACGACAACCCTCCCACATATAGGTCACAAACCACGCCCTCCACACTTCGCTCCCTAGCTGATCTGAAACTCGGCTTGGCTCCGCTCACTTGTACCAGCTCCTTCCCTCTCCCTTACAGCATGGACCGCCGCCTCGGGCTCCCGGCCGGCGCCCTGCTGCGCCTCACGCTGGGTCTCGGCGGCTTGGTGGGCCTTACGCGCTTCTTCCCGGTGCTCACAGCGGGCTCCGAGCGCGCGCTGCTGGCTACGACGGTGCTGGTGGGCATGTCGTACGGCATTGCCTTTGGGACGTCGTACCAGGTGGCCTCCAAGTACGCATCTGGGGCAACAGTGGCGCTGACCACGGGTAAGAGCGTGGCTGTGCCAAGCTTTCTGGTCGAGTCCTCGGTATTAGCTACACGGCAGTACGGTACACGCAATCATGTGGAGAGTTACAAGGGTTGCACTCGCGATACGCTGTAACAACATTTTACGTTAGTGCTCGCAACAATTCCTGTTAAGGAGCCGCATGTTAAGCCCTTCCAGCGGACCATCACACTCCTGCCACTGCAACAGCCAAACCACCACCACTACCACCACCTCTCCTCTCCCACCACAGGCTTCGTTTCCAGCGGTCCGGTGGTTTTGCTTCTGGACCTCGCCCTCAAGCGGGGGCCCTACTACTCACCGGAGGGACTAGAGACGCTGTTCAAGTGGGTCGGGGTGCACGTGACCGTTATGGTCGTTGATCTGGGTCGATCTGGGTCGGAAAGGGCGTGACCTGGGTCGACCTGGGTTGGGCCGGGGTGCCAGTCTGGGCCGTACGTGCCGGTAGCACACGGTGTTAGCATCCAGCACCAGGTTTGTTCACTCCGCACAAGGGGCACGACGCCCTCCCGACCTTGCTCATCCTGCTCATCCTAGACCCCAAGACCATGCTACCGTTGCCTACCGCATCCTCCCCCCCTCACCAATCACCCACAGGTGGGTCGCCGGAATCACCGCAGCAGGCCTAGCTGCCGCGGCCGCTCTGGTCCTGGGCAGCTGGAGGATGCTGGCAGCGGGAGGCGGCCCCGGCGCCGCGGGGGCGCCTCCCCGTGTCGAGATTAAAGTACTGCACCGCAGTAACCCCTCGACACAATCCTCGGGGTACGGCATCTCAGCTGCCAGTGGCGGCACTTCCGGCCTGGCTGACAAGGAGTATGCCGTACACGCGTCAGAACGCTCGTCCATGCGCCCGTACGTACGACACAGGAATGAAAATACGGCAGCCGGCACGTACGCGGCGTACAGCAGCAGTAGCGATTCGCCGTACGCGGCGAGTGGTGGCGTCAGCAGTGGCGGGCCAACACCGACCAGTGGGACGGGGGCGGTTAACGGTTTCCACAACCACCGGGGATCGCATGGAGGTATGGGCAGCGGTAACGGGCATCATGCCATTACGCTGGAGTTTGCAGACGCGCATGGCCGCAGTCATGCTGCAGAGGCAGCTGGAGATGGGTCAGCCAGCAGCGGCGGACATCACATAGAGTTCTCTGCAGATGAGAGCAAGGTGAGGAGCAGAGGAGGAGGAGGAGGAGGAGGTATACGGGTAACGGGAGGGAGACTGTTTGCAACACGGGTCGGGTTCCTGCGGGTTGGGGCCCATGGGATTGGGCGCCGGTGTTATTCGTTGCTTGCCATGGTGTCCACTCCGGGATCTCCCGCGCTTTCCAGACGACGACAGCGGTATCCCAAACATACCCGGCCCTGTTAGTCATGAGCCTCCTCCCCCTCCTGTTGCCCCTCTCTTCTCCTCCTCCTCGTTCTTCCCGCCCTAATGCCTTCGTCTCCCTGTCTCCCTGCCCCTCCCTCTCCCCCACCACGCCTCCACCAACCCCAGACCGCCAGACGCGACCTGCCGCTGCTGCGTCTGGCCGCCCGCATCCTGCCCGCCGCCACCGCCATCTCCATCAGCGTGGGCACCTCCATGCTCATCTTCCCCTTCTTCACCTTCATGCACTCCACGGGGCTGCTGGGGATACGGCTGCCGCAGGTGGGGGATGGCGGGGTGCGAGCTGGGGGGTGGGGGGTGGCCTGCGGCCTTTTGCTCATTTGCCCAGATAGACAAGGGAGCGGCAGGCTGCCAGTTTCGTCTGCGAACATGAGGGCCTTTTGTTCTCATGCAACATGCCAAAACGCCTTTGTTGACATGCTCGCTCTTCCCCTCCCCTCCCTAGGATTGTCAGCAACTTGTATCATTATCACACCACACTTTGGAATTTCCTTTTCCCTCCCCTCCCTCTCCTCCTCCCCCCCAGGTGCTGTTCTACATCCGGCTGGTGGGGGACATCGCTGGGCGCATGGTGCCCAGGCGGCTGCAGGTGCGGTGGTGCCGGGAGTGTGGGGCATGCAGGACGAGCGGGAACGTGTGATCTTGTGATGTGGTGGAGGAGTGCAGCCCTGCTCACCCGCCCCAGCCCCTGAATACCCAAGAATATATATCCAAGACCTAGGGGGTTCCTGCCATCTCGAGTAAGCCTTTTCGCGCTGCTACATTGGTATCGAGTTCAAGGTTAGCTCGCATGGTGTACTATATTTACCCCTGCCTTGCGCTCTCCTTCCCTTCCCTTCCCTTCCCTGCCCTGCCGTCTCCCAGGTCACCACCGTGCGGCGGCTGATGCTGTGGGCCGCTGTGAAGCTGGCGCTGGTGCCGCTGCTGTTCGGCTGCATCTTCGTGCCGCACCTGACGGGCGGCGACGTGGGGGCCATGGCGGTTGTTGCCGTGTTCTGGGTGCTGTCCGGCTACCTGAACACCTGCTCCTACCTGGTAGCTCCCACCCTGGTACCGCCCAGCCAGAAGGCCCGCGCCTCAGGCCTCATGACCGTCGCCTTCCAGTCCGCGTGTTTCGGAGCGCTGCTGCTGGCGGCCGTCATCCAGCAGCTGAAGTTGGGCGAGGGGCTGGCGCAGGGCATCCTGGCGCATGGAGTTGTAGCGCATGCGGTGAATGCGGCGGCGGTTGAGGCGGCGGTGGTGGGTGCAACGGCGGCGGAGGGGTCTGCGACGGCGGTGGAGGCGGTGGTGGCGGCAGCGGTGGGGGATGTGGCGGGTGGCATGGAGGTGGAGGGGATGCAATAGGGTATGTGTGCAATACGACGGTAGCGGCATTGGGTTGATGCCATCTAATAGCCGTCCGCTGGCCTTCTTCTTCACACGGCAGGTTAGGCAGGCTTTGCGCGGGACGGTCCCCTCCGCCAGTTATCTAATCCCCTCCGCCATCGGTGCTTCTTGTCAATGGGGTTGGGCAGGAAAGGGCGTTGGGTTGGTCGGTTGGGGGGCGGCTGGGTGCTTTGTACTTGGGGGTGCTCATGTCATTCAGGTGCCGTTACTTGTGAATAGCTTGAAGCGTTGGCAGTGTGGTTCTGATCACCTGAGGGAGTGAGGGGGTAAAATTAAGTAAGTGAAGGGGGACTTTGCGCGTGGCTTCCGTTATGCACGCGGGTAGCATACTGTGTACTGGCACACTGGTGGCGGGCTGGTTGTGTGGACGGAGAACTGTTAGGCTTGGGTACCGCAGTGAAAGCGGGCCGACGGCGCAGAGCCGGCAGAGGAGCCTCGAGACGTTGCATGCATGCGATTGCGGGTGTGCGATCCAGGTTACTGGGAACTTGCTGGGCTGGGTGTGGGACTTGTTGCATGGGGGTGTGTTGCCGCATACGGGGATATGCAGAAGTATGGGGTATCATGTTTTCGAGACATGCATGGTACATATAGAGGTTGTTAGGGCTTTCCCAGAGGTGTTTGCTGTTTGCAACAGCAGAAGCGCGTTCCAGAACCCTCCCGCCCGCAAAGGGCTGGGTCTTGTTCACTTGTATCGACCGGAAAGGCGTGACCTGTGAAGCCATTCTGCGGCCTTCATGCCTTCAGGTTTACCGCAAGGCGCAGCTCAATGCCCGGCGAGAAAATGAGGTGTCCCGTTGTCCATGCGTTGGGCCTCCCTGGCCCTCCAACCATTTGGGCTCTTGGGCCTTACGCCCTCGTGTGTGTCCGTACATGCCAGGGCGCTATGCGGCAACTAGGCACCCCCGCCCACTCAAGCGACCTCGCTCTCAAACCCGCACGTGCAGCTTCTGATCAATACACATCAACGGCATTGATACCGTACCCTTCTCCAGATGCCACGCACTCGACACCGCACCCGCAGTACTGCACTGTTGGGGACCCCGTAATGCCGCGCCCTCCTCCACCTGGCGGTATACAGAGGAGGGACACGAGCGCATTCCAGCGGGGACAACGGTTAGGTTGTGTGGACAGGTCTGACATAAGCAGACGTGACGCCCTTTCAACGAAAAGTGGTGGTGGGGTAGCAATGGGCAGCTTTCTGGTGTAGCCAACACCATGGCTGTAGCGGGCGCTGGTGTGATCTTCCCCCCTTGCACCGCTGGCTCGTTTCAGTTAGCCGGATGAGCCGTGGATTACAGACTTAGCGGAGGCGTGCAGCCAGCAGAAAGACCAGCTAGCGACGGGACAATGCCAGTTAGGCGTCGCTGCTAACCTGAACTACTTCGAAACAGCGCATAGTCACTGTTGGGAGACGCTACTTATGTTGCAGACAGCATGCACGTGGTTGCAACTAGCGTTTCCCATGACCTACGCGAGGGTTACTCCCAATAGGCGCAAATAAATGTAAAATAAATACGAAAAGGACGCCTCGGAAAAGCGCATGAGGCATGTCCTCATGCAGGTGCCGTGAGGCCGTGCATCCCCAGTTATAAGCCCCCTGTGGACGTCTCCATACGACCATTAAAACGCATACAGGTGTTCTACTGGACAGCGCAATCGCAAAGTGACACCTACGTAATAGAAGCTTTCTCTCCTACCCTGCCGAACCTTCGTTAGCCGCACCGCGGACTCCCCTTTAAAAATGAACATGAACGGTCAAGACTGGGATCAGGTGGTGATTAGGAAGAAGCAGCCGACGGGAGCTGCGCTTAAGGACGAGGCAGCTGTGAACGCGGTGCGTTGCATCCGAGGGTTTGCCGACGTAACTGCGTCGCCAACTTGGTTGCAAATTGTCCTCAGGCTCGACGACAAGGAGCTGCCGTGGACACAACGCAAAAATGTGGGTTGGTTCTAGAATTCGGCCGCCGTCCAGGTTGGATCTGCCGCGTGCTGATACACTTACTTGCCTCGTATCCTGCAGTTAATGCTGGCAAGAACAAGCCTGCACAGCAGACCGTTTCAGGGAAGCCAGCGGCTAAGCTAGAGCAGGAGACGGAGGACTTCCACCGTAAGTTGTACTCGTTGAGCCATGAATAAGCCTGCCCTTAACCGAGCCGTGGGCCCCCTTTTGCATCTTTAGCCTTGACCTGGCCTTCTATAGTTACTAAGGCGTCCTTTGAATTGTTTTGCAGACGAGCGCGTATCTTCCAACCTCAAGCAGCAGATTGTCCAGGCGCGGACAGCCAAGAAGATGACGCAGGCGCAGCTAGCGCAGGTGAGGACAGGTCCCTGATGGGAGGGGTTGAAGCTTGCATGTTCAGGCGCCTGCGGGAAGAGACAGGGGGAGCGGGGCGGTGAAAGGGCAAGGTTTAGGCACGCTCACCTGCCAAGCTTCTGCGCGTTAAAGTCCATTTTGCATCGACCCACGCATCGACCCACGCAGGCGATTAACGAGAAGCCTCAGGTCATTCAAGAGTACGAGCAGGGCAAGGCTATCCCGAACCCGCAGGTCCTGTCAAAGATGTCCCGCGTGCTGGGCGTTGTGCTCAAGAAGTAAACACGAACGTGCGGGCCTGGTGTACGCCAAGCTTTAAGTTCTATTGAAAATTAGTACCCGGACAAGCATGCAGAGTGCAGAGGGAGATGCAGCGACTGCACGCAGCTGGTGGCGTCAGGAGGCAGGGCGCGCCATCTAAACCATGGGACAGATGCCAGGCAGTGGACTACAGTACTCTGATGTCAGTATTGCCTGTTTCCGGAGGCTTCCAGCACGGTCGATAGCGGAGCTGCTGGGTTCGGATCCAGGCGGCTGTCGTAGTAGCGGAGGGCAGCAGCGAATTGTACGGCTTATGATCCATGTAGTCTGCATGTAGGCGGCGTTCTGGGTCTAGAGCTATCTGTTAAGCTTTCCTGTTTAGCCGAAGTGCGGCCCCTCCACCACGCATGGCGTGTATGTTGTGCTCGTCGCTTTCCTCACGCTTAGGGGGTTTCCCATGCATGTCGCCTACATTGGTCGGGTCTCACCCTAGGACAGGGCACAGTACTGGTGGTTGTTTGGCAGGATGCGTGGGTCGTTGAGTCGCGAGTACGGCATGCCTTTGTGTTTGCTGCTAGGTGCGTGTGGGCAGGCAGGTGCGCGTGTGCACAGCGGTGAGGGGCATGGCGGTGAGAGGCGCAGCGAGGGGAGCCATGGCGAGGAGGGCCGAAGTGTTGCTGCAAAGTAGGTAATACTGCCAATGAATCGCATGTGTGGTGGATGTAGGGTTGCCGGTCGCGGGATATCGCACTGTTGCGATACCGCACTTGGCTGCAGCAGCAGGTTGCAGGAGCGTGCACGAGCGGTTAGGACACGACATCCCATGTCTGACCGGAGTGCACGTTTGTAGTGCCCGAGCATGTAACGCCATCAGCCGATATAGTGCTTCGTTCTTGTTATCTTCAAACCCTGGATTTGGTAAAACGCTCCAGAAAGGATACCAGTTACATTCTTTGTGTGCGTACCGATATCTCTTGCGACGCCCATGCTAGCGACCGATGTAGATCGGAGTATCATAGACCAATGAACCCAGTAGTTCGACCCCGCATGGACGACTCCTAAGCACAGGCCGGGCGCCGTGGGGTATTGGAAAAACGGTAACAGACCCGCGCTTGAGTGCGATTGATGTGCCAGGCTTGAGCGAAGATAGTGAAGCAGTGGATACGTGTGTTAAAACATGTTGACCCGTGGGTCAAGAAGGCACAGATAAGGAAGAACTGAGATCAGAACAGTGATTCCAGCGGTTGTATACAGGAGGTTACAATGCTGTCTTCATGACACCAAAACCTTGCGGGACCTTGCGTTCATAGCATGTATGCTGTAGCCTCCCTGGCTTGCTGGTTACTGTAAGGGCGTGCTTACAACAGTACACGGTACTATGTCTCCTTCAAGAGCGCAAATGGGCACCCAAGGTAAGCAGAGAGGAGGTAGTGGGTACCGGTACGCAGAGTAACCCTGTATGACTAATACCTAACTACAACAGCCTGCGACAACAACCTCATGTGCTTACCCCTCAGGACCTCATTTAGAAGGCACACATCCTTCCACCAATAAAACTAGCATACCTAGCATAAGGCATTCCGCTGGGGCTGATGGGCGGCACTGGCTAATAGTCTCTGTGTGGGCCCGGTCCACCCGTCAGCGCTACCTCCTGTGATTCAACACCCCTCTACAGTTAAGACATGAACGTTGCGTGTTTACGTAATTGTTGTTGGCTTAGTATCACGGTTTGCAATCACAACGTTCAGTAGCGTAATCGCATGCTCACGTACGGTTTACAGCACACGCTGCAAAGACGTCAGCCACGTAACATCCACTTGCCGCAGCACTATGAGCGACAATGGGAAGCTGACAATACTGTGTCAAACCTCTCGGTTGTCGTGAAGGATGGCGAGAGGGTCCTGTCCAAAACCCACTCCTTCATAAAAACTGAAACCTGCTTGCGTCAGGCACCCCAGACAGTAACTCCCAAAGAGTCAAAGATAACAAAATTCATTCATACGCCGTATACGACCATAATCACAACAACGGCGCCCCACCAAGCACCATCTGTTCTGCCAGGATAAGGCCCAGCAAGCCCACCATGGCAACGCGACCGTTCAACTTCTCCGCCAGCGCATTCCAAGTGTACGGCAGCGGCCCGTCTGGGTAGGTGTCGTACTCGCTCGCAATCACTTTGGCCGCCGGGACTCGACCCGCGAGGGCGGGAGCAATTGAGGCGGCGAGCGTTGTAAGGCCCACCAGGATTGCGGCTGTGGCTCCGGAAGCTGACGTAAGTTGTTGTACGGCAGATTGGTGGGTGAGGATCTCGGAAAGTGCGATGCCTAGGAATCCGACCTGAGGGGGCGGTTAAACGGAGGGTTGTGTTGAGGGCTTTTTAGGACAACATGCCGGTATACAACGACAGTGCTGGGCGTGGACAGAGGGGCAGCTGTCCCCAGGTGTACAGAGGTATAACGGATTCCAGACATATTCAGAGCTGGTTGGTGGAAGCTGTCTTGCGCTTCCACCAACCAGTGACAAGCCCATCCTAGTAGTGCTGGGAAGCAAGTCTTGAACGATAAAGGCTTGAACTTCAGCAGCCAACCGCCAACTGTTACCCACCATGGCAACGCGACCGTTAATGGTTTCGGCGCCGCGTGAGTTGGCACGTAGGATGGGTTGGTAAGCCTCCAAGCTGAAGCCCCGCACCGCGTGTGGAAGCGGACTGCCGGCGTCGATTCGAATACGGTTCTGATCGTCGATCGCTGCATGGTACACATGCGGCATGTACGGTGGGGTGTTACAAACAGTCAAGTATTGCTCATGCAAGCGTCTAAACACGGCCTTCTGCACAGGGTCCAAGACATCTATAGTAATAATGAGTCGCACCTTACTGCGAACCTTATTTCAGTACTTGCATGGCCCATTCACACAGCCCAGCCCCGTCCATAAACCTTCCGACAGGTACCGGTACCGGTACCCAGTGTTTCCCTCAGGGTCATTTGGGGTTTTTCTTAATCCTCCTTACCGGCCGGGAAGCGCAGGCCATGCTTGCGGTCGACCACAACAATGGCGTCCGAGGGCGCATCGTACGACACGTGATATACGACACCGTCGATGTTCCGGGTGGTCTCGCCGCCCTGTGTGTGTGTTAGGATGAGGAAGGTAAGGCAAGTAGCAGTGGTGTTTTGGGGCTACGATACGGGGGAGAAAGAGGGTGTTGGCATCGCTGCACGTGAGGGACATAACGAGGCGATTGTATAGCTTGCAATGCTTGGTTGGAAAGAAGAGTCACCGAAGGTTCTAGATGCAAGCGGCTGCGATGAAAGTTATGTATGCGCTCAGCTTCGCCGTTTTGGCTACAAACAAAATGAATTGCGAAAAGTGAGACTAAAAATCAGTACGAGGCGCTGCTGGGCACGTTTGGGCCACTAGCTTGCGTGCCGCCCGCGCAAACGTGTGGCTGGCGGGAACGAGGCGTCTCACAGCCTCTAAGAGGTCAAAAGCAGTTGCCATACATTTAGGAGTTAAAATTCTCTGTAACAACCAGTATAGCATGCCTTAGTGGCTGTCGTCATTAGCTCGGCAACGGGCTGACCGTATCCATGCATGCTCGACCATTGGACAGGGAATCTCACACAACGCCATCCCACCTGGGCACCGACAAGGCTGTTCTTGGTCAGATTAATGGGCTTCCAGAGCTTCAGGTCGGCAGCTTTGGCAGGGGCCGCAGCTGTTGTCGTCGATGTGGTCGCAGCGTTGCAACGGACCCTAGGCCGCACAGCTGAGAACGGGCGCTTAGCAAGGTGCTTCATTTTTGGCAGAAAGTAATGAAATGGTGTTTGAATGTTGATTGCGAAGTCGCATTTATCGGTGCAGCTGCGGGTTTCCCGCCGCTCCGGAACCTGACTTTCGTACTGCGTCAAGCCGAACGCCTCCAGCGTAGATGAAAGCTGTCATTAACCTAGTAATTAAGCATTTATCGATCAAGCTTTTCGATTCCCGTCTTGAATGCTGGCTGTCGCTACTGGCCATCCGACAGGCACGGCGAGCCTAGTAGAAAGCACTCGCTATGCATAAAAGCAATTGCCTTATATAATATTCACCTCTTCGATGGCAGGGTTAATGAAATAGGAAGTCTTACAAATGCAGAAGTCAGATGCATAAAAATGGCTGCATATCAATCGTTTTTTGTCTCAATAGCAATTCCATTCTCTTACATCGCGATATTAAGGATAATGTGTAGCTGCGAAGTATGTGCGTGCTGAGCTTTGGCTGCCTTCGATGCACGTTTCTGCGAGCCACTTTGTTCGTTTTGCGTAGCTAGGCCTCCCATTTATTACAAACTAATCACAATTGACGACTCAACAACCCAATACGACGTGTTCGGCAACTTTCAAAGTCAACAGTTTTAGGTCTAAAAGGCCCAGCCTCTCGTGGTCTTTACATGGACACCAATGGATGGGTGCGGACCTGGTTCGTAGTTATGCCAATAAGGGACCGCCGATAAGGGGGCCGCCAACATGGGGGCCGCCAATGAGGGGCCGTCAATAAGGGGGCCAATATGGGGGCCGCCAATAAGGGGCCGCCAGTAAGGGGGCCGCCAATACGGGGGCCGCCAATGAGGGGCCGCCATTTGCAGACAACAGCCATGCCCATTGTTTTCTGCGCTGCATGCGTATACACGGTAACGGCCCGTCGTTGCTGTGTGGTTTAGGCTGATGCTTTCACAATTCACCCGGTTAAGGGCGGTAAGCTGGCAACTAAGGGAGCTGCTGGGCAGCAACAGCAGGCACATGGGCAGCCGCTGAGGCACCAGCCACAAGGATATCGAGCACAAATCACTGCGGGAGGGGGCGAGGGGCAGGCACCAGCGAGGCAGGCGCAGTGGCAGGAAAGTGACAAGGGATTGGCTGGGGCATCAGCCCAGCACAGACCAGAGAAGCAGGAGCCGACGCTTGCACCACGGGAATTGCACAGGGAGCAGCAGCGAAGGCAGGGGTAGGGGATAACAGCCAGTGCATGTGCTGAAGAAGCAGAAGCACAGGCTGGGGCAGGCGCTGCAGCGGCATATGGGGATTGGCAGACACTGCAAGCAAGGCCTCCAAACTCCAGTCGGCAGCTTTCACCAGCTTCCAGCCACTGGGAAAGAGGCCAAGGTGCAGCAGAGGCGGTGGAGGATGCTACAGAGAGGGCCACACGGTCCAGGAATTACAATGCCCTCGCTTGATCTACCGGTATGTGGGAGTATAGTTGCGTCCAAGGTAATGGTGTTGAGAAACACCGTTTCAGCATAGGGAACACTTCCTGGGCTGCATGCCCAGAACACTCAACGCTGCCAGTTCACCGCTACCGACCAGCTACCGGCCCACCAGGATGCCTGCATGTTCGTCAGGCCAGAGGGCGCAGGGACCATCAACAAGACATGTCAGATGCGTGCCCTCTTGGGCCCCAATCCATCCCCAATTTAGCCCATCGTGACACCACGGAGAGGTGAGAGCCGTAGGCTTCTAACCCTGAGCAGTGAGCAGGCATTGGTGCAGCTGCAGGGACCACGCCGCAATGAATCAAGTGTGCAAACATCGAACCAAAAGCCTGGCATATCACGTGCTTGGGAGCGCAGCACGCTCTATGAGGCCCTTTACGACCTCAGACTCCTGACAGGGGTAGGGGCGCTGTAGCACACCCTGCATAAGCTATGATAATAATAATAATAGTTACGCCGGGCAAGCCCTGGCGTGTGTTAAGGAGGTGAGGCAATGAGGGGGGTTAGCCCCTGGATGCCAGCACCACCGTTGTTGACGTGTTTAGGGGCCGAGTGTGTCGCTATCCTGCTCCCTGGGGGGTTGCCCGGGGGTTGCTCTCCAACATCCTTCTGCACCGGACTATCTTGTTGAGGTGAGTGATGGCGTGGTGGTGGAGTGCATCACAGCATTTGGCAGCTTTGCAAGGGGTGACCCCCAGGTCCGTGAGGGTTTTACGGAGGTCTTTGCGGATTGTGCCCCCTACGCCTAGGCTGATGGCTTCCTGCGCGGTGTACTGCACGGTCCACCCGTCTGCCCTCAGTAGTTCGGCAAGTCGTTTGTGCTGTTCTGCCTTCTGATGTTGTTTGTCGGCGTGTCTTAAGTCTCCCGCTTATCCTATTTCGAGGATGTGGATAGTGTAAGCCCTGGGGTTTCGTGGTCGCTTCCGCAGTGTGTTATTGCTGACTGGTAGGCCCTGTACGACAAGAATGTCTGGTCTCATTTTACCCCACTCTCTCTCGTCGGTAGGTGGGGGCCGTAGCCATTCGGGGAGGCGTTTCCCCGCGATGTAGTCCGGGAGATCTTCTTCCTTTCCAGCATCCATGACCATGTAACTCCCGCCGAACTGCCCCTTGTGTATGGCGTCCGCTATGATACGGACAGCCCCGTCGTGTCTCGCACAGTACATGCCATGCATGCGCGGGTCTTTGCAGCCACCAAGGATGTGCCCCCCGGAGTCACAGGCCTTGCGGCATATGGGACAGGGGGGCCCTTGTCCGCGGTCTTCCGGGGCAGTGTCTGGGTGCCAGCGGGTGGGGTGTCGGGTGTGCATCTTAAATCGGCGCCGGAGCCCTTCATGGAAGAGCTGGCCCCATCTTGCGTCAAATGCACGTTTGACTAGCGTGTGCGCGTGCCGCATGGAAAACGCGGCGTTGCTTGCTTTAGGGCAGAGGCCTTTCCCGTGTTCCTCCCATAGTGCCGTGTACTGGGTATCGTTAGTGTATCCTTTCTGGGTTTTGGCTGGGAGAAGGTTCGTGATGCCTTTATTGAGGTCTGTCGCGTACATGTTGCGTTCTCCGTCTTTCACCCACCATATCCTGTCGTAAGGAGCGTTGTCGGCCGGTTCGGTGACATCGGGGGCCGCCTCGCCGCGGGCTGCCGCCGTTGCCGCCTTGTCCGCTGCCTCATTTCCAGTGATTCCTGTATGTGACTTCACCTTCAGGATGGTGGTATACTTGTTTTCGCGTGCTCTGGTCGCTAGGTGTTGAGCAATGCTTTCGAGTAGGGGACGGTGCTTGGAGATGTGTAGTTTACTGGGTTCAGTGATAGAACGCTTGATGAGGTGGATTGAAACCAGCGAGTCAGTTGCGATAATCAAGTGGGGCCGTTCTGAATGGGCTTCCAGTGCCGCGCGGATTGCAGACAGTTCGGCTCGTTGAATTGTCATTGTCACTCCGTTTCCATTGGGGTTGACGTGTAGGGTTCGTCCTAGCGGATCGTGGACTGAGGCTCCGAGTCGTACGTGTTGATCCCCGCTGGCTGTTTTGCACTCAAGCTTGCTCCCATCTGTATAGATGATTGCGTTTGGGTTGTATCTCAAAGGGTGCCGTCTCGTAGAGGGGGTGTCTGCGGGGCTACGAGCCGCATCCGTATTCGATGCGCTGACCGTGACTGTTGGGCGAGGAGGTACTGGTGGGGAGGCTGCAAACGCCTTAATTCTTTGGAGTACTCGCTGGCTATATGTTCGCTTTCCTGGGTCGCGACGAGGTCTATCGGACAGGTCGTCGGGGATGGATTTGGCGCCGAGTCGTCTGAGTCGCGCCTTCAGGAAGGACCATGCTTCCGCGTTCAAAGAGGTGAGCCCGGCATCGTTGGTGATTAGGATTATCTCCAATTTGCGTGGGCGGGGGCGGTGGTCAGTGCCCGGTACCACTTCGGGGGTGGGGGTCTCTATCTGGATCTCTGCGATTCTGCGTGCGTAGGGTGTGTCATATATCTTTGTGTGTGGGGCAGCTGGTTTGCACGGGGCAATCAGGAAGGTGATGTACCGGGTGTGTGAGGGTGCCCATTCTGCGCTGGCAACTGCCCATGTAGCTGCTCGGAGAGCGGAAGGGGCATCGTGGGCTGGGTAGGCAACCGTGCTGCCTGTGAAGGGGGTTGAGAATGCCCCCAGGTTTGCACCGAATAGTTGGTCTTCCGCCTCGTCGCTGAAGTAGGCTTCTGTCAGGGGGCTGCATGTGAGGGGTGTGCCGAAACGTTCTGTGGTGGGGCCATCTGGGTTCACCCGCTGGAGGGCGATGCCTAAGGCCTCCATGAGCTCGGGCGGTGTGCCCGTTGGCTTTTGTTGGTTACCAAGTTTCCTGATGCTTTGGTTCCGCAGGAGGAGGCGGGCTACGTTTTGCTCAAAGCTGCGGCCTCCTGAGAGGCTGCAGTGGAGCTCGCTGTGTGTGGACTGCATGTGCAGGTAACGCCTCCGTAAAAGGAGTAGGCGTGCGGCAGGGATTGTGCCTAAGCAGACTCCCCTAGGACTGTATACGTAGGCGGTGTCTTCATTGATTGTTGCCGGCATTGCGGGTCCTCCGGCTGAGGGGGACATGGGTGGCGCCCCGGTTTGGATGTGGTACTGCCCAGTGGGGTGGATATCGCTGTCAGGGTTGCATGGGCTGCTGACGAGTGTCGTGTGGGCCCTTGTGAGGCTTCCGTGCTCAATCTTTCTGGGTATGGGCGGGGCCCAGCGTCCTTGCCTTTGCTCGTTAGTGAGGTTGTTGTCGGACGGTGGTGTTGGGCTTACACGGTGGCCGCGCCTAACTCTTTTGGCGTTGTGGGTGGCGAGTAGGGCCGCCCAGTTATCCTGTATTGCTATGTCGCGCTCTGGCATTTTGCTAGGCTCCCATTCGACGTAGCGTAACAGCTTACCACCCCCTCTGCCCAGCTCCCGTATTGCAGGCCTGGAGAGCCGCGGGTGGTAGCCCATTGCCTTGTATGCGCGGATCGCCAAGGGCGTGATGATGGTGGGTGCCCAGTCGACTGTATAGTAGCGTGCATGTGTCTCGCTTGTTGCATGCCGGGCGGGGTCTAGGGCGGGTAGCCTGCTGGA